TAAAAGGAGAGCTACCAAGTTGTGTCTATATTTATCTCACCGGGGGCTGCAGTGAAGAGTTTGGCACAGAAGAACTTTCAGTGTAGTCTACCATTCTGTCTCAGTGCATCATGGAATAAAAATTTTGCGTATGTTAGGGCAGCACATTTCTTGATGAGAATCTTATTTTCCACTTTCAAAATATAAACCATATTGAATAACTTGACAAATACAACCACACACTTCTGCCGGGGCTCCAATCAGGGCAAGACCGTACGAGCATGCACACTTACATCCGCCCTTGATCCATCCCACGCAACAGAATATTTAATTAGCGCAAGAATAACAATAGTTTGAGATTCTGCTCCCTCTACTTGTGCACAGAGATGAACACGATCTCGTGAGTTGGATTCGAAGTGCTTTGTTTGTTGCAGCTCGGACTCCAGGTCAGGATTATTGCGATGCGTTCGTTCTCTGTTGGGATTGTCCGGCGCCGCGCCTCATCAGAGTGAGCCATTTGCAGTCGGGCAGGAAACCGTGAACATTCCGTGTGACGTTCCGTCCGGCAGGAGCCCGATATTGTTGCGCGTTAAGCCGACACACCTTGGCGGGCTCAGCAGAACGCCGTCGCGGCTCTCTGGAGCGGCCCGGCAAAGCCTCCGGGCCACCAGCTTATCTGGAGTCTGCAGGTCTCACGACGAAAAATGTAGATTTCTTGAATAAAATCAAGTAAGGACTCCAAATGGCTCGGACGAGTCTAAAATCGTAACGCTCCCCTTGGTGTCCGTGCGCGTTGTACGGTCCAGTTATTCTGACCTTTTTTTATTCCTCTCAAGGGGACTCGGCATGTTTGTTTGTTTACTTTCTCAGCCGTTTTTACCATTTCAACGGGGCTCGTGTTTCACTCTTTGTCTCTAAATTGTTTTATGTTTGTCACACATTTCAATAGATTTGAACATTACGCTTGGATATTTTGTACAGGATTTGACCACCCTATTCTACGTCAACACGGCTGATAAAAATACCAAATTCACATTCTTCCGCCCAAGACTCACTTGACAGTAAACTGTAAATGTCGTTAATCTGACTTCCTGTCTTTATGTTTCCCTGTCTGCCCTTTTGACTACTCGTCTGTCTTTTCCGATGCCTTTGTAGGCCTTCTATCGCTCTCCCTCTGAAGTACGGCTCGTCTCTCCCAGGTTGCTGCGCTGCATTATAATATCTCCCTTTGTCTTTGTGTGTGTGTGTGTGTGTGTGTGTATATAACGCTCAGTCTTGAGCCCGGCCTTCAGTGAGCTCATCAGTGGTTTTGTTCCGGCTAATGCCTTGATCTGTGGCTCCCTTTTTCCCTCACCTGCTGCTGGGTTTCGTCTCTCGTCATCCAACGCACGCACGCACACACAGACACACACACACACACACACACACACACACACACACACACACACAGACATCGCTAATGAGGGAAGACAAGCTGGTCTTGAGCTGTGCTCTCTGCTTCATTTGAATGAAACGTCAAAAGAATGACGGACACAGCAGGGTGTGTGTTTGTGTGCGTGTTTGCATTTGCATTTGCAGAGAGCAGAGTTTGCTGTAGAAAGACGAACAACCATGCAGTGATGCACATATTAATGGCTTGGCTTATATGAACGTGTCTTCCACTTAGTGCGTGCCTGTCTCTCTCTCTCTCTCTCTCTCTCTCTCGCTCCTTCTGTCCGTCTTCCCATCTGTCTCTCTGTTTGAAATCAACACGCTACAGCATGCGAAATGCAATGCAGCATCGTGTATTAAACGTGTATTAAACCCCAGCTTCATCGCTGTCATAACCGCTTTGACCCGGCGCGTATACGTTTGACTCATTTGCCTCTCTGACGGGTCTTGGGTAAGGATGAATCACCCATAAGAGTGTGTGTGTGTGTGTGTGTGTGTGTGTGTGTGTGTGTGTGTCAGTATGTACTCACACAATACTGTGTGTTACCAAGGCTGACCGCGCCACTCTCGCCCTGTAGGCCTTTTTCCATCCCACATGACTATTCTGATCTCTTGGCCCGAGGACACTGGGAAAGCAGAGAGGTGTGTGTGTGTGTGTGTGTGTGTGTGTGTGTGTGTGTGTGTGTGTGTGTGTGTGTGTGTGTGTGTGTGTGTGTGTGTGTGTGTGTGCGTGTGTGTGTGTGTGTGTGGGAGAGGCGGGGGGCCAGCCAGCCGATCTGTAGGCGGGACTCCAGCTGGACTCTGTGGCAAGCGGTCACAGGTCTATTAATAAGACGCCTAAACCTAAATCCAACCTGTTACATAATTCAGATCACATTTTATCGAGAGATGGAGGACCGATCGCACGCACGTTGAAAAGAGTCCGACCAGCGCAGCGTTGTGTTTGTGTTGTGTTTGGCGTACTCTGGTTTGGATCGCCGTATTGCAGGATGTATCAGCGGAGCCTCTAATTTAAACAGTGGACCCAAACCTGATCCTCAATCAATGCAATACCAGTGGACTTTACACTCAGCTCTGAAAAGCAAATGAAGAGACTGGATTACATGTCCACATAGTTCAGAAAGAGGAAATCAATCTTTCCAACACATTAATTCAAATAGTACAAATATAGATTGAGAGACATATTTCACATTTTAAAGAGTGGAGAGGCAGAAAGGAATTGGTCATGTTAGGAGGAGGAGGAGGAGGCGGCAAAATGCAAGATTAAACATTGAGCCCTGCTTGTAAGGCTTAATGGTTGGTAAACAACCCGGATTGTTACATAAATTCCCAAATTATATTAACTTTATGTACCATCGATTTGACTCTAAAGAACTCTGTAATGGATAATAATCTTCATTTTTTTTCCTTTTGATTGTTCCAAGCTGTTTGAAAAAGGATGAAACTTGGTCCCAGCTGTGTTTTCATGTCCATGGAAGGGTTTCCTGCTTCTCAGCCTGCATCCTGATCACCTCCCAGCTTCCATTTAGACTGTGTTTCTTTGTGTGTGCGTGTGTGTAGGCTTCTTAGGAATGTTCTATTCAGGCACGACGCCCTAAAGAATGACAGCTCTCATCTAAAGGCGGGGCCCCTTGATGAAAGCCTCCATCACTAGTACACGTGCAGCGCAGGACAAAGGACATGTTTGGTGCTGTGTGCGTCTCTATGTTGTCAGTGGTACATGTATGTTGTTTTTTGTGATTTGTTATCTGGGGTTTACCCTCCCTAAAAAGCAGTTATTTAACCCGGTCTCTGCACACATAATAAGGGCCCTTGTTCGTGGGTTGGTTTATGTAGTATACAACCTTACTTACTTTCCTTCATCCACCAATGTCTCCTTTCCCTTTTCTTGCCTCCTTCCTGTTGCGTCAAAGTCCCACCACAACTAGAAACCATAGGCTTTCCCAGTACAAACTGGAAAACCTTTATGCTGTATATTTAGTACATTCAATCCAACCATAATGTAAAGCTGACGGACTCTGTGACCTTGACTCACAACCTTTATCGCACATTCTGTTCCTGTAGGCCTCTTGCTCCCTTTGTTCAAGCCTTTCCAATTCCAGCCCACAAAGAACGAAGGAGATTGTCCCTGAATGTAGCCTTCATCCCTTTCAGCTTGCACTTATTAAGGGTACAGCTGGCTGACAGACCCCCTCCCTCTCCTCCTCTCCTCCCTCCTCATGTTTTGTGTTGCACTGCGCCTCTCTCCACGTGCAGCAGCAGCTCAAAGGCATGTAGGAGGAGTTCCCTGAGAGGAATGTGTGTGACTGGCTGGATGGCTGCGATATGGGCGCACGCGCACACACACGCATACGCTCACACTTATGCAGAGCCAGCTGACAAGGACGGTGATCTAGCCAGCCTGGTGTGTGTTTCCGTGTGTATTTTGTACTTCTAGTCTCGTGAGGACTTGACATCCTCAAAATGGTTTAAAATGTGAAAAGAATTCACATAATTGTGTAATTGTGTCCTGATTTAAATTAGTTTGGACTCTGATTTAAACAAAGGCAGAGGGAGGGCTCGAGACCATCGGCAGGCAGCTTCTTCACATGAGTGTGTTTTTTTTTTTTTCTTGCTTGCTTTAAAGAAAGCAAAGCTGTGGTTCTCAGAGCTGCTGTGCATCAGCTGACCTCCTGCGGGATTCTGTGAGCTTTCTCTGGAGGAGCGCAGGAGATGAGAGCGCCAAGACGGGCGCCTCGACATCGGGCTAAAAATACCCTACTTTAGATCTTTAGGCTTAAATTAAACCACAAACGGAGTGGGATTTTATTGGTTTTGTTCTCGGGGGACAAATTGAGGAGCCACAGCCGCAATTTAGTCGTATTTGACTGGCAACCTAACAACACCGCCCCCATCTTCCCCCTTGAGAAATCGCTCTAAAATGGGTTATTGTGAATAGCAGTGGGGGCTCAGAATTCAAATTTATCAACAAGACAAGTATAACTTGTTTGTCTCCCCTCTAGTTTCACCAGACCATAGTCAGTTCCTGAATGGTCAAACGTTAACTCCGCTCTCTGTCCGGCAAGATCCTGGGCACAATGCTGGCCCGGCCCCCCCCTACCCCACCCTGGCACAATCGGTGGCGCTGCATGACTCCACTGTTTCTCCTCTTTACTGTTCTGGTTTGGTTTGTGTTTGTTTGTATGTTTTGACAGCGAGCGCGGTGTCAGCGTTGTGTATGTGCTGCATAGGCGGGACAGCGTGGGGCTTCACCGCTCGGCTCAGCTGACATCAGAGGTCTAAATATATTCCTCTGAAGCGGTCGAACTGGAAAGGTTGTGTCATCCACCACCTTCCCCCACACCCCTTCTCTAAACAAGTATTTCCAGCCAAAGTTTAATAGCTGCATCTGGTGCGGTTAAAGCCCCATTCAGATGGAAATGGCGGTGAATACCTGTCAATACAGGTGTCTTTCTGATTGCATCTGTATTGCCCCCCCACCCCGAGTCAGCAGTAGTTTACCTGCTGCTCTCCTCCTCCTGGTTCCTTGTTCTCTGCTCAGACGTGGGGTGATTTGGGAAGAGCTGCTGACCCCTTCTGTTTTTTACCAGATCCAACGGAGGATTTTTTCGAGTACGACGCTGAGGAGTTCCTTGTGTTCCTAACCTTGCTCATCACAGAAGGAAGGACGCCGGAACATTCGGTGAAGGGCAGAACAGAGGGGCTACACTGTCCACCGGCCCAGTCGGCCATGCCACCTCTTCACAAGCACGAGTGCTGCGACAAACTGCCCCAGGTAGCGTTTTCTACTACACCTCCAGCGTGAACAAGCGTGTTTTTATGTTAGGCGCTTTTGAAATGGGATGCACATTGTATATATTGTCTTTATTTCTTTTTTTAGATATCAGGGATAAATCAAACAACATTATTTGTAAACCTTACAGGTTTGTAGGTTATTTCACAAGTGAGATGTGAGCTATATAAAATCACTGAGAAATTCAGCTCCAATTGAGTCTTTCTGGGTCCCATCTGCTTTGTCCCGAAGTTCAAGGTCCAGGTGTTGACATTCACTGATGAACAATAACCCCCCACCTTTGTCCGCGTGTGTTTCTGTGTCTCTCCGTCCAGTGTCGGCAAGCGAGGCGCACCCGTTCCGAGGTGATCCTGCTTTGGAGGAACAGCATCCCCATCATGATCGAGGTCATGCTCCTGCCAGACTGTTGCTACGGTGACGAGTGCCCCCCGAGTGACCCCATCAGCGACCCGATCATCAAACAAGATGCTTTGCTGCTGGAGAGATGGACCCTGCAGCCAGTTCCAAGACAGTACGTCTGACACACACATGGTCTTAGTATTAAGTAATGCTGGGCAGTAGGAGATGTTGTACTGATCCCAAGGACACTGCTTCCCTGTGTTTGGTTTAGAGTCTGCTGTGTCCAAAAAAAATATTTTTTTTGTGTTTTTGATAAATTCGAAAAACATTTCAATAGCTGAAACACGAAGGCTGTAAAGGGTATACAATGTAAAAAATTCAAATGTTGAAGTTTAAGCCATAGAAGTTTGTCAGTATCTCAAAACCGGAAACGCACATGATTGAAACAGGTTTCTGGTTAACCTGTCATACTGGCACATTTCCCCCTCGCTTTCTAATAGGAGCGGCGATCGCTTCATTGAAGAGAAGACGCTGCTGTTGGCTATTCGCTCGTACGTGTTCTTCTCTCAGCTCAGCGCCTGGCTCAGCGCCTCCCATGGTGTCGTCCCAAGAAACATCCTGTACAGGTCAGACATCACTTAATGATCACTTTGCCCCTCTGCTTGTTAAAGCTACAGGAAACTACAGGAAACGGGATCTAACAGTAATTTCTCATTTTTTAAAGGAAGTAAAACAATCTCTGGTTTGGAACCTTCCCTAAACTTGAATTTATTTGAATCTCTCTCTGACTGCCCAACAGGATCAGTGCTGCCGATGAGGAGTTGGTGTGGCAGTTCTCCCAGCCGCCTTCAGAACACATTTTCCCGGTGCCGAACGTCTCCCAGAGTGTCGCCCTGCAAGTTCGTGTCCAGTCGCTGCCGCGCCAACCCACCTATCCCACCCTGGCCTGCAGCATCCACACCGGCCTTCCTCCACTTTACAGCAAGACCACCAGCCTCAACCCCAACAGCCATGGTGGCCTGCCCACCCACATAAAAAGCCAGGACCCCAGGAAAGATGACCTCCTTTACAATTCTAGCCTATTCAGCAAGAGCTCAAACTCCATGTCTGGCTTTCCCCTCAATGGATTACCCATTCCTAATCTACCCATCAACCACATCCCCGTTAATAGCCTTCCCCGCGCTGCTGTTCCGTCTCCTTACAGCAAGACGAGTCCGGAGCCGGGCGAGGACCACACATATCAGAATGGAGAGCTTCCGCAGGTCAACATCCCCCAACTTCAAGGCTCCCCGCGGTTCCACAGGTCCTCTCCCTCCCCCACGCCGCCCCGCTCCCACTCACCCTCTGCACTTCCCACAAGCAAGGCCGGGAAGTGGCTGTACTCGGCTCTGAATGGTTCATCTGAGCCCACGCCAGTAGAGGATTATTGCTCTGGCACCAACGGCAGTGACTGGTCAAAGAGGTCCGTCCCTGAGCCCCTGAGAGCTTTTAAGAACTTCTCCTTGGCTGAGCCGCCACGTTGCCCCTCCCCAAGGCCTGCAAACGAAACAAACCCACTGATTGGCTCGCTGCTACAGGAGAGACAGGAAGTAATTGCCCGCATCGCACAGAGGCTCAACTTCTGCGACCCCACAGCGCCGCCACTACCCCACGGCCTTTTCGCTTCTGACAACCCCCCCAAAGCCATGTGGGGCAGTAACCCCGACGACGTAACTGCCAGTAAGACCAAAGAGCCTGAGGTACCGCCCTACGAGTCCGTGGGACGTGTGTGGCCCAGCCCCTTCAACACGCCCATGACCGACGCCTCTTTTGGCAAACGGGAGAGCTCCTCCCCTAAACCTGCAGCATGCAGGAAGCTGAGAATGACCGAGACGAGTGACGCACAGGATGAGAAAGAGAAGAAGAAGAAGGAGGAAAAGAACAGGGAGAGCGAAGGCTCCCTGATCGCGCAGGCAGTGCAAGACATCGCTAGACTCATCCAGGAGAGACTGTCCGTCCCTTCTCTGTCCCCGAGGCCCGGCAGGAGCGGCAGCCTTCTGCACCACACGCACACAACAACAGTCACACACACGGTCCGCACATACTCGCCTGTCACGCGCGACCCACGAGCCCCGGACGCTGCCCCCAACGGCCACGCGCCCGGCCGCCATGAAACCCACAGAGGCGGCGTTCGCTCCGCCGCCGCACTCGCACTCATTTGCACAGACGAGCCCCGGGGCGAACCGGGGACCGAACGCCATTCTCCCAGGGCCCAAAACGGTGCTCACTTTACACTTGAAGAACCCTCATTCAAAGGCCAGCCCCGCGCCCGGGCTGGTCCTCGTTTACGAACTCCCCCGCAGGAAAAGCTCGCCATCAGGATCCCCAGCAGCCATGAAACCCCTTCTGCCTCCCACGCCGTCGAGAACAGCCCAAGGAATGCCCGGATCTTTAGTTGCAATGATGCCGGCTCGGCCACGAACTGTAACATAAACCACAACCACATCAAGCCTCAGCCTCAGCCTCAGCCTCAGCGCGAGATGCAGATCTGTGCACCGGCCCAGGCGGATGAGAACCAGGCGCCCTCCATGTCTGGATGCTCCATCACCTCCAGTCCGGACATGACTCCCCCTTCTGCAGTCCTGGTAAGGACATTGTTTGTGCATAGATGGCATTGTTAATTATTATTTTTAAACTGCATGATTACAATAGGAATTGGTCTTGGGATATTTTGCATTATTTTTGCTTTATTACCGAGAAAGGAAGATCGATTCCACTTTCATGTTTGTGCGGTAATTGTGGCGCTAGGTACGTCCAGCAGCCGGTTAGCTTAGCGTAGCCCAAGTAAACAGCTGGTCTACCTTTGGCCATAAGGAAATTCTCTGACCCCTCTCCACCTCTTAAGCTCACACATAATCAACGGGTAATATCTTGTTTGTTTAATCATTACACAAACTGAAGAGTAGATTTGGTTTTATGAGGGTGATGTGAGTGGGTTGACGTGGCACAGGGGTAGAGAGGGTGCGCCGGGAACCGCAAGGTTGGCGGTTTGAGCCGCGGCTGATTCATGTCCCATGTCGAAGTGTCCCTGAGCACATAACCCCCAATAGCTCCCCAGGCTAAAATGTAAGAAGACATGGGTTAAAAATGCAATGTAAGTCGCTTTGGATAAAAGTGACCTGTAATGTAATGTGTGTGACACTTTTATTTTGTTGCCGCCGATCCTACCCTCATATTAATTGTTAAATAACTAACCATTAACTATTATCTTTAGTTTTATTCTGAAAAGGTACATACATTTAGCAATGATTGTTGAAAGTTGATTTGACATTTAATAAATGTCAAATAAGTGACTCATTCCAGAAAATAAAATATTGTGAAAGTACTGTTGCTTAATTTGAGAAATTTTAGGTCACTACAGACAAATCGGGGGTTTTTTTTAGGATATAAGATGACACCATTTTGATGAATAAAGTTTACTTGCAAAGTGTCCTAATCTGTCTCTGTTCTCCAGCGAGATCACAGCCCCTCTCCGCTTCGCCCCTGTAACACCTGGAAGAAACCGAATCGCCACTCTTTGGATGTGACAGCGACCAAAGCCTTCCACCCCTGTACCGGCCTGCCTCTGCTCTCCAGCCCTGTAAGACACACACACACACACACACACACACACACACACAGGGGAACTGAGTCATTGTCAGTCTCCGGGTAGTTGTTTGCCATAACACTACATTCACTACACTTTTTTTGCAGCCATCTGAAGCATTAATCACCGTACTTTCACCGGTGTAAGTGAGCCCCTGAGTGCTCGCCGTAAAGACCCTTTGAAGTACCTCGCAGCTGGTTTTACTGCTGCTGGACCACTGAGCTTTTAATGTACACAAGAACAACACCCACACTAACATCATCACACATCATCTGGGGCTCATCAACTTCAGTAAATGTGTCAGATAACCACACTCTTAGATCATCAGTTTCCTGCCTTTTGATCGCCCTTTAAAACACCCAAAGTTACACACAGACGCTCGGTGTCACGCGGCCTCACCAACACGCGAACTCAGCTTTTTTCTCTGGCGCATCCTCACATATAACAGCCAATATAAGTGTGAGCCGTAGGTTTTCAGTACATGTCCTCTAGTTGATCTGTGTTAATCTTTTTGTGTGCTGCAGGTTCCCCAGAGGAAGAACCAAACGGGCTGCTTTGATCTGGACACCTCTCTGGCCGGCTGTAAGGGCTTGCCTTGGGCCTACGGGAAAAGGTGCGCATTTTCTGACCTGGCATCTTTGCTACTTTAGTGAATGGACTCCAAAGCAGTTTGTTAAAACTGTTAAAAAGACACGTTTTGCTTTGTTTTTAACGTTACCTCCCACGTCGTCTGTTTGTTATAGTACCATCTGGATCAAGTTACTCATACTTTGCACCTGTAGCTTGTTTTTCTCACTATGTAACATCTCCACTGTTACTATGTGTAAGTGGAAGCAAGGCACGTTTTAGTCTTACCGGCAGTATTAATCAAGCTATATAAAGTCTTCGGGCCATTGTACTAGGATCTGTATTTGAGAGGTTTGCGACGATGTTTGAACCCTAACGCGCTGACGTAGCCTCGAGTCAGCAGCCGGTTTGAGAAGTATTGTCCCGTGTTGAGAGACGAGACAAAAAGAGTGTTGTTCTGAGTGGCAAGGCGAGGTCAGCCGTGTTTTGCTGACACGCTGCCACCTGCTGAAGCTCTGCTGAACTGTGGCTGCATCTAGAATCACACGCATTCTGCTCAAAATGGCAGACACAAGTGAATAGGCCTCACATGCACAGGGCTTCATGGCACCGCCTACACGCAGCAGATGTGGGTGGTAATGTAATGCTGCCTTTGATAGAAGACACTTTAGCGACCAGGAAAGTTCTTTTCAGTTTGGCTCAGGCTGGTAAAAGTCATTGACATGTTCGCCATACATATTTGTTGTCTTGAATTTAGTAATTGTAATTGAATAAGAAATTAACTAATCATTCATTATGTATTCTCTTTACTTCACGCATATGGCCATAAAAGCAAGTGTGTGTGTGTTTTTTAACCCATCAGGGTGGGTGCAAAGAGAGAGGGGTACACCGATGAGCAGCTGTTCAGTGCCAGCGCTCCACCTGCTAGTCTCAGTCTGCTGGGGAACTTTGAGGTATAACAAACACACACGGTGATTCAATTACAATCAACGAGTAAAACGAACCGCTCAAATGTCATTAAAATTCTGACCTGCGTTTTCCCCAGGAGTGCGTGCTGAACTACCGCCTGGAGCCTTTAGGGTTAGTGGAGGGTTTCACAGCAGAGGTCGGAGCCAGCGGCTCCTTCTGCCCCAGTCACATGACCTTACCTGTGGAGGTGTCCTTCTACAGTGTATCCGATGACAACGCTCCCTCTCCATACATGGTGAGATTATTTGTTTCCAGTTAGTCAATCAATAATACTCTTTCTCCGCCTGTCTGACTGAGCCTTGAGCTGAAAGCTGTACCTGCAAACGTGTGTGTGTGTGTGTGTGTGTGTGTGTGTGTGTGTGTGTGTGTGTGTGAGAGCATGAGCACTGTAGTGTATTACCTTTGTGCGCCTGTTTGTGACACAGTTGCTGTGTTTGTCACAGGGCGTGATCAATCTGGAGTCCCTGGGGAAAAGGGGCTACCGTGTACCTCCATCAGGAACCATTCAAGTGGTGAGGGAACTTTCGCTTCTTTTCCCACAGGTGTAGAAATGGGTTTATATAAAATATGTGCATCGCGGTGTAAACATGGCTGAGAACAAAGAAGAGATTTCACCAAGTAACAAAGGGAAAGGGCCACCCCTAGTGGTTACTGAGGGAATTGTATCATCTAAGGACCCATTTCCTGATTCTTTTGTGGTGCTTCTACTTCCTTATTTAAAGTAAATGGTTTTATATGATTATTTGATGTATTACAAGACTGATGTGTATACGAAGGTTTGCATTTCCTGCGTCTTGCACAGCGTCTAGGGTTCGGTTGTGTTATAGATGGATGAGGTCAGGTCACAAAGGGTTACAAACCTGTGTAAATCCCCCCCCCCCCCCCCATGCTCTCCCTGTTATACCCTTCAGACCTTATTCAATCCCAACAAGACAGTGGTGAAGATGTTTGTTGTGATGTACGACCTACGAGCCATGCCAGCTGGACAGCAGACCTTCCTGCGCCAGAGGACCTTCTCTGTTCCCGTCCGCCGTGACACAAACACTCACGGGAGCAGGAAGCTCCTCGGCCAGGGACGTACCCTCCGCTACCTCGTTCATCTGAGGGAAGTCGGCTGCCATTTCCTCTAGCGCACGTCAAAACCTGCCTACACCTAGCGACGGTTGCCGATGTTTCTCATCCCTCATTTCTCCTCTCCGCCATTCGTCGTCCCCCCCCCCCTTCCCCCCCCCCTTCCCGACCTCCACCAGGTTCCACAGTTCCAAGTCTGGGAAGATCTACCTCCATAGAGACATCCGTCTGCTGTTTTCCAGGAAGTCCATGGAGGTGGACAGTGGAGCCGCCTACGAGCTCCAGTCCACCACAGACTCTCCCATTGACACACCATTCTCTCCCCGCTGCTGAGACTGAACCCTGTCCCCCCGCCAGCGGGGCCGCCAACTACTGCAATCGCAACTTGATGCCAGCGAAAGACCCTTACGCAACCCGTGGCTAGATAAACTGCTCTAAAAGAGAATTTAAAGACTGCAGTCAACAAGACTCACCTGGCATGTGCCCAACATGTCATGTGCCATCCCCGCTGTCCCCAGAACTGAAAAGGGCGCACGGTTGGAAACGGCTTTGTTTCCTGCATTAAAAGGTTGGGTCGTAGGTAACAGGCTCTTCTGGTTAAGAAGGCTCTACCGGCTAGGATTGGTCTTTTTTTTTTTCCTGCTGTTTTGTGTGTCCCCTCCAGCGTCTGGCAGGAGAGTAGAGCCCAGTGATCGTCCAAGGGAGCAGTTACACTTAAAATATTTCAGCAGTGGTTAGGCTTCTCTACTCAAATCAAAATGTTAATTGGACCTTTATTGAACATGATGAATCAGTGTTCAGTCGCAAGTAATTTAGTTATAAATTCAATACAAGGGCCTCAAATGGTAAAAAAAAAAAGTTTGACATCCTTGAAGAGCAGGTTGATTGACCTGAAAATAAACCCTGTGATTCCTGAGCTCGGAGCAGAGGATGGAAGAGGAGGCGGCTGGCTGACCGTGGTGCAACATCCTTCGCTCGTCCAAGAGAAAAACATGCCATGGACCACTGAAGAAGTTCATCAAGCAATCAAGCTCCATCACAGCAAAACATCAAACGTGCACTGTGGATTTTTTTTCTTCTCATTATAACTGGAAATGAAACTGAAAATAGTAATATTCTAATACTTTTGTACTGTTAAAGAACCACTTTATTGGACGTGTTGCAATAGAAAGAGTAATCTTAGTATAGTGTTTACACATTCACCTACCATCAGTTTATTTAATATTTAAATTAATATTTCAGTTACTACTTGTGACGTCTGTCATGCTAAGATGATGTAGTGCAAGCTGTATACCATAGTATGTATTTTTGACAATATTATTATTCAAATCCAAAAAATATATATCTATCTTCTAAAGCAATCTGATAGCCGCTCTCTTTGTGTTCTTTTTTCCACTGTGCTCCCCACCAGATCATCTCCGTACATCAACAAGGGAATCAAAGGAGAAAAACAAGTTATTCTGCGCTTTTGGTTCCAAACAGCACTTTATTAGAAAAAGGGTTCTTGGATGAATTACAAAAAGAAAAGGAGACATATGCTGCAATTAGTAACAGGCTTGAGTTTGGAGTGAAAAACAAAGTTACAAAACGTTTAAAATATGTGATTTGTGTACAAACTGATTCATCTTCGAGTCCTGAACACAGTTATGCGCAGTTCAAGGTAATTAAGAGTACTTTACACTAATGTTTATATATATATATATATAATGTCCAGAATAATTTCAATAACATTTATAGAGGTATGAATAGTGGTCTCGGTAGAGGCGCACATTTCATTCTTTAAACCTACTGCATGAAGAAATACTCCCGCTCTGGGACGCACACAGTGCAAACCACTGTTCATCGGGGCAGCTTTAACCACGCTCCAAATCTGAGGATTATATTCCTGAAATCTGGATTTGTGCTGCAGCACATGGGTCTAACAGCTGGTCGGTATGTTACGCAATGCCAATCCGATCCCAGCGCCGTGCGCCGGTTCAAAGCAGGAGGTGCCCGAACGTGAGCGCGCATGGTGTCCCCGCATGTGACGTAACAACTTGACGCTAGTGGTTTCCTGTGCGGGGAGTGGGCGCTCGTCGGACTCGTATGGGCACGGAGAGTCACAGCTCTGGATTGTTTTGTTAGATCACTTGTTCAGAAGAGTCCCGGGGGGGTCGACTTAACGACGGATCTCCTCTGAGGTAGCGATATGTCCGGGGATCACGAGGAAACACAGACGGCCGAGGAGATGCAGGTGGACGGAAAGGTAGCCGTGCGGCGGCGCTGACTTTTGTTAAAGCTAGTGTTGGATTTTTATACCTTTAGCTTCTTCGCCGCGCTCGCTATGTTGACATATCAACCGGCGCCAGCTAAAACCCCCAACATTACGGAGCCACGGGTAGAACTGTTGATCTTTTTTTGTGAAAACCCATAACGCCGTTTCATGCTAATAGTTCGCTACGCGGCCTGCTGTCGTTGATGCTAGGAATACCCCGGATGGTCCGTGTAACTGTCAGCGGTGCCGCTAGCCGATGGTAGCCGCCGAGCTAACTGCCATGACATTCACCCGTACATTCACATTGGAAAACAGTTCTCGGTAAAGTTAACAGTTGGCTCGGCAGCTTTCGCTGAACTCCACAAATTGCTTTACTCTGACTACAAAGCCCAGCTATAATAACGTAATTCATCTTCCATTCCTCTTTAGCTTCCAGTATTAGCCTGCTGCTAACGAGCTTGCTAGCTAGCTAGCAAGTCGTCCCAGCTCTTAACGAACTCCAAACTGACCGTTTCTGCCCGTACGGATGGTCCAACCCGCTCCACCGAGTAGCTTAGCGCTACCGTTACCGTTTGTGCGGGTGCTGTCTAAGAGACAAAATATTACCATGTATCTTGATTTGATGTGAAATAGCAGGTCCCAATAAAATTCAGCGGTTCGAACCCTCGATGACGGCTAGCGTGGATATGGTAACGATACTACTTGGGTGTGCCGACGTTGTTAGAGCTGGACTGTTGTATTATAACTTGGATTGCTTTTTTTCCAGGAATGTCAGGTTTCAGTAAACGTTTACTATAAACTCTAATGTTAGACTACGAGCCAGTTTCTTTCCATACACGGCAATCAGATGGCGTTGAAATGTGAGCCTGGGCTTCCTGCAGGCTCCTGTTGTCCTGCATGGGGCTTTGCAGCAAACCGTTCTCCCCAATGGTCAATGATTCTTCTCGTTTTCAGGGTGTTCAAGACAAGATGATCAATCCTGAGAAGTCAGAAGAGGCCAAACTGAAGGCCAGATACCCAAATTTAGGAAACAAACCCGGGGGCTCTGACCTGCTTCGCAAACGCCTCCAAAAAGGAGTGAGTTGTTTCTTCTGCTGCAAAACATTCAGAGTTCACTGAGTTACGGCGTTGAATCGTTTGACAAATAAATTATTCATTAAGCTTCTCTTTCTTGAGTTTTCCACAACATGGTAGAAACATCGATGGAAGCGTTGTGTTTTGTATGCAAAACCATTCATACCACAAACTGCAGTCTCCAAAATGACTAAAGTTGAACCAACACCCCACAACACTTTCACCATAATCATGATATATTGTGATGCTGGAATGGTAATAATTAGATGGACAAATGAATCAATAAATGGTCATTAGTGGATGCCGTGACGAAGAATGGTCCACCACAGCATTAAATCAGCATTGCAGTGCCAAAAAGCTGTGCGAATTACCGTTGGTTTTCATGATGAACTGCTGATCAGCAGGTTAACGTGGAACCAGTGTGTCACGTGTGCGTCCTCACGCTGATGCAAAGTAGAGACCATCTTGTGATGGGATCTCACGAGCCTCTGCACCAAATCAGCCCGGACGCGTTCTGTGGGAGAGTCAATGGCCCCCTTTTTTTTTTTTTTTTTACCACTTTGGACCCCACCCAGCTTCTGTATTGCGTCTGTGTATGTCACAAACAGACGCACCCAAAGTTTAAATAGATATAAACAATACTAGCGTTGTGGCTGGCAATGGAAGGAGGACCCCATTCATAGAAACACTGTCAATAACATTAGATCCTAAAAAAAAAAAATAGATCCTATTTTGTGGAATTTTCATTACTCTTTCTACATGGATAAGCTAGCACGTCTTTGAAATGGAGCTGATACTATTCTATCAAAATGAGAAAAACTTTGAATTTCATGTGTGAATCTTGTGTGTGTGTGTGTCCCCCACCCCTCCAGCAAAAGTACTTTGACTCCGGCGACTACAACATGGCCAAAGCCAAGATAAAGAACAAGCAGCTGCCGACAGCTGCTGCGCCGGAGAAGACGGAGATCACAGGGGACCACATCCCGACCCCCCAGGACCTGCCCCAGAGGAAACCCTCTCTGGTCGCCAGTAAACTGGCCGGCTGATGCGCGCACACACAGCCTCGACAGCCCCTGCAGCACCTCCCGGCCTTTACCCTTTCTACTCAAGTCTCAGAGCCGTAACACTACCTCTCCCGTCCCTCATGGTACCTGCCCCCTGTCACCCCCTCCCCCCATTCCTTCCCTTTCTCTTTTATCTTGGTTGGTTTCCCCTGGTTACTTCTCCAAACTGACTGTTCCCCTGCTGCCTCTGTCTGTTGGTGTTTTCCATGTTCCTTTTTTTATTTTCTCATCGCTTCAATACGAGATACACTGAGAGGCGGAACATTCAAGTGTGATGAGGGGATTGTGGCGCTTCCGTACGACTCGTGGACCACTCATACCGTGGTGTTTACCGGCTGAAGAGAGGAATGGTTAGAGGGCTTTAGTATGCTCATGCCTCAGTTAGGAAGTGTGTGTATATATACGTACATATATATATTTCCTTTTTGCTTGGCACAAGGGCAGATGTCAGCCTTTTTAGAATGTTTTACGTCCAATCTGTATTAGTTGCTGTATGCCCTAATCGTAAATGATTCTTTGGAAATGCTTCTTACTCAATAAATATGGTAATCCTGTGCGGAGGCCAAGCTCAGTTTTGTGAAGAGTGGGAGGAAGCTATGGCGGCGAATCACTGTCAAAATTCAAGAGCGCAAATTCAGGTTGATGCGCGCGCGTAAATCAAACATCCGCGAGCAAATCTCCGCCTCGCGCGAGCAAATCTCCGCCTCGCGCGAAACGAAACGTGAACTTCCTCGCTCGTGAGGTTAGTCTCTGCTCGCGCTCAAAGGTGTTTTCTACGCGGACAGTGTTTTTCTTTTTGACAGTAAAGTGGCGGAGCCAGTGACCATGGTATCTACACCTGATTGGTTACAAACCCCGTCTTTGGATTGGCTGGAGTGATGCATTCACACCACTATAGAAGCCCATTTCCGCACTAAAGAAATGGGATAGAAAGTCGAAATTATGAGATAAAACGTTGTCAAAAAACAAACGCCCCCCCTTTGGTAATCGTAGTGGACCGTAGATGACAACTAGCCATCATTTACCATAAATTACCATCATTACCGGCACATTAAGAGCAATGCGTCGGGCTATCAGACCAGTCCGTATTGGTAAAATAATGAGAAAAAAAAATCTCACGAATCTGTGAATATCTTGCCAACTTTCAATACGGATCGACTCTTTGGAAAATCGAAATAATGAGGTAAGATATGCGCAGGCTCCTCCATAGTTCGGTAAAGTTGGCAAGATATTCAGATTCAGACTGACGGACCGGTCTGCGAGCTGGACGCAATGGTCTTAATGTGCCGGTAATGATGGTAAATGATGGTTGTAGCTGGTTGTCATCTACGGTCCACTACGATAACCGAAGGGGGGCGTTTGTGTTTTGACAACGTTTTATCTCATAATTTCGACTTTCTATCCCCTTACTTACTTACCTTACTTTAGTGCAGAAATGAGCTTCTATAGTTGTGTGAATGCATCACTCCATCCAATCCAAAGATGTGGTTTGTAACCAATCAGATGTAGAGACCATGGTCACTGGCTCCGCCCCCTTACTGTCAAAAAGAAAAACATCGAGCGTGTAGAAAACACCTTCGAGCGCGAGCAGAGACTAACCTCGCTCGCTCGCGAGCAAGTTCACGTTTCGCGAGGGAGCGAATATCTCGCGCGAGACGGACTTTTGCTCGCGGATGTTTGTTTTACGCGCGTGCATCAACCTGATTTGCGCTCTCGAATTTTGACAGTGATTTGCCGCCATAGGTTTGTGTGACGTTAAAGCAGGATTTCTGTCTGCAAAATTGACATTAAAACAATGTACCGCGAGCAGCACGGGGAACAAATAGTGTTATTAATTATGTTCAGACTTCTAAACCCACAAGCAGTTGTATCTTTAAAATGCCCATGGCCGTGTATAATGTTTTTCCACGGTCCTTACTTACTGGCTGAACTTTATCTGTGATGCAGTGAATCGAAGCTAGCACAACATCTGCCTGAGCTTCTGCATGTATATGACTGCTGTCACTTTCTGCCATTTTGTCTTGTAAATAAAGTAGTTTTGCACAAATGTTTAATCTCTGTGTCGTGTTTGTATTTTTTAAATCTTAGGGCGTATGATCTAATTGTTTAGTAAATGCAGTTTTTATTATTACTCCAGGACAGACCTTCCTTCAGTGTTCTTCAAAGAAAAAAAGATTCAGACGGAAGGGAGAAAATAATTTGTACTCCATTCAGAGGCAATCAAGTAGTACAGTTAGTGATGCCTAAAGATTGGGGAACTATATAAATAATTTCTATTTTCCTTTTCGGGGCATGCATGTACCAAGATATTTATCGTCATCGGCTTCCTTTTGCAAGAATCATACTCGGTAATGGTAAAGTTAACGAAAGAAAAATCTTATCCAGTTATCCTTTTTTTTATACACTTCATTTTCGCGTGAGAACAAAGAAATGTAGCTGTTGATGTGCTTTCAACTGACCGCCGCCAGGGGGAGCCGTTTCCCCGCCGCCCCTCCTCTCCGCGCGGCCGCAGCCCCTCTCCGCTCGGCCGAATCACTTCATCCATTTGTACCCAGAATGCAAAGTGAAACACCGAAAAACCTCAGCAGCCTCGAGCTCTCCAGGTTATCATGGCGATAAGAGACACATCTCCCCCTTGAGTCCTCCCCCGGCAGCGGCAGCAACGGCAACAAAAGCGTCCCTCTTCCCCCCCTCCCCGCTACGGAGAAAACACCCGCAACGGGTCCCCATGCAGCGGACCTTTACCCGGGACTGAGGGAAGGACACAGCAGCGCGCGAGGCACCGCCATGGCAGCGTCGGAGCTGTACACAAAGGTAACACAAGTGGAACATGTATGTGGAGCGGGATGCTAGCATGGTCGGCTACAAACATGGTTACGGTTTTTAGCGTCATGCTAAGTGACGTTTTTTAAAATGTCCAGGCTGTTCCCCTCACGGAAAACGTGCGGACGTTGTTTTGTTTTTTATCGCTACGAAAAAAAGGAGAAATTAAATTATTGTTGTTGTTTTTTATATCTTTCTATATGTTTTTTTTATTCTTCAATGAATGAAAGAAATGCGAAGAGGAAACGAGCCGGTGTGACGTTCGCTGAGGTATCGTCGGGTGTTTAAACATAAGATGTAAGACAACGATAGCGCGGCGGAGAGTCGTGTTTTCAACCTAAAATCCAATCCAATACGTTTGTCACCTTGTTTTGGTGACACGTGACCTTTTTAATATTATTATTATTATTGTAAATCATCCCCCACTGGAGGGAGGGGGGTGATGGTGATGATGATGATGATGCAGAGGCGTCACGCGGGGCTTTACGTTTTTAAACTAACGTTAATACCATTTGGCTCTGGAACTCACGCATGATGTATTTGTTTTTTTATTTCGATGGCGGTGCGTGTCTCACACCCAATGATACCCCGCTCTCTCCCCCCGCCCCACCCGCACCTCCCTCCCTCCCTTCCGGGGCCTTTGGGTGGGAGCCGCCCGCCGCAGGTTTTGGGTACCGCCGAGATGCTGCGGAGCGGCGCCGCATCCCGACAGCTGAGCATCCTCTTAGCGTCCCGCATGTTTGGAGGCCCTGAAGGCCTCGCAGGAGCTGCGAGAACACTCACAAGGTCACAAGCGCTGCTGCTGCTTCTGTGTTCCTATGAAACCCATATAAGAAAGGGGCGTGAGGGAAGATGAGTCACCCATCCCCCAGCTTTGACAGCTGGTGTGATCAGCACCAAAGAGCTGGTTGTGGTGAACAAACTACATGTTGTGTGTGTGTGCGCGCGTTTGCGTTGTGAGGGATGAGGACGATCAAAAAAAGACAAAGCTCAATTGAAGAGCAATTGCTTTTACGGTTGGATGTCTCTCGTGTTGGTCCGACAGTGGTCCTCCCCCTTGAACCAGATGACACAAATTTGAAACCTGTGTCATCAGACCGAACTCCCCGCTGAAATGTTGGAGTCGCTGCTTGCACCACGGGGTGCTGCTCTGTGACTAAAGCTGATCTCTGATCATCAAGGAGAGAGAGAGAGAGGCAAAGAAAAAGACCATTGTTTTTGTTTCCATTGATGAGATGGTTCAATGGCTATTTTTGGATGGACAGAAAATTGACCTTTTTAGTCAGTTTTCACAGCAAAGTTCAAATGTGCTGGTCCCTCTTTTTTAAATGTGAAGATTGGCTGCTTTTCTTACCTAGAAGTTTAAGTCCAATGTGTATTAGCACATTGGACTTAAACTTCTAATCATTTTTAGAATCAATTTTCTGACTTCTAGACCAAACCAGTAATTAAGTATATTCTATTTCTACAACACCTGTCAAAGTCAAGAGTCACTAAACAGAAGCAAAGCCAATAGATTGATATTAGAGAACAAAACCATGAAATAGACAATAAAAACAGACTGAACGGGTTTACGCCAGTCAGAGCAGCCTAGTTTTGAGCTGGTTTTTAAACAAAAGTAATTGATTACTCGAGAAACGTATTGGTTGTCTGAGCAAACAAGTTCTCTAGGAACACGTTAAACATGCAGCTCCGATGTCAGATTAGAATATGAATCCAAGATGAATATTTTCTGCTTTCACTCCCTTTCTGCAGAAATGATGTTAGCGTGTGATGGTTCTGGTTAAATAGCACCCAGGTCAAAACCTAAACCCGCCATCAACAAAACACACATAGATTTTACCTGAAGCTGCTCAGTTTGTTCCATCTTCTTCTAAGAGGGGGGAAGCAGCTGGAAAGCAAAAAGTCTGATTCTGGCTTTGAATGGTGAAGTCTGTTTCAGAAGTCAGACCCCCCTCTGTGATTTACTTCTCCCACACAGGGAAACACTCTGCCCTGTGTGCGAGAGTGAGTCCGAGCTGCTCGGTTAACATGCGCACATACGAATGCACATGATCGGCATCGGATTCGGTACCAATCTCCACTTGGCTCCCGTCTGACCCGGCGAGGTGAGGCCGGCTTTACTGGGATGGAGGAGGACAACGGCGACGAAGCTGCGGTTGTCAACGTGTATTGCCAAAGAAAAGAACAAATTTAGTTTTAATTCGTTGTGTTCCGGCCGTGTGAGCCAAATAAAGTAAGCGAAACCGATCCGGAGGACAACTAGCAAGTGAATGTGAATGAAACTGTGCCGCGTAACCACACGAGAGGGTGGACACTCTCCTGAAAATAGAAGTCAGGCAGTGCTCCATTAGATGACTCAGGAAAGGAGAGGAAATTGATGCACAGCCGAGTGAAACACACACTGCATTTCAAGGAGCTTTTTACTGTACCTGCACATTTTTTCTTTTAATGACCAGACTCGTAAAACTAACATTAGAGGAGAATATTGCCTCAGCAGATATCCTTCCCCACAACAAGCTCACTCTGTTGTATGAAGATGCACAGACAGCCCTGATTGGCCCTTGTTATGGATTTTAGCGAGTCTGTGGTTGGTAGAAGCGATGAGCAACGCTCACCTCGTTCAGGCTCATGGTGTTTGTTTTCTCGCTCTCCGGTTAGACACAGAAAGGAGGGATCAGGACACGTGTACGCAAGAGGCGGCGTACTCATGGGAGACCGAGTTCTTTCCTGTCTGATATTTAAAGATGCTAAATTTAATATCGAGAGCGTTAGCATTACAGCACTTCGCCGTTAGCTGCGAGCCGCTACCCTTTTTAAGAGCCACTTGGAGGCATAGAAATGCAAACAAACTCCCATTCATCACCTTTTGAATGCCAGAAAGCTGTTTTGTTACTCTGCGACTGAGGAGACAGTGAAACAAGCATTGGTATTATGTTTTTATTCTTTTTGCTATAATTATTTCCGTCCCGAGAGCGGGATCAGATTACAATACAGGTACTTTTAAGTGCTGTTTTTATGTTGCTTCAACACACTCACTGGTAGACCTGTCGTCAAGCGGGCAAAAGGCTAAATTGTCAGTAATCACATGAGATTTTTTAGCAAAGGGAAGAGATAGCTCTGGTTTAGAATCCTACCAAAGTGCATCCCAGTGTTGGCGGCAGGTTTAGACTCGCTGACATCATCCCGGCCTAAAGGAGCCGCCGGGGAGTCTTCAGGGTGAGTGAGCGATGGGTTGTCACAAGCAGCTGATGGCCGATGGAAACACCTGCTGCTTCATCACTTGTCAGGGACCCGTAAGCCGTGACCTTGACCCACATGAGCACCTTTTTGATTCGTCCCTTTTCTCCCACATTTTTAGCCACGTTAGCAGCAGCGCGGCATAGATTAAATTGTCAGTTTCAGAAAATTCCTCGCTTTGGTCCAGACAAAATGAAGCCGTTCGCTCGTGAAGCAGGACGTCACCTCTCTGTGTGCCAAAAGGTGTAAGCTTGACTGCGTCAGGTTATTTATTTCTCTCTTCCCAGCTGTATTTGGGAGCCATGTGCATTAGATTACTGCGGTAACCTGGTTAAAGTAATTGTGCCGTCGTGTGTGCTCTGGCATGCAGACACCGCTGCTCGCAATAACGGCGCCGAACACGCCAAGGGAAGATCCACACAGGAGAGCTGAAATTACGGCTCTTATGTGCAGGGGGGATTTATTTTTGGATGATTCCAGGAATTCAGTTTCAATTTTAAACCGGTGTTCAGAAGCAACGCAGACAAATGCCACGTTTGGTATCTTCAGTCCAGATTAATGTTTGGACTATAGTACAATTGTGCTCCTCTAAAGCAAGAGGACACTCTCAGCTCAGCTGATTGGGACAAGACTGACATTTGCTGCTTGTTGTCTGAAGGCGCGTCGACGTTGTCCCGACTGCGACCCGCCGCTCCGTCTGCCTCCCAAGCTCATGTGATCGAGGACGGAAGCCGGGAGTTTTGTTTTTGACAGACAACGAGGATGTCCAATGGTCTGTCACAGTGCAAGGAACTCTGAGGAGGTGGGACGTCGTCGGACGCCGCTTGTGTCTGCAGAGACACTGGGACGGTTTCATCGCCCAGAGAGCCCCAGTGTGGCTGTGAGGCGTCCGGGGGAAGCAGCGGACTCGCAGCATGAGCGAGAGACTCGACACAGAGGCACCATGAACCGGGAGTTGGAGTACATGTTTGTCAAAGTAAGTCTTTACTACTTTTGAGCTTTCAGTTCCGTCCCCTCCCTCTGGTCGTTATGTAGACGATGGCCAGAGGAGATGGATTTATGACCCTTAATGGGGGTTAAGTCACATTAAACGTCTCTGAAGCGCCTTTCTCTTTCCAACGTGCTATGAATACCGGGCAATACAACACAACACAACACAGCAGATGTGTTGCCACTTAAACGTGCTGCTGACACACCCTGGCTCTGCAGGAAAACAAAGTGAGGTTCATCGAAAAGTGGCAGAAGAAGAAGAGTAGCAGCAGCTCATATTTGAGCCTCAGCTGTGCTCCTGAACAAACAGCATGATCTTTGTTTTCGGATCAAAACCACCGGGTGTATTTTGTCCAAACATCTGCACATCCGGGCTCACAGCCCAAGCGCCAATGCCAAAGCGACACGTTCTCCCTCGGAACGACAGTCGAGGAGCACGTTCGGCGTCCCGTAGACCTACAGGTCACATTACCAACGGCGCGTCGTTGGCAGTATTCTCTCACGTTCAGGTTGAAACATGCTGTGTGGTTCTGCTACACTGCAGCGCTGCACTAAACCAACGAGACCAGACATCGGTCATCGGTGTGGCAGGTGAAACCGCCACAGTTTCTCTCCACCAGCACGGGGCTCTCCTACTGTTTTGGCTTCTCGCTGGGTCGGCCCAGCTGAGCAGAAAAACAGCAGATTCTCACATGAGCGGCATCATGTGACGAGGTCCCGGCAGTCTGGGACTTCATCCGCGGCTTCACGAGAATGCGCGAGCGAGGCAGTGTTCGCATTCCAGGCGGTCCAGTAGGTCGTCTCTCTCTGCCGGCGCCGTGTTACAAAACGTGCTGCTCTCTGAATCCTTCTTTCTGCACTTCTCTCATCTCCGTCTCCAAAGGCTGACAGAACAAGGTTATTTCACAACTCAGTGTACTTTTTCTTTTCTTTTTTCCGTGAGGGAGCAACATGGGTAATCTTGAATTGTAAAAATAATTTCCATGCGAGAGGTCCTTTTAGGCCCCGCCCATGTAGCTGCAGGCAGGAGGAGGTCACGGGAGGGTTCAGAGGAGCCGCAGCGGGCTCCGGCCGAAGAGTGAAAACTCCGAGCTCGGTATTAGCGAGGGGAAGCCGCTGTAATCTGCTGTTGACTCTGCGCAGATTTGTAAACACTTGTCACGGATGCACCGCCCCACACACACACACAGTACAATGTGCACACACACACGCACACACACCACAATGCCCTGATCTCTCTGACCTCCCGTTCTTGCAGCAGGTGTTGCAGTGGAATAAAGAGAAAAAGGGTTTTAGATTTTAATGTTGAAACAAATCCGGACAAATTTGATAACTTCAATTTTTCCGTCTTTGAGATCCACGTCGTGGGACACCGCTTTCTATAAAAAAATGACCTAATATGGTGTCTTTCTTGGTGTGAATGCATTCTTACCGTCTGTGGGGCAGCGCTCAAGAATTAAGACAAGTAGCTTTGGTCAGCGTTAAATCGTGAAAGCATTCAAATCTCGGTGTAGTTGACTGGAGCAAGATTAGCCGGTGTGAAATTAGCATAATCAGGTCGTGATCCTTTGTCTCAGCTAAACCCGGATTAGTTTTAGAGCAGCTTTTGAGACAGGTTCTTTATTTGAAATACAAGTAGGGTACTATTTGACATGTCAAAATACAATTCATTGGAACGGTAACGATGGGGTTGCTGCATCGTTTTTATGCAGAGAACGTCACTGTCCTTGTCAGGCGTTGAGACGTTCACAATATATCCAGATAACATATTCAGAAAACATTATGGGTGTTTTCTGATGAGTCTTTGAAGCACTTCATAATTTGGTTATTACTTTTCATGATTGTCAAAACAGAGGGAAGATAAATGACAACAAGTTTGCAAAAGAAATATGGCTTGTCCATCTTTCAATGTAGTCAGAAAGTCTTTGTATTCGATAAATCGCAGATCATTTTATCTCCTGTAGTTTGATCGGCTCGTGGCACAGATGAGCTGGTCCATTATTCTGTATCTGAGGTCTTACTGAGGTCCCGACTTTCAGACTTTAGCCCAGACTAAAAATTAAAAGTCAGGATATCAACCATATAGAGGTCCAACATAAAGTGCGGTTGAACTTCTTTAATCCAACGTCACAACCGAATCAATCAAGCGCATCGCACTGAACACATTCAATGTGCCACCATTACTTTCAGCAGAGAACATCTGTTCCCGGCTGGATGCAGATGTGTGCGTGCATCCTCTCCATACTGTTATCCTGGTCTGTGTACGTAAATCCACTCGTCCCTCTTTTACTTTTTACTGCTCTCCCTTTCTTGAGCTCTCAGCCTTTTTTTTATGTTTAAGAGAAGCAGATCATTGATCACATTGAAAGCATGTGACTCTGGTGTGAGTGGGACCACCCCCGACAGATAAAGACATACATGATAATAATTAGCCACTAGTCGGCTGCAGACCGCTGCATGCGGCATGAGGTCGAGCTCGATGCAGAGACACTCTAGTCACATGGTTTCTGACGTCACCGCTGCTCTGACGTCTTTCATCCTCTTTCTCGTCCTTCCTCTTCGTCTCGTAACTCACGGGCCGCGGACCGTCGTCCCTCCGCGAGGCAGATGGGAAGGCTGCACTTTGACTCACTATCCTCCTCTCCGGCTCCCGGACGCTTCTCTTTTGTTGCATGTGTTTCATTGTGAAGGACAATGTCCTTGAAACACGTAAACGTTTGTGTGTCCGTGTGAGTGAGTTTCATCCTTCATTTCTCCTCTGTTTTCGGAACCTCAGGGGAATTTGTTGGTCTATGAATACGATTTCTAGCCTCTTCAGTTGCATTGTATTGCTGTCTGTCTTTTGGTCCCCATAGTCGGGACACACACACACACACACACACACACACACACACACACACACACACACACACACACACACACACACACTGTATGTTGTGTTTTGGTTCAGCAAGAAAGAGAAAGAAAAGAAGTCTGCAGATTGGCTGCATATTTCATGTGAAACAGGTGTGTGTGTGTGTGTGTGTGTGTGTGTGTGTGTGTGTGTGTGTGTGTGTGAGAAGAACAGGAAGTGCGCTCAGCAGTGCAGTTGTGTCTCGGTGAGGTGTGATGCTGCTCAAAACTTGGCTGTTGCTATTTTTAGTCCATCTCCTCTTCTCCCTTCTCGCTCTCTCTTCGTCTCTCATTCTCCTCCTCTGTTGCTAGGAGGCAGGCAGCTGGGATGGTCTCCAGTTGGGACCAAAAAGGTGAAAACCGCGAATGGAATGGTGGAATAGGAATAAGGATGGAGACAGGGAGTGTCTGCGTCTTCTTTCCTCTACAAGTAGCTTTATTGTGTTTACGTTTAAAAAAGAAACCCACTACCATTTCAAATAAATCTCTGCCGGTTTGCACACGGTTTTCAGAGTCCGCGTGAGATTTGCAGCGCATGGCTGATATTTTAAGGACACCATTTGATGATCATATTACCACAATTGGCTCCTCACAACTGAAAGTGACACTAGTCATTCTGAGTATTACCACACAGGTTCTATAAACTATCCGATGAGCCGATTGGGCCGATAATCCATCAACGTTTATGAGACATTTAGGATAACAGAACAGTGGTAATTGCACTGGTTGTTTATTGGCAAATGAAACAGAATATCAGGGGGAAGATGTCTCTGAGAAGAAGGAATATTAGGATATCTTAATAATTTAAGGTTGTTTTTATGTTTGGGGTTAAAAATAAAGCTTGTATATTAATGTCAATATTTTTCGGTGTTTTTTATTAACTTTGGCCTCACCGGCACGGTCGGCATAGCTTCTTTAGTGACAAAGACACGGCACGCTGCTCAACCACACGGATCCAACAGCGTGGTCTTCCTGCAGAGGTGGAAAGAGAGAAGGATTCGAGAAAGGAAGAAAAAAGTCGGCACATTTGTGGTGGTGGAGCTCAGCGAGGGGAAAAAAAGGGAGGAAATTCTCATAAAACGTCTTTGTTCTCGGATAGACTTTAGCTGCTTTTTCACCCCAGACGAGTGAGAGACGGTGAGGGGGGGGGAGAAGGTTCGTGTGACCATGACGTCATGATTCAGATGAGTGGTGGTTAAGCAGCAGAGCGAATCGTGCTTTCTGCAGTCCAGTCCTCCTGCGACTGTGAGACTGCCGTCGGCTGTTTAGTCAACGAGGCCTGAAGAAGGCCGTGAATTGGATGTTGAACTCCCAGCAAGTATCAAAAGTGTAATTCAGATCCTCCCGGAATCTCTAAAATTGAACCTCTTAATGTCTGTTCCTCTCATCTTTCTCCGTTGTGTAATATAAAATTTACTGAAAGAGAAACAGCCTCTGTGTTGTTTGAGCGCTGACTTATGACTTCACTCCGGCAGCTCCTGCACGCGCACACACACACACACACACAGACACACTCACGGGGCATCATCTGTCTACTACATCAGAAGCAAGGCTTTTGTGTGTGTGTGTGTGTGTGTGTGTGTGTGTGTGTGTAACGTTGGAGCTGGATTCCTCAGCCATGTGACTGCCAGCGTTCATCACTGTTTTTCCACATGTCTGCAATCAGCTGATTGCCTCCAGTCACAAGTCTTTAAGACCTGAAACAGTTTTGTGTGAACTAGTCCGTGTGTGTGTGTGTGTGTGTGTGTGTGTGTGTGTGTGTGTGTGTGTGTGTGTGTGTGTGTGTGTGTGTGTGTGTGTGTGTGTGTGTGTGTCTGTGGGAGAATTTTTGATTGCAGTATGACCACACAATATCCACAACTGTGCTCCTCAGAGGTTAAGAGCCTTGATTTGTTCAACAGTGTGCTCCTGCAGCTGGACTGACCTTTTACGGGCCATGTGCTCATGGCAGTGAGAACACAGACCTCAGTGTTGTCTCTTGAGGTCAGCCTCTTTAACAATTAGTAGAAAGGAAGTATGCGTAAACGTCTCCCATCAGGCCTCGTTTAAAGGGCTCTTAGTAGAACCGGCTGGGATGGAGCCAACTCGTCAGTATCAATAGCGCCTCCAAAGAAACGGTAATATTTAACTCCGGCCTGTTTCAAATGTTCACATGGAACCCTCTCGCCTTCAAAGTTCTCTCACTTATTGTGTGGAATGTTCAAAGGACGTAAAGATGCCAATGAAAAGAAGGCAAAGTAAGCAGCTCGGCCTAATTTGTGTTCAGCCTTCTGTATCTGACTCGGTTTCCTTTTCCCCTTCCAGAGGGCTCGGGTGTGGATCCCCGATGCCGAGGAGGTGTGGAAGTCCGCCGAGCTGAACAAGGACTACAAAAATGGCGACGCCTCCCTGCAGCTCATGCTGGAGGATGGAACGGTGAGGATGAATGGAGGTGTAGTTGGAGGAGGGGGCGAGGGGGTGTAGATTCTCTCTCTCTCTCCCTCAAAGGTACTTGAAGGTGCTGAGTCTCATTTGTGGTTCGGTGGTTTTTGCATTATCACTTTCCACAAATGAGGCCTGCGTGCAAAGACGCCTCGAGGAGCGCTTCGAATGTGTAGCTGTACATTTAAGGATACAAAGAGCTCGTAGTGCCATGCCAAACAGCCCCTTATTTATCCTTCCCTCCCCGCCAAAAAATTAAAAAAATCTCATTAAAGTTCTCATAGAAACCCCCAAGTAAAAATGTCTGAATAGTGAAATAATCAAAGCAACATCACTCAGTTAGTTAAATAATCCATATATCTAACTCCCGGCCGATGTTCCTTCCAGAATCAGCCCAACTTATAAAACAAGCACCACACAGAGATCTACTTAATCGGGGTAGAAAATACCAACTGTTTCCACACAGAGAGAGAAGAACTGAATACACGATGGAAACAATCTGTCTTTGAGCGACGGGCGGGTTTTGAGCCGTGCCGAATCAGTGGCCTGTCTCGTGGTCTTTTTGAGAATATATGCATGAATTACTGGCTGATATTGGCCTTTAGCAATCTAAAAATACATGTTTCTCCCCCACTATTGGCCGATCAACCACCTGGAATGTAGTGATTTGGCGTTGTAAGGAGGACTGGGAAAAGGAAATTACAGTCATTATGTATTTCTACCATAAGCACCAAAAGTACTTGTGCATTCATGTGTTTAGTAAATCAATCCAATTAGGAAAGCTTAAACATATTTTAATCTCACCCCTTAACACAGAGAAGGTCTTTATATCAGCTTTTACATTTTTATCTGTGGAGGACACGGATACTAATAGTGATACGTTGCGACTGGATCAGAGATTAATCCTCATAAGAGTAAGATGTCTTTCAAACGATTGTGGAAATGTTCTAATAATGATAATCAGCGCTGTTTATTTACTATCCTATCTGGTACAAATTGTGCGTTATCCTCTCTTCCAAAAATGTGAACAGTAATGTTTGTGAAAGTGACATTTTACGATGTAACTGGAACAACAACAAGAAATCTCCATTTAGGATGTTCTTGGTGACAAAAAATGCTTTATTAAAATTCTGTATGCAATCAAACTGTTCATTTTCACTTTTCCCTACAAACTATTTAAAAAGCTAGAGTTTTATTTTATTACGATTGGATTGACGTTCAGTTCCAGTTACTTCAATTACAGGTCACACAGATTGTAACCGACGTCTTTTCGAGGGACTTTAAAAAGTCCCTCGACGTCTTCTGTGAACGTTTTGAACTCACCGCTGTGTCGCGTGCTCGGCTCGTTACGTAATCTGTTGCGACGCTCCTCTTTTAATCTGCTTCCTCGTTCCTCTTCAGAACATCGAGCACAAACTGGACCCCAAGACGAAGAACCTTCCTTACCTGCGTAATCCCGACATCCTGGTCGGCGAAAATGACCTCACGGCACTCAGCTACCTGCACGAGCCGGCCGTGCTGCACAACCTCAAAGTCCGCTTCATGGACTCCAAGCTCATCTACACTTACTGTGGTATGAACAGATGTCATCATATCCCATTCAAATCTGCGTTCAAGGGCATGAATACACCGTATGTCCTTTTCTCTCAGCCAATTGGTTCCCCTCAAATCACCACTTTATTGTATTTTTGCCTCAAATACAAAATTTCACATGTAATAAAATCCACTTTCTCAAGTTGTGTAAGATCCCTTTCTGGATTTAATATGTAGTGAACAGTGACAATGAAGTTTGGAAAGATGCATCTCAGTTTCTCGTTGGGCTGCAGGTGAGCTCACGCTTTGCCTCTGTGTGTCTCGTAGGAATCGTCCTGGTGGCCATCAACCCGTACGAGACGCTGGGTATCTACGGCTCGGACATCATCAACGCGTACAGCGGTCAGAACATGGGAGACATGGACCCACATATCTTCGCTGTGGCCGAGGAGGCTTACAAACAGATGGCCAGGTTTGTGTGTGTGTGTTTGTGTGTGTGTGTTTGTGTGCGTGTGTCACCTGAGAAGTCCCGGTCCTGGTCTCCTTGTTGCTCGGCCCCTTCCTCTCTCTTCTGGGTTTGTAGGTCAAAGCTGAGCCATAAATAGGCGACTGGTGGTCTCACCGTCTCTCTTGCTCTCTTTATACTGCTTCTGTCGGTGGGAGACGACCAGTAGATTTCTGAGGTGTCGTTTCTGCCCTCTGGGAATTTATTTCCTAAACAAACAGACATATACATGTACGCTAACAGTACTCTATACCACGTTTAATCAGCATTCACAGAGCCCTTTAGGCACAAAGTCCCATGACTCCGCTGGTGAGGACCCTAAATTCAAATGTAGTGCTGCACAATTAATTGTCCAATCTCAGTGGAGTTATTGTTCTAAAGTCTGGAGTTCTTTTACTGCTCAGCCCAGGTCGCCTTTTGTCACCAGCTGAATCCTGGGAATAACGAGCACCGCCTCGAGATCAATATGTTCCAGAAAAAGGACTTTTTTACTTTAGTTTACAGAAATTTCATATTTACTTATTGTATTTTTTCATGTTGTTCATGTCATTCTTTCTCTAAAACATATATGAAAATAACATACATAGCAATATTTTCTATACTGAGGGGAGGCGTTTGAATGGGAAGTCTGTGTCTGGGTTCCAGGCGCTGCCTCCCCAGGATTTTAGTTGAGTTTGTGTGAGAATTCGCAGAGCAGCCACGTGATTTATCAAAGCAGGCACAGGAACAGGGGAACTCATAAGGTGTGTCAAGACCTGCTCTGGCTGCAGGCACTTAATATGTTGGTTGATGATTTCATCTGACACTTTCTATCTGTCCTACCACGGACATTGTTTATGTCCCGCTCCTAATTGTTGAACCTCCCAGGATGAGGATGCATCTCAGCCATCACCCTAACCCTCCAACTACTAAAGTACCAAAAGAAAGACCCAACGAAAGGACATGATGTCTACAACGTCCTTTTGTTGTTCATTCATTCATTTGTTGTTTGACTCGTCAGGGACGAGAGGAACCAGTCGATCATTGTGAGTGGGGAGTCCGGAGCAGGAAAGACGGTATCAGCCAAATACGCCATGAGATACTTTGCTACGGTCAGCGGCTCCACCAGCGAGGCCAACGTGGAGCAGAAAGTCTTGGCTTCCAACCCCATCATGGAGGTGAGAACAGGAGAGCGAGATTTTGGATCATTTACAGTTTAACCTAGGAGACTGACATTTCATAACATTGACATATCCATTTTTAGTGAGTCTGTTTTTCTTTTGAAATAACTCATTATTCACCTGATTCAACTTTGTACAGCCGGAACATTCCATGTGTTTGAAGGGCTGGGAAAAGCTCTGCGTCGGGTTTCCCAATAGTTCATGTGAAGGCACTGGTTTCCTTGAACCGTATATTCACAAGCTTAGTCAGTTTACCAATGATACGGGCTTAAGGTCGTTACGTTCTCCTCTCTTATCTCGCTCTCCTTCAGTGGCATTTACTTCCTCCCTTCCCTTCAGTTCCTCCATCACGTCTTTCTTGCCTCGAGCTGCTCTCCACTGCGATAACACCGGCCTCATCCGTCACTGTGCGTGTTTTGTATTCCATCCTCTCCAGTCACGAGGACAGAAGGGCTTGGAAAGCTTCCCTGTGTCCATATGCTTCCTCCTCCTCCTCCTCCTCCTCACCCTCCTCCTCGCCCTGTCTCCTTTTACAACCGCTCCACTAACGTCCCTCTCGTTCCTCCCGGCCGCAACTTTCCCCCTCAAGCCAATCGGAGACAAGCCGACGGAATGAATAGAAAGCTTTCTCCCGTCGCAGAGATGTCACTTTTTTTTTCTTCCCCGTGGCGTGGACGAGGGTGGACCGTTGCATCAGCCCTTTTCCGATATTACAAAACCGCTGGGCGTGCGCAAGAGCATCGGTGCGTAGTGTTTGTGTGAGTTTGGCTGATGCAGTACACAGATTGAAATACTCCCTGAAAGACTCCTTGTCTGCAGTGAAAGGCTGTGTGTTTGGCCTTAACTCAGCAGGAACCCTCATTGCTCACACACAGGATTTAACTCAGTTCAAGCCGGCTGCTTGAATAGCAGGAGGCTTGTTTTTTGTTTTTTTGGAGCCCCACCCGTCTCCCAACAATTCCTCAAAGGGGTCATTGATCAATCCTGTTTAATGATCTTAGGCTGCAAACCGTAGTTATTTCTTTGGGATGAGATGGGATCAGTTGCTCAGCAGAAAAATCCTGTCTTTGGAAGGACAGAAGTCAATTTAACTACTGATTTTTACCAATCAGAACTAATCGTAATCTTATTTCGGGTTGTATGACATTGGGGCTCACTGGTTTTAGGATCAGGTGTGCAGTACTTTTGAGAGACTGGCCAGCAGTTTGCCCCTTATTCTGGCCCTAAGCTAAGCTAACCCCTCGCTGCAGTCAGCGTCACATTAACTGCACTGGCAAGAGAGTGGGATCAACCTGCTGATCTGACCCTGGCAAGAAAGCCAAATAAGCATATTTCCCAAAATGTTCAAGAGCCATGTTAGAGCCAAATACATTTTCTCTGTGATTGCACTTAGTAGCCTCCATCTCCTGTTGTGCTATCCTGTCAAAACTGGAACCACGTTTCTTACATATAACAGCTTTTTTTTTCGTTTTGATCTTTGTCTGTCCCCCAGGCCATTGGAAATGCAAAGACCACACGAAACGACAACAGCAGCCGCTTTGGGAAATACATCGAGATCGGCTTCGACACACGCTACCGCATCATCGGCGCCAACATGAGGACGTATCTGCTGGAGAAATCACGAGTGGTGTTTCAGGTGAGCAAAGGTGACGCTCATTCCTTTAACGCTCGCAGTCTGTCCTCCTCCTGCCTCGACCATCACAAATCAACGCACAGGGTCGGCATTTGTAAATGTAACCACTTTTGCCGCAGTCTTTTCAAACTTGCCTTGGAATGGTTGTTTCCTTCTGTCATTCACACCTGGTTGCTGATTGCACACTTTGTTCCTGTGGAGGGTCCTTGGGCCTCCTCCTGATCATGTCCGTGAATGCACGCAGTTCTTCAGCTTACGTCACTCTCTGGAGTCTTGCAGGGTTAATAAGACATTTCTTAGTATAGAATGCAATTGTTATGACTAATGTACTGTACTGTAACATTCAGGGTTTTTATCTTACAGCCTAGTTTTAACACCTTCAAACAATACAATGAAACAATAGTCCGGGTGAAATGTCTCACTACGGGACACTGTCTGACCTCCCAGCTCCCAACACAGTGGTGACAATGCAATGTACTTTCCAGGCTGGGACCGTACAGTGACGGTAACCCCGGTTAGAGCGTCTGAAATGTTGGCCTCAACCTTCGTGTACTGTCTGGCCTCGGTGTCCTTTAGAGACGAGAAAGAATGCGGCAATAACCTCCTTCACAAAGACGAGTGAGAGGAGACAAACAATACATATGTTTCACCGGGTGACAGCGTAGCCCCCCCACCTCCCCTTGCTTTCTCTTTCTAGTGTCAAAGAATATTTTGTGGTCTAACTCCTCATATAAATATAATTTTCATCTATTTACAGCATAAAATGTGCTTTTTGTTTCTCCCATGTAGCTCCATTGTATATTCAGAGGCAGGTTTGCTCACTGGCAGAGTCGGTAGAGCAGTGTCTTGTCAAGGCAGCATATTCAACTCACACACACACGTTCTTCTGTCTGTGCAGCAGTGTTGGGGAATGAGGATGTAAGTGGAAAGCGTGATCACCTTCCACTCCTTTTTTCACATGATTGACTCCGGTGCCACCCATTTATGGGTGTGTGCGTGTTTTAAATTCTAGTAGCAGAATATAGGGCATATATAAACTGTCAATCTAATTCAAAGCCCATGTGGTTATACATCACCCACAGAGGTATGGTTTTCCCTGCAAGAGGCCGTGTTGAAAAAACTCTAGAATCAATGACCTCCAATGTACGTAGTCGAATAAAAATGCAACATATGTGTGCGTGCAGCGTTTCCCTATCAAATCATCTTCATGCTTTGTTTCAGGCCGACGAGGAAAGGAATTATCACATCTTCTATCAGCTCTGTGCATCATCCCATCTGCCTGAGTTCAAGATGCTGAAGCTAAGTAAGTGTCATACACGTGCGCATGCATACACACACACACACACACACACACATACACACACACACACACACAAAAACAGTAGCTAGAATTGAGAGAGCACAGAGAGAGTGACCTAGTGGAGGAGCCCAGTGTTTAGCTGCAGTGGTTCTGCCCCCTCCAGCGCTGTAAGAAGTCTTGATATACCGCAGTTTCATGTCTTAAGAGCGCTGACTGATCAGATTTTATATCGGTTTAGACTTATTAAACATATCGACTGTGGTTAAACAGGCACTCAGAGCTCCCCCACTGTGAGCCTGCACCTGCTCATCCAAGTCATTGGATACACACACACACACACACACTCATACATGCGCATGCACAGCTGCTGTCTTTCTCCTCTCCTGCTGACTTCCTGGCTCAATAAATGGGGTGGTTGTCACAGTCGTGTCAGTGCCTCTCGTTGCCAGGAAACAAGTCATGCCTTAATTCAGTGTGAAGTGTGCATAGTGAAACAGATTGTGCAAAAGTAAAGCTAACATCACTTTTACACAGAAGGGTGGTTGATTGTCACAACGTATGATTGATACAGTTACTCCTAGCTAATCAGAAACAAAATGTTTTCCTAAATAAACCTCCATACATTAAATCAGGCACATTTAGTTTTCCAAAGCTCTGCAGAAAAAGAGGATGCTGTGAAAGCACATTTGTTCCCACGGAGCACCAGGTAAAAACTGCACATTCTGCATGTTTTCTGAATTGATTCACTGTCTCTCTTTCACCGCTCAGGCAGCGCAAACGACTTCTTGTACACCAGGCAGGGCCGGAGCCCGGTAATTGACGGCGTGGATGACACAAAGGAGCTGTCCTCCACTCGCAAAGCCTTCACGTTGCTCGGTAACCTCACACAGAAAAACAAGCAAACATTCAATTATGTCTATAACCCGGTGCTCGAATACATCTTAAGACAACTCAGCACTGTAGACCAGCTGCATAATAATAAGAAACACATTATTTAAGGTATAGCTTTCCTAATTGTTGAACCTCCCAGGATGAGGATGCATCTCAGCCATCACCCTAACCCTCCAACGACTAAAGTACCGTGTGTGTTTATGTATCTGTGTGTGTTGTCCTCTGCAGGTATTAATGAATCCAATCAGATGGGTTTGTTCCAGGTGTTGGCTGCTATTCTTCATCTCGGGAACGTGCAGATAAAGGACAGAGACTCGGACAGCAGCATCATTCCAGTGAGGAGAATATTAATGTTGCTGTTCAGATTGTCAGTGAGACGAGCTGAAACCGATAGCTTGATATCCGCGACGGCCTGCACTAGACATAAATCTAAAAATAGATCCGTTGGGCCAGTTAAAGCTGAGGAACAAGTCACTGTTTCTCAGTTGTGCTACTTGTTTGAAAGGAGGAAATCCATTTTTTTCCTAACTCACGTCGTGTCGGGTATTTCCTGCTATTGATTCAAATCTTTTCACTCTAGCCCAACAATGGCCACCTGACGGCATTCTGCGATTTGGTGGGCGTGACCTACCAGGACATGTCTCAGTGGCTGTGCCACAGGAAGCTGAAGACGGCCACAGAGACGTACATCAAGACCATTCCCCGCCTGCAGGCCACCAACGCCCGCGACGCGCTCTCAAAACACATCTACGCGAAGCTCTTCAACTGGATCGTGGAGCACGTTAACAAAGCGCTAATCACCAATTTTAAACAGCACTCCTTCATCGGGGTCCTTGACATCTACGGGTACGTCCGTGCATTCGCCTGTCACCGTGGGTGATGAGCAAATCGGAGGTTTTAAATATCACTAATATGAAAAGAGACATTGTAGTGTACAACATGGCTTAATAGACCAGTAAAGTCAATCGCACTGACGCACTTATTAGCGATGTTCAAACACGATGTTCAAACGGCACGTCTTCTCCGTTCGTCCCCTCAAGGTTTGAGACCTTTGAGATCAACAGCTTTGAGCAGTTCTGTATCAACTACGCCAATGAGAAACTCCAGCAGCAGTTCAACATGGTGGGCAGCGCTCGTTTTACCGTATGGGTTGCGCATTTAAAGATGTGCAAGATTATGCAAGTATTAAGCTTATTCCCCATTCCTGTGTTTGTGTGTTTGTGTAGCATGTGTTCAAGCTGGAGCAGGAGGAGTACATGAAGGAGCAAATCCCCTGGACTCTGATTGACTTCTACGACAATCAGCCCTGCATCAACCTCATAGAGGCCAAGATGGGCATCCTGGACCTGCTGGACGAGGAGTGCAAGGTGCATTTTGAAATAGCATTTAAAATCCTTTATGTTCTGATAATATTATTGTGGGAGCCGGAACAGGATTGTGTTGCTTTGTCGCAGTTGTGTTTTTATTGGATTCGGCTCTCTATCTGTCTATTGATCTTTTTACCAAAACAGACTGATGGTTAATCTGTCTTTTAAAAGCGTCTGCATCAGCACCAAACTGTTTGTCGAAAAATAACTTGCATACAAAAAGTAAAGTAAGTCCGTGCTGCAGCTGGAGAACGACCATGTGGGTTGACACCCAGCATCACAGCGACGACAGCTTTTCCAGCATACACAATAAAACTGAGACAAATCACACGTTTTTATTTTGTGCACACTACGTACGTAATGTTTGGGTGGAGCTTTGGTTGAATGTACATGAAATGTAGGAGTTATCTGAGTTATTATTTGGGTGGCAGCCAGTGTAGATTCAAGGCAGTGCTCGTACCATCGACGTGGCTCAGCCAGTTCACTAACAGTGCTGACTAATCTCTCCGTGGCTCTTAAGCACTGCAAGGTCATTTTACAAGCTGTTGACATTTGAGGTGGTCCACATTGCTGACATAATTGGAGGCTAACGCAAACACAAAACGGACATTTGCTTTGACTTATTGGCAAAGAAACATCAGAAAAGGTGTCCCCATGCGCTGTCCAACCACCAAAAGAAATTCAGTGTAAAATGTAATTCAATCCAATAACAATAACGTACAACGTAATCTACTTGAAATTTGTCTTTCAACGTAATTTTTTTATCAGGTGGTTACATACTTTCTTTCCTACTGATATGCTCCTTGTGTCCTCCGTTTCCGTAAAAGATGCCCAAAGGTTCCGATGATTCTTGGGCTCAGAAGCTCTACAACACCCACCTGAAGACCTGCTCCCTCTTCGAGAAGCCACGCATGTCCAACCGCGCTTTCATCATTCAACATTTTGCCGACAAGGTGGGCCGGACTCTGTTTGTTTGTGTTTGTCGTAGTAAAATAAAACATTCACGTTTGGCTTGAAAACTAAAAGCTGTGTATCTGCACGTAGAAGACTTATAGACATGTTGGCTACAGTTGCTGCTGCAGCGCTGCAGCTATTTTTAGGATGGCTGGAGCATAACTTTTTATTAAATCATTATTGTTTTCACACCAAAAAAAACAGTACTGCAGTGAAATGTTTTGAGTGTGCATATGGTTGAAAGTGTAATCCGCTTTAGTGCTCCATATCCTGTAATGAGGTGCTGTATTACAGTGTTATTTTTAATGTCTGTTTTAAGAGCCCCACTATGAGGTTACAGATAGACAGAGTCAAGGGCTAATGACGTTACCCTGACTCTAAAATGAGCTCCTTTGAGATATTTCTGTCTAAACATTTGAAAAGATTAAGGTTGATATTAAACCAGAAGCTTTTCTCTCTGCCTCAGTGGTTGATATAAAACCAATAGGTGGAAACTTTTCCCCTTTGAGCATTAGGACAGTGAGTACACATTTCTCAGTCAGATGTGTTAGGATCCGCAGGAACGTGATTAAGAATACAAAAAACGGGTAGAGAAGGTCAACTGTAGGGATGCAAAACCACGCAAAGAGTCTAATTATCATTCATCTTCTTCCCCAAAAACCTGCATGAGTAAACTGAATGTCTCATCAGAAATACCTGGATGGTTCCCAGTGAAATGTTACTTTTGTGCTGTGACACAAACGGCTCTGTTGGTGTCGAGCAGGTGGAGTACCAATGTGAAGGTTTCCTGGAGAAGAACAAGGACACAGTGAACGAAGAACAGATCAACGTGCTGAAGGCCAGCAAGGTGAGGAGTACAGACGCACACCCACGTCACAGTTACGTACGTTCAAAGCAGAGAGACATTTCAACACATCAATGCACAAAGTGCCACTGAGATCAAAGCCAAAGGCTGCTGCTCACGGAGAGCTGGGTGCCTCTGTGGGGGGAAATATAGTCCATTGTTTATCGACACACGATCCCCCAGCTGAAGGTTCAGGCAGGCAGCGCCATCCCGTGGCCATGTGGAGGTAGTGTTGACGCCAGAAGCGATGACTCCATCCGGGAGAGTTAAAGCCACACAGGTTTAAAAATAAAGGTGATTGTGGGTCAATATTGTGGTATCAATATATTGTTAGAATGATATATTTTGCACAATATTGCCATGGCTGGTTTTTCTAAATATATTTAAAAAGGCAAGACCCTTGACCCAAATAAATCCAGTGTTATGTAGTAGCGATAGTTAAGTGTGTGTTGATGGGTGTTTGTAAGTAGGTGTAGGTGTGTGTGTGTGTGTGTGTGTGTGTGTGTGTGTGTGTGTGTGTGTGTGTGTGTGTGTGTGTGTGTGTGTGTGTGTGTGTTTTAATCTGTTTAGGTTCTGTTTCTTGAACCTGTTTGGGTAAAAAAAAAAAGCCCACGTCATACATTATTTTTGGATCCACGTGCACACACACACACACACAGACACAAGCCATGATGTTGTGTGTTTATCCAAAACTCTCAAATGACCCACGAATGTTCTCTTATAGACTTCCATCAAGAAGAGAATTGGGTAAGGGTTGAAGTACTGTCTGCTCTAACCTCTAACTCAATCACTTAACACAGGAACACACACACACACACACACACAGTCATGGACTCAAGTATGAATGTTGCCATGGAAATCAGGGAGATTTAAACAATTGAGAATGAATGCTAAGGAGCTCTAAGTTGCAGATTTTTTTCTCTGTCTTCTTGTCCCGTGTGTGTGTGTGTGTGTGTGTGTGTGTGTGTGTGTGTGTGTGTGTGTGTGTGTGTCCGTCTGTGTGAGAATGCACATGTTTTCTAGCTAGCGGACTCTTAAACTGGATGTAAAATTAACATTGATTGACCTACCGTGGTACCACACAACCTCATCTTGAATTCGGGGAACGACTGAGAAATGATTGACATATAGCAGCTGATTCATTTCATCACCATCGTTTGAATGTGATCGCCCTTTTAGATGAACAGACTGGGATGTTTGGGATGATTTACTTTCTCAAACTGCCACTGAAAGACTTCTAACTTTAATAACAGGTCTGGTTCATTACACCTGGGGTCTTGAACATAGTCTCCCTTCTGAGATCTGGTAACAGGGAGACTACAAAGAACTGGGGGGAAAAAAGAGGATTATGCTGGGTTGTTAAAGGGCTAAAAGTTTAGCCAAATTATCTAGATCACTTCAATCCTCTAAGCCCTTGCTAATGATCCTCCATTGCACAGTAAACATACCAACAAACAAACAAATATAAACACTACAGCGAGTCCAAGTTGAACCAGGAATTCATTCAATTCAAGCTCCGATAAATGTTTACATTTTACATTTTGCCTTTGTTTTCTCCACTAAATAATTTGGAGGTGTCTCATAATCACACCAATGTGGACTTTTTTAGCAGTGTCAGTCAAATACCAGATCCCAGCAATTGAAGCTCTATAAAGAAAATCCCGGTTGTATAATACATGGACTTGCGTTCCAAGTGTTTGCCGTTAAATACTCCAGCGCTGGTTTCAAAGAGTAACCCGCATTGCTCAAAAAAACGAGACCTGTGATGCACACAGGAGTCTCTCGCATTCATGCAGACGGCTGCTTGCAGGTCCAATCGACAGTGCTTTGGAGAAATGCCGAACGCAGAGATTTCCAATGACGCATTGCAACCCAGGAACCTGAGCAGGATTTCTGCAGGTCAAATTCCCTCCACGTGGCCGTCTACCCACACAGACACGCTCTATACTTCATGCAGGCTTCCAGCTCAGTGGAAATGCATCCCAAAGTGTTTTGGGCAAGAAATCATCATCCCATCAACGTCTGGCCAATCCATTTCAACCTCATTAGTCCGCCTGTTTTCTTTTTTTTTTCAATCATCCATGTGTGTTGTGATGGGGGTGATAATGATTGTTGGACCTGAGCTTGTGGGTTTCCTTTCCTTTTAATGTTATTGTGTTTCTTTTGTCACTGTGTCTCCATATGTTGTCCATGTATGTTTGGTTCTGTCCTCATCATGACAACCCCTCCCTGCCAGCAGAAGGTAAACAGAGGCGTTCTTACAACGCCAGTCCGCCTGTAGCTCTTCCTTTTTTTCCCTCTTTATCTTTCCTCCTTCTCTCTCTCGGTCACTGAGGTATCATCACTCTAACGGCACTGATGAGATTGAAGTTATGTGCTTGTGTGTTTTTTGTTTTAATGCATGGAGATCACCAAAGGCACTCAGAGGAGAAAAGAGGGCTGGACATAAAATAAGAGGGACATAAGGAGGAGGATATTTTCACATCCTGGATAATCCTGCTTAATGACTCTGGCGAGAGGAGCCGCATGGTGACTGCGCATAACACGGCATCCTCCTCATATAACCTCAGTGCTATATGCAACACGACGCGTGTGTTTGTGTGCATCATACCGCATGGCAGCACAATGCCATGCAGTCATATATGGCCACGCCGTATTTTCATATATGACTAAACATAACCTTTCGGTTTTTTTTTTCATTGGCCTTTTTAAAACATTGTAACAACACTCTTGCTGTGAATAAGTTTAACACAACGCTAATCAACAATTCAAACCGCAGCTACTCGCTCGTCTACTCGAACACGTGATAATGTTGAACTAACTCAAACCATCTCCGCACTCAATCTCTTAACTAGATAACCTGATTGCTTTTGAAGCAGGCATCAACAACGTTTTAGTAACACAACTTACGCAGGCTTGTGGCCGATTCTCCATGAAAGCTTCGTACGGCTTCATGCACACGGTGGAGAAATGCATATGCATGCCAGGAACTGTAATACGAGGCTGTTAGAAACTAAATTTATCACCCATAAATATATTTTGTAGTTGCACCGGAGCTTAATTTAACAGTAAGTATGGAGGGAAATTCCTTTTTGGTTAGCTTATTATCCCGTAAATCAATATAGCCCGCAGTCTCTAATGCCGGCCTCAGCAACTCTGTTTGACTGTAAGCGTGCTGCTTTCCCCAGTTTCCCCTGCTGGTGGAGCTGTTCCACGACGGGGAGAAAGCCATCAGTCCCACTGGTCAGGTCCCCGGCACCGGAGGCCGGACGCGCCTCAGCATCAAACCTGAGAAGGGCCGTGAGAAGAGCAGCAAGGAGCACAAGAAGACTGTCGGCTGCCAGGTATTTTCACATCCATTTATAATGCAACAAACAACAGCACGTGTTCGTGATGATGATTAGCCAAAGATACATTTTAGAGTTGAGTATGAAGCTACAAAAGAAACGATGGTGACGATTGTCGTCTCTTGTAGTTTCGTAACTCGCTGCAGATGCTGATGGAAACTTTGAACGCGACGACTCCGCACTACGTACGCTGCATCAAACCCAATGACTTCAAGCTGGCCTTCTCGTGAGTCTTCCCCTTCTTTATCTGTGAAAAAACACATTGTAAAATGATATATCTAGAGGTGAATATATCCTCTGCCATCTAAGCTCTGGTGTAATTGATAGAAGATGTTTACTGTTGTGATGTTGATAGGTTTGATCCTAAACGTGCGGTGCAGCAGCTCAGAGCCTGCGGCGTCCTAGAAACCATCCGCATCTCTGCTGCAGGGTTCCCATCCAGGTACCGACGCCACATTTCCACTAGACTGTCTGGTGTTGGATGTGTTTTGTCCTCAAAGAGTTTTCAATATTTTCGAGCAGAAGTCAAATGCCTATCGAGAGCTCGTAACACAGCCAGACAGCTCGGTGCATTTATCGTCACTCAAATTGCACGAGTGAGGTGAGGTAGAGGAGGAGGTTTTGTCTGTCTTCGTGCATTGGATAGTAGTCTGGCTTTACTTACTTGTCTCCTTAATGCATTTTAGATCAATAGTGAAGACCTTAGGATTGGAACAGAAGAAAAACATTTTCTCATGAGAAACCATTATTGGGATTGAGCTGGAATGAATGAATGAAAAAATGGTACATTTGACACCACAAACATGAATCGCATCATGAGATAATGAGTATACACTTTACAGAAACCAAACTGCAAACCAACCTTGTTCCCTCTTTGCAAATTCTAAAAAAAAACTTCATCAAACAAACGATAATATTTAAATGTGTACATCGTGGCTAACTCTTTTACGTGTGTGTCTCAGATGGACGTACCAGGAGTTCTTCAGCCGATACAGAGTGCTGATGAAGCAGAAGGACGTGTTACCTGACAGGAGGTTGACCTGCAGAAATGTCCTGGAGCATCTGGTCCAGGTCAGGCTCTCTGGATTTTTCATCATTCTTAACAGGGAGAAATAATGTTTATAAATGGCAGCTATACATCAATGAATCCGTCTCACTGCGGATCTCTTGCTTCTCTCTTCTTTCAGGACCAGGACAAATATCAGTTTGGTAAGACCAAGATCTTCTTCCGGGCCGGCCAGGTTGCCTACTTGGAGAAGTTGAGGGCGGAGAAGTTGCGCGCTGCCTGCATTCGCATCCAGAAAACCATTCGCTGCTGGCTGGCACGCAAGAAGTACCTGCGCAAGCGCAGCGCTGCCATCACCATCCAGAGGTTCACCAGAGGGCACCAGGCTCGCCGGTGAGTCAGTTGAACCGGATTCACAGAACCATCGTGTGCAAAGACATTTGAGTCCTTCTTACAGACAGTTTTACAGACAGAAAACAATACTGGAGGAAACCATTGTTTTAAAACTGTCTGAAGTTCGGTTCACTACTTGTTGAGTTGAGTCGTGTATATCTTTGGTCTCCTCAGCTTGGCCAAGTTCATGCGTCGCACGCAGGCGGCCACCACTATCCAGAAGTACCAGCGCATGTGCGTGGAGAAGAAACGCTACAGACAGAAGCAGGCTGCCGCTCTGGTCATGCAGACGATCCTCAGAGCTTACATGGCCCGGCAGAAGTACCGGGCGGTAAGATCGCAAAATGCTGAAAAATGTTTTCGATCTAACCTGAGATAAAAAGAAAATCACACCCATTACGCGTGTGAAAGTTGGATCAGTGAAATTGGAAAATAACTACGTTCTGTTTATCTATTTAATGTAATATGGGCTCTTCTTACTCTGCCTGCTTCTCCTCCCTCTGCAGTTACTGCGGGAGAGCAAGGTGGTGATCATTCAGAAACGCGTCCGTGGCTGGTTGGCTCGGTGCTGGTACAAGCGCTGCCTCGTCTCCCTGGTCTACCTGCAGTGCTGCTTCCGCAGGATGAAGGCCAGGCGCGAGTTGAAGAAGCTGAAGATCGAGGCTCGCTCGGTGGAGCACTTCAAGAAGCTCAACAAAGGCATGGAGAACAAGATCATGCAGCTGCAGAGGAAACTCGACGAGCAGGTGGGTCGTTTGCCCCGTCGTCTTTATTTCATCCTTTGGGTTTTGGGCTTTCCTGTTTCATAATCCGTCCCTCCCCCCCAGAACAAAGAAAACCGCTTGGTCAACGAGAGGCTAGCCGGTCTGGAGAACACCTACACAACAGAGAGCGAGCGGATGCGTGGCGAGCTGAGCCGGCTGCGAGGGGCGGAGGAGGACGCCAAGAACAAAGGCCACCAAGTGACGTCGCTGCTGGAGGAGCTGGAGAAGCTGAGGAAGGAGCTGAGTTCCACACAGAAGGAGAAGAAGACCATCGAGGACTGGGCGCAAAACTACAGGAGCGAAATGGAGAAAGTAAGAAAAGGTCCACAGCTGTACCTGTGGTCCAGGTGCTCCGTGGTGTTACGTGTTTGTCGAGGCTATTTTCTTAACCTTAACCTTTTTATGGAAATCGAGGTTTGAATTTCAAGGGAAATTTACTTATTGCTTATCTATATTAAAACTCCCTCTTCGCATTTTCAGCCATCTAGCCAAACTTTTAGTTTAAAAAAAGTTCACTAGAAATTAGTACAATATCCCATTGTGTCCTGGAATATATGTGTGTATATATATACATCAAGAAATGTATATCTCAAGAAATATTTCTCTTGCTTAAATACGTATATTGGCACTAGAGGAAAACCGTTGTCCCCTGATTTAGGAGCCAAAGCGAACCAGGGTGAAATGGGCCCATGGTGGGGTCAGAGGGCGCAGTTGCCCCGGGGCAGGTGAGCACAGGAGATGGAGTAGTGTGCTAGTAAGGTAGCTACTGAACTGTATGCTTGAGTACTCCGTCCTCCTCTGTTCCCGCCTCTTTGAAGAGTTAGGAGTAACAGCAATGTGTTAGATGTGGGAAATAAATGGATCAGTCACATTTAGTCCCGTAGAATCGTCTTTGTGGTCAAGATCCTGAGCTCGTTTCGCACAACATGTTATGATTAAGGATCCTTTCTCAATGTGTGTGTTTCTGTTTCTATGTGTGTGTGTGTGTGTGTGTGTGAGTGTAGATGGTCTCGGAGCTGAAGGATCAGAATGGCTCGCTGAAGAAAGAGAAGGACGACTTGAACAGGTTGATTCAGGAACAGAGTCAGCAGATGACCGGTATGAAAGCGTCCCTGCCTAAAATCAGCCATCTGGTCATGAGGAAACCGAAACAACGCAGTGCGTTTCTTTATTTATTCAGAGAAAATGGCCCGTGCGATACTAGAGGAGACTCAGCAGCTGAAGACCGATCTGAACGAGGAGCGATCTCGCTACCAGAATCTCCTGACGGAGCACCTTCGTCTGGAGGAGAAGTACGACGACTTGAAGGAGGAGATGGTTTCCTCGGTGAGGAACACTAGCACACACACACAGTCAATACCAATGAGAGGTTTAACTCACTTGTCATTTGTCATAATTTAAGTCTTAACTTCAAACATTGAACATAAAAAACACTGAGACAATAAATGTATTTGAGCCGTTATTTAATATTTTTTAACTTGCCACAACCCCATAAAGCAAATGTTTTTTGGTATTTGACACCTATCTGAACTTACAGTCTGAAGGTGCTGCAGGGCAAACTCCAGTCCATCGTTCTTTTAAAGAAACGCTTTTGTTTTCCCTCTCATCTGTAGAACGTCCCCAAGGCTGGCCACAGGAGAAGAGATTCCACCCACAGCAGCAACGGATCAGAGTACACGTACAACTCCGAGTACGCCGAGTTGGAAGATGGTTCCCGTGCCGGCGAGGTGAGGACCTTGGCATAAAGTACCGTCACATTTTTCGATTAGAGGACTCTGTCCTAACCTTCCTCTCTCCTGCAGGATGTGACGCGAGGAATGGACACCTCGCTGACCCTCAAGCTGCAGAAACGTTTAACCGAACTGGAGCAAGAAAAGCAGTCACTGCGCAACGAACTGGAAAACAAAGAGGACCAGTTCCAGCGGGCTAGAGCCAGGGTACCCGAGCCGTTCTGTGCCCTGAGAAATATCGTACCATCCAAATGCATAATACGAACACTTATTAAACACCTCCTTACCAAGACATACAGTTATACTTGCATTGCACTCAATGAAAAGCTTTCTGAAACCATGTGGATCATTTATTAATGCATGTTAATACGGAGTTCATCACTGTCCTTAACACCCTTTCATCACCACGTTTTGCTGCTTGTTTCAGGATGACGTAGAATTTAAAAAGGCTCGTGGGGCAGAGCTGGAGTACGAGTCCCTGAAGGTAAACTAGGAGAGGAGTAGAAAGTAGAAGTGTAACACTGGCATATTCTTCTGCATTTCTTTCCAATAATGGACTATGATCTTTTTACTTCTCAGCGTCAGGAGCTGGAGTCCGAGAACAAGAAGCTGAGACATGACCTGAAGGAGATCCGGCAAAGCCTGGTGGGTAACGCAGCTACGGGCGCTGGGGCCCCGGGCTCCCCGGCCTACAAGGTGGTTCTGGACCAGCTCAACGCCTCCTGTGAGGAGCTCGAGGTCCGTAAGGAGGAGGTGCTGATCCTGCGCTCCCAGCTGGTCAGCCAGAAGGAAGCCATGCACCACAAGGTAGAAGAACATTTAACCGTCTCTGTTTTACCGGCGCTAACAGAGGGAAACTGGAATGATCCAGAGATCTTAAAGAGGGCCAATAATCCTCCATATGTAGATAAACATGTAGGCTGTGTGGTCCCGTGTTGCTGTTTGTTCACAAAATTAAGTTTCAGATTGGGGTGGATGTCTCCTGCTGGGCTGCATCCACCTTCTTACATTTGTGTGTTATGTTTTTGCCGGTGTCTGCTTCTTTGTTTGTCTATTTGTGAGCACAAGGCCCCGAAAAAACGTCTCATTCCAAATCTATCACGGTCTAAAGATCACAAGATCTCTTTCATTTGTGGATTCACGGTCAAATCACGTTATTATTTACACTGTCTATATTGTTTTTACTGCAACGTCGGTGTCTAACTCCACCTTCTCTCCTCCATCCATGCTTTCCCACAGGATGAGAAGGTACAGTTAAACAAAAACTGCATCATGCATGAGTGTGTGTGTTGCATGTAAAACCTCCTCGGTAAGAAATGTGATCCAGCAATCATTTTTATCTTTCATCTCTGTGGCACGCAGCAAGACCCACCCGGCTCTCACCGCCGTCGCTGCTGGAGAAACTGTTTAATGAACCCAAAGCTCCCTAGATACAAAAAACAGCTGTATTTCTAGTAGTTTATTATTTTGCACTAGCAGTTGCTCAAATATGTTCTTCTGGGTTTAATTATAAACCAAAGAATAGAGAAAACATGTTGCAACAGGGTTTACTATAGATTTCTCTTAGTTCCTTCCAAAGTAGGAACATCATAGGTGACCAAATGATTGTCAAACGACCAAAAGCTTCGACATAAAACCACAAAGGAAACATGAGATCAGTGTTCTTACTTTAAGAGGCTTTACACAAACACACACACACACACTTCCCCTCCAGGCTGGAGTTTATTTTATATTATCTGTCAAATCCTGTCTGTGAATGACTGTCTGATTGACAAAAACTCACTGAGGGTTCTGTTCACTAGCTAATTCACTACGCGTGGAGAGATGTCGCTACACCTTAAAATTAAAGTCTGTAAATTTATTTCAGTCCTTCTGATATACAATAAATCTCTTTTGTATATTCAGAAACAATTAACTACACTAAGTTGCAGAAAATTCAAAATGTTCGGAAAACACAGGTTCTAAATCTAGATGATATCTCAAAATATGCAGAGGCGGCGGGGCTCACGTCACTGTGCCAAGCAGTGGTGACCGCTTGTGTAATAATTCTTAATATTACTTTGACTTACTAAAGGCATAAACTGTGACGGTTTGTCTGCTGCGTCCTACTGCGGCTTCACTGATGCACAGATATTCTGGTTCCCGCTCTGTCGTGCTAATAAATTAGCCTCGTCTTCACATCAAGCTGTAACACAGCGGTCACATTTACCCCCTGTTGCTCACCAGCTGATGCTCAGCACCTCTCGTCTCTTGAATGTCTGAATAAAAGACCCCCACTGTGAGGGGACGTTTCCTGTCATCAGGCCGCCGACGCCGAGGCGCTTAACGGCCTGTCACCATTGTGCCCGCGAGGCTACGAGCGGCTGGTGATTGGCAGCGTGAAAGGACGGTCGTAGCCGGCAGCCAATAGGGACGCTGGCATGAGGTCCCCAACGCACAGCCTGCACGCCCGCAGCGTTATGAACTTGCGTTCCTGAAACCACCGAGCCGCCTGTCCTCAATAATGCACCTAGACTGTAGAAAACCTTTTGCTGCTTAGCCGGGTGGCTGTTTTTCTCATTTATCCCGCTGGCCTTTATTTACCTTTCTCCTAGGAGACCATGACCGAGCCTTCCGTCTACGTTGAGGATGTGTCGAAGCTGAAGGACGCGGGTGAACTCAAGCAAGCTTACGTGGGCCTCAAAGACACCAACAGGTACCTCAGCACGGCCCCTTTTCCTCCCAATCTCCAGGTGTCCACATTGGTCAAAGAAGAATTCCCCCTGAGCACGCGACCCAAACGTTTCTACCTCCCCCGAGCTCTCGCTGTGACACTAAGAAGTGTGTGTGTGTGTGTGTTTGTGAACACTGCCTTGTCCTGTGCAGATCTCCTAGGTTCACGCGTAAGCCGCTGGAAGTCAGCGATCTCCTGAGTAGGCTGAGGTAACCGATGAGACGTGGCCGGAGCGTGCATGGCCACCAACAAGTTGGAAATGTTACTGAGGCTGAAACGGCTGACTACGTGGTAGTGCTGATGAAGGCTTCGGTAGCTTTGCGTTGCCTTTCCTGCCACTAACTGCATGTGGAGTGAAGCAGCAGCCCCCATGTGCAGTTGAAGGTGTTCGCTGTGCTCTAACAGATTGTCTTTACCGGACTTTTGCAGTTTTAGGATTCATTGGTCTGCATGAGATGTTATGAATCAGCATGTGCAAGAGCAGAGTCTCTTAGACTAAAGGTCGATTCTGCTTGAGAGCAAGATAAAGATACAAGGGCATTTTCAAACAAGCTCCCGTCTGTTTGCGGAGATGCTGCAGAGCTTCATATTTACAGTGGCGTGTTTACAGAATATGCAGCATGAAAGCATGGACGTGTCATGTAATCTTCAGTTGTAGTTTAGCCTTTATCAAACACACTTCCTCATGCATTGAGCACCGACAGGTCGGATGTGGCTCTGGGAGGATTCCTGTCTCGGCTTTATGGAATGAGTTCTGCATAAATCCTGCATGAAAGCCCATTTGTGTTCTTTGTTTGTTGATGCAGAGATGCACAGCACACTTAAAATGAACGGAATAATCGATACGCTGATCATCCCTGCTTATCGATCATTCCGTCATGCTGTTGTTGTTTTTTAAATCTGTTTCATCGGATTGTTACCCAAAATGCTCCACACGCAATATCGTGATTTCAGTGGGAATACACACGTCAACTGCAGACCCATTCGCTGTTACTAAGCAACAATGTGGCTGTACTTGCATACATGCAAACACACATACAACACTGCAGTGCTGAGGGAAGCTCTTCACTGTAAATTATCAGAGTTCCCCAAAACGCTGTGCTGTGCATCACTGCCAATGCATCACTTTATACTTTTCTTTTTCCATGTTGCTCCTTTTGTTGCTTGTGACCTTCTTTGTTCACACACACACACTACAATACACAGTGGAGAGTATTTAGTACACAGAAGGCCACATTATGACCATTAAGGACTCCGCCACTGTATGCACCTTAAAACCTTTTAGAGGTTAAAAGGTTTATTAATAGATTAAAATCACAGCCCAAATCCTAGTATAGAACATTTCCACTTTTATTTCTGTAGTTAAATCATATAAATTAAAGCTACTGAGAGGGATTTTGATTGGGTTTTGATTTTGATGGTGACTCCACAGTCAGGCTCCAAGGAGGCTTTCATTTCCCTTTAGAAACCCTCTCATTTAATGGAGCACAATGTGACAGTCACTTGCTTATGTATGTCAAGTAGAAGCATCAGAGTTGCATCTAGAGTTTTTTATTACAAGTTCCTCTTGGTCATTAGAAGAAGCACCAAGGTTCCTCAGTCACACTCAGTAACTCCACATGAGCTCAGTTTGGACAGTGTTTTTACATATTACACGAGGGCTTTTACTGTTGTCTTGCACATCTGTTTCCCCGACCAACCCATCCCGCATTTTTTGTGTTCCTTTTGTGTTGTGTTTGTCGGTCAGATCTGCCGCTCCAGACTTCCATAAGCTGAATGAGGACGGAGAGCTGTGGCTGGTTAATCAGGGCTTAAAGGAAACCATCAGGTGGAACTGTGTTTTTTAACACACGTATCATTATTATTTTTAGCTTGATACGTTTGCCTTTATGCAGGAAAGAAGGTGTGCTGCTGGTTTCCCTCATTCACCCCTTTTCTCTCACGTCTTTGCCTTTATTTGTAGGACATGTGCGACTGCTTGTGAGTTGGTTGCTGTTACTTAGTCCTCCAGACTGATCGTACAGCTATTCTGAGCCTACCTTTATGTTTTATGCATTTGGCCCCAGACGTCATTAGGTTGGCCCTACAAGGCTAGACGACTCCCCAAATGAATAATTTGTGTGTTATAGAGTTAGCATATCATGCCACTTGTTTTCATCCCACTCTCTTCTGACGCAGTTCTTCAGAGGGTTGTTTACAGTAAAAAATCCCTACAGATTTTTGGGTGGTCATTCATTCAAGTTTTTAAATTAGATTCTCCCATTTTATTTATAAGAAAGAACTGCAGAGATTTTCTTTATCCTGCCACTAACCTTGTTTTACTTACTTACTTAACTATTTACTTTAATAAAATTCACTGCGGGGATCGGTTACTTTGTTTGCATTGTAAAATGCTCTAAGGTGCTGGATGGATTCTATTCAACAACTGATCAGTTGTGTTTGGTTACTGTCGTCCGACATACAGAAAGTCTTTTAAAACAGTTCCTAAGAATTGTTCACAAACACATCACTTTCTGTGCAGCTTATCCTTTTCCTTGCTCACATCTTTTCTGAATCCACAACATTAAGACAACCATAGTAATGGTTTTAAGTTACAAGTCTCACCGAATATTAGTTCACTTCCTCAACTGAACTGAGCGAGTTTAAAGCTAACAAAAGCGATTGTAGCCAATCCCATCTTCCGCCGAAGCAGCAAATGATATCCGCTCTACTTTGCTAAGCCTGACCACAAGGTTCAATTTTTCAAGAAAGTGAAGCTTGACGAATCGGCGGATTTGAGATTGTTTTCAGAGAAGGCCTCTGGGCTGCTGGCCGGGAGCGCGCAGCATGCTGCATCACCACACTGTGGTGAAAAGCTCATCTTACTGTTTTTGGATCTTTTACTGACACCATAATGCTGGTTTCTTTTTCCTCTTCTTCCGTTGATCCCCTTTCTCTTTTTATTCCCTTATTTGTCTTCTGTCCCACTCCATCTTTACCTGCCACCTACCTTCCTTTCCCCTCCTCCCTTCATCTTCTATCTACCCTTCTTCCTGGTTTCATCTCCTCCTCCCCCCACCTCGCTCCCCTGCAGGCTACTGGAGCACCAGCTGCAGACTCAGCGGAGAGGTTACGACAGCGAGGTGGAGTCGCTGCGCGGTGAGCTGCAGAATGTCAAGGAGGAGAACAACCGGCAGCAGCAGCTCTTGGCCCAAAACCTGCAGCTTCCTCCGGAGGCCCGAATCGAAGCCAGTCTGCAACACGAGATCACGCGGCTCACCAACGAGAACCTGGTAGGCCGCAGCACGCGCAGAGACACCTACAGATGGAGATGGAGCGGTAGTCCAGTCAAGTGCACGAGGCAAAGGCTCTCAGAGCCTTTGAACATCGGACGCAGCATCAACATTTCAAGTTACAATATACATGCACCCAAAAATGTATGAAACAAATCTGAAACATTACATGATTTTCAAAAATGAAAACCTCATTCTTTTTTGTTGTTGCCACATTTGAGCCTTGTTCTCGCACACTGCGCCGCATAGCTGGAACTACAAAGTGTTCGGGTCTGTCGTCTCCTTTCCACTCGGGTCCATCGCACACAAAAAACGCGACAATGTCACACACACACACACACACACACGCGCTCATTTGTGTGGACGGTGTCACCTGACAGGAACTCCTGGCTGAAGACCCCACAGCATCCCGAGAGGCTCGAGTCATCATTTTACGACGGATGGTTGTATGTAGAGTGTGCGTGTGTGCATGCTCGCGCGTGTGTGCGTGCATGTGTCACAGCTAACGGAGGTTGTGTGTTTTGAACGAAGCAGCGCTGAATGCCGCTCTAACTCTCCACGGCGGCGTCTCCTAACTCACAGCGGAGCAGCTCTGCACCTTTTTTCTTGTCCCTAACCGTCCTGTCGCTTCTCTTCCCCTCAAAAAGCAATCGGCCCAGCAGCTCTCATGTTGATTTAGAATCTCCCCCCTTCCTCTTTATTCCTCTAAATGCTCTTCTGTTGGTCTGTTCCTGAGGTGTTACTAAATGCAAAGCCAACCCCTGACGTGCAGACGCGCTTCTTTTTACGTTTGTCCTCACTCTTGTCTTTTATTTCTCTTTCTATTTTTCTCTCTCTCCCTCGCCATCACTCCGACCCTCGGCCTGTTTCAGGATCTGATGGAGCAGCTGGAGAAGCAGGACCGAACCATCCGCAAGCTCAAGAAGCAGCTGAAGGTTTACTCCAAGAGGATCGGCGAGATGGGGGGTACTTGAGAAATGATCAATCAGCAAAGACGAGTCCGCACGTGTTTAAGTGTTACGGGACACCGACTGACTTTTGTGTCTTGTGTGTCTCCCAGCGGGTCAAACCGAGGGACAGACGTCTCCGGGACAGATGGTGGACGAGCCGATTCACCCTGTCAACATTCCTCGCAGGGAGAAAGACTTCCAAGGGATGCTGGAGTACAACAAGGAGGATGAGCTCAAACTGGTCAAGAACCTCATCCTGGGTAAGATAAGTTCGAAAAGCTTTGTGACGGCCACATTCACAGTTTATACAGGCTGGAAATCTAAAAGCCATCTGTGGGAAATGAAGCTTTGTGTTGACTCCATAAACCTCTCTCCTCATGTTCTCCTCTGAACTCTGAGCTGCTCCCCTTCTCTCTCCAGAGCTGAAGCCTCGCGGTGTGGCTGTGAATCTGATCCCAGGTCTGCCGGCCTACATCCTGTTCATGTGTCTGAGACATGCGGACTACGTCAACGATGACCAGAAGGTCCGCACCCTGCTCACCTCAACCATCAACAGTATTAAGAAGATCCTCAAGGTATGTGTGTGTGTGGGGTGGGGGGGGGGGGGCATTTTTTATGGTGTTTTCAGCTGGTTATTACTTATTAATGGTTTATTGACTTTCTCCCTTGTTGCTTCCTTTCAGAAACGAGGAGACGACTTTGAGACCGTCTCTTTCTGGCTATCGAACACGTGTCGCTTCTTGCACTGTCTGAAACAATACAGCGGAGACGAGGTGAGAAGGAGATATTGTGCACCAACATTTTAACCACATAATTGTACTTTTATGGCAAAGTAAATTGTTGTTGAAGTTGAGTTAACAGACAATTTGTTTTTGTAGAATACTATTCACCGCTCTTGTGATTGCAAATGGTGACATGCATATAAAATAACCCAGATTGCAAGGAAGTAGTATTCTAATAATAGAATTGCTGAGGATTAAAAAAAATATGATCTGTGTTTTCAGGCTTTCATGAAGCACAACTCGCCGAGGCAGAATGAGCACTGTCTGTCCAACTTCGACCTGGCAGAGTACAGACAGGTGATCAGCGACCTGGCCATCCAGATCTACCAGCAGCTGATCAAATGCATGGAGAACATCCTCCAGCCCATGATAGGTGTGTGCATTCCCATGTGTGCGTGTCTGATACAACCCTGCAAGCTAATGCTACTGTAGCACAGCTGGGGTTTGCTTGTGTGCTTGATGCAAATACTCACAAGGCGTGCGTGGGTTCCCTGCAGTTTCTGGCATGCTGGAACACGAGACCATCCAGGGAGTGTCTGGGGTGAAGCCTACGGGCCTCCGCAAGCGAACGTCTAGCATCGCAGACGAGGGAACCTACACCCTGGACTCCATCCTGCGGCAGCTCAGCGCCTTCCACTCTACCATGTGCCAGCACGGCACCGACCCCGAGCTCATCAAGCAGGTGGTGAAGCAGCAGTTCTACATCATCGGAGCCGTCACGCTCAACAACCTGCTGCTACGCAAGGACATGTGCTCCTGGAGCAAAGGCATGCAGATCAGGTAATCTAGGGGAGCTCCGAAGCGTGAGCGATACCTCGACCCGATGTTTTCTTGTGGTTATTTGACCTATGATGCATGTCTGGGTGCAGGTACAACGTGAGCCAGCTGGAGGAGTGGCTCAGAGACAAAGGTCTGATGACATTCGGAGCCAAGGAGACTCTGGAGCCTCTGATCCAGGCCGCTCAGCTGCTGCAGGTGAAGAAAAAGACTGACGAGGACGCCGACGCCATCTGCTCCATGTGCCTGGGGCTCACCACTGCTCAGGTGAGCGATCCTGGCGTTCATAAGCGACATTCAAATCATTGTTCTCCACTTCAGTCCCGTCGGTAAAATATGTTTGTAACCTCTGTGTTATGTCTCTTCCAGATTGTGAAGGTCTTGAACCTCTACACTCCAGTCAACGAATTTGAGGAGAGAGTATCCGTGTCATTCATACGAACCATACAGGTAAAAAACACCACCTGAAATATTTGCACCTTCCAAAATATATTGCAAATTGAGTCAAGTAGAGTCATTTTGATGAACTTCAAACCTCAGGGATATGGACAGCGGTGTTCTAATATATTTGCATGTATTAATCCACCTACCTTCTCTTCACTAACTACAATTATTTTATATTTATTAATGTACTTCAAGGAATTTCAAATGACGGCTTAATAACAGTAACAGTGATTTTTATCACACATTTTGCACATTGAAACTTAATGTATAAAAACACTGCTTGAGTGGTGGGGAAATATCCAGAAACAATTCAATGCACTAGAATGTTCAAACACACCGCTACCAGTCCCTTAACGAACTGAACCATTCTTAAAAGTATTCCCTTTATTCCTAAATTGAAAATGAATGATTTGATCTCTTCTTTTTCCCTTCAGACTCGCTTGCGAGATCGTTGTGAGAGTCCCCAGTTGTTGATGGACACGAAGATGATCTACCCGGTCACCTTCCCGTTCAGCCCTTCATCCCTCGCCCTGGAAACCATCCAGATCCCCAGCTCGCTCAACCTGGCCTTCCTCACCCGCGTCTAACCGCAGGCCCCGTAGGACGCCGCTAGGCCGATGTAGTGGCCACAGTTGGAATTGCAAGTCAAGAAATGAAATTTAAAAAAGAATAGGATTCGTATTCACATAGTTTGAGCAATTTTGTCAAAAAAAAAAAGTTTGTGATTCAAAATCACCTAAGACATCAGCTGACTGTATCTGAACGTTGACACAGAGAGAAACCCAATCACGTGCTGAACTTTCAACATGCATCTGTACAATGCTTGCACACATGCACGCCTACACTCACGTGCACTTTGTCTCTTACAAAATGCACAAATACACGTGACCCCCACGGTGGCTGCAGCTGGTTTAATTCTGCCTGTGACACGCCATCCGTCCACCGCTTGTAAAAACGCCACCGCCCCAGATCTACGCCAGCGGTACTCGCTCTGCATCGACTAGCTGGGTCTGTTTGAGGGGTCCCGTCCCCCCCCGACGACCCCGGCTCTCTCCTTTAGTGTTTCATCTAGCTGACGCAACCAGTTAGGCTTTGAAAAACGTCAAATCTTCGCCATCGCCTCGTTCTCCGGTGAGAATGTAAACGTAACGACTGGCGGGAGCCCTGAAGGAGGTGGTCTAGACTGTAGACCAGCCTTGAATGTTGGGTGTGTGTTTCATAGGCGAACCCAACGCAAGCCAGCGGAGTGACACCGTCACCTCTCTCCATCCCAGGTGGAGGCAGCCTGGACCATCGTCATTACCCAGTCGAGCCAAGACAGAACTCATCGTCTGTACTATATTATTTATACATATATAAATATGAATAATATATATCATGTATTTTATTTATTGCGTTCACCTCCGTCCCCACCCTCCCTTGAATAGATTAGATGCTTCCTCTTTGCAGTAAACATGTCGGATATATGAAGGCCGGGACCATCGTTTCCCACAGCTTTATAAGGGCCGTGTTAGTTTTGGTCCATTGTAGGCCGTCTATGTCAATATCAGGTCAACTATGTAGTCTAGATTAAGGAGTGGCGGCACAGGTGATTATTTGTTAGGTCGCGTCTTACCGTAGATACGTCGCTTCATCGTGTTCATCCTGCACTTCACGCGGGGTGAAGTGTAGCACGGGTTTTTAACTGAGGAGAGATTCAGAAGGTACGAGGTTTCAGCTCTGAGAAGAGTTGAACCTGCTAACGTGTACACTGTTTACAGCTGTGACCGTCGCCGGGAGCTCTTCTTCATTCTGCGGTCACAGCTGTAGTCGGTGCTTCCCAGCTGTTTTACTATTATCAACGTGGAAATATTTATTTCAGTATCGTCATTTTCTTAAGCATTGAAGCTCTGTGTATTGTAAAGCCATGTGTCACTGAGCAGAAGGGACACAAAAGGTCTCTCTGATGTTGGTTTTGGAAAAAGACCAGTGTCTTCTGCTTTATTCCCAGAGTAACACGAATTCCTGTCCACTGGCTAGGAGAGCACAACATGGGCCTTTTTATAACCACAATCAATAGAATATGGGCAACTGCACTTGTCCCACGCCAATTTCACGGGGTCACTGAAGTAGAAAGAAATGTTTGTCTCTTCTGTACGGGTGCTGCGGTTGTTTTTGTTTCAGATACGCAGACGTATTTGGTGCTTGCTTTTCAAAGGCTGATGTTGTACCACAGTTGTTGCCTCGTGTTTTGCCCTCTCGCCCTTCTCCCTCCCGCTGTGCCATGAGTATTAACGGTCAACCAAATTTGCCTCTTGCCCCCGTGAACCTTGTTTTTGCCCGATGACCTTATCCTTTCACGGACTCAATTGACTTTGGCTTTTGTTAAGGTGCTTACATATCACATATAGAAGATTGTGAATCAAAGTATCCCATATTGATAAAGAATAAAAACAAATGTTAAGTGGAGTGAAGAGAAGTTAGTGTGTGAAGTTGTTTTGGGTTGCACTCGTATTTGAGGACTATTTGATGTCCAAATGCTCTCATTGGGACCGCGCGTTATCAGTCCGCCTTCTGTTGTATCATTTGGATTAATAGGTAAACGTATGCTTTGCACAAACAACATTTCTGTGGAGAGACGGAGCGTAACGAAAGGAATTCATTTAACTACATGAATGTTTCAAACTTTATCAGGATTTTAGTTTCACGTTGTTGGACAAAGCCTTATCTGAATGATTTCCTATCTAATTGACTTAAACACATGATCAATATTGTGACATTGTTTTGTTCTTCACTGTAAAATGAATATAAATAGTTAAATGTGGTCATTTTTTTTATTTTGATAGGGTGTTCTTTTGTTGCACTGTTCAGGCATCAGTCCAGATGCACTTTTTCTTTTAAGACATCGCTGAGGAAGTCTGATAAACGATAGACGAGGACTGTAAAAAACAAAATACTTTTTTCTGACCTGTGACGCATTGATCTCCCTCTTCCACATTCCCTCTGCAAGTGGCCGCTTCACTCTCTTTATCAGTGTTTTTCTTTTCTTCTCTTGCTGCTTTGTTAAAACTATGGATTAATGCAAGCCGCAGGCGAGAAGACAAACACATGTGAATTCCCGTCCTCACGTGTTCAAACCGTCCTCCTGGACCGAGAGCGCAGAGTTGGAAGGCCGGCCCGCTGAAAACAACAATAACACGCGTTCATTCACAGAGGAGAAAGCGCCATTCCTTCACTCTGCGTTTTTACACGCTGACATTATTAATGACCATTGTTCTTATCAACTAGCGTTGATTGTGCCATTTGAAAAAAATTCAAAAACAATGTTAAAAAGCAAACGTATAGTATATACAGATGTTTGCTCCCTGACCCCATGTGTACATTTGACGAACTGGACTGTCTGTAGATTCTGGTAGCTGTGCTTAGTGAATGTGTTCACCGTTAAGGAACTTGGAATAAATTGTCAAATCTGTAAAAGTGAAATAAAATAATTCAGCACTGTTGGGTCGTCTCTGGGAGATTTTTCTCTTTCTGCCATTAAATAGACGGAGCAGAACCCGTTGACCTTTTGTTTTTCCTATGACTGCGTGACCTCTTGCTCCTGTATCGACGGCGCAGTGAGTTCAGGCTGAAGACGTAATAGATTCAAATTTAAAAAAATGAATCTGATTACAACATAAACAAAGATGGTTGAATAATAAAGCATTGGCTGTTTTATAGTGTTCTCTGACATGATAATCACTGTCACCCTTTGGTTACAATAACACCAAAGGCGCCTTTGGAACAGATGTTTTGAGTTTTTACCACAAGGAGGCGCTGTGTGATGTTACCTTGTATATAGTTTAAGGGATGGTATGATATTGAATCTATAAAGTGTCCTGGAACAGGCTGCTAGTGTAACGCAGCGAGGACGTACGGAGTCACAGCTTAAACACTTGACTAAGAAGATTACACTCACTGACAATCCTCTTCACCGGGGAAACGCCGCTTAGTGCTCCAGGGATAAATACTCGCTATACGGCGCGGAAAACATTCTCTTTTGAGGTAAGACTTCATCGTCTATATGACTTCAAAACTGAGTTTGTGTTAAACTTATGGAACCTAATTATGGACATTTAAGTAGCGAGTGTATAGTTTATAACACGTAATAAACCAGCCTGGATGAAGTTCGACAGCAGTAAATTATACTAGTTTCATCTTGACCATGAGGATTCCCTCAGTAGCAGCCTGTGATTTTCTTTATTTTTACTAAATGTACCTGAAACAAATTGAAGGAAATGACACATCAGTCCACTTAGTTGTGTCTTAAGCGTATTGATTAATTTATATTAGAGAATTTACTATTAAAAAATAATAATGTCAATGATATAATGAGGATGGGAGAAGTAGTGAGGTGTAATTTCGTTGTTATGGATGTGTGTTGCTTGGAGTTGTGCAGTTCCCAGAATAGCTGTGCTGCACTTCTTCCCTCTGGAGCTCAGAGAAGGATCAAGCCGGAGTAGATTACAATCTACTTATCTCCTAACACACACACACACACACACACACACACACACACACACACACACAAGCAGGCCAAGTGGTCACACAACAATAAAGGAAATCAAAAGCGCCTCTATAAACCAAAATATCATGTAGGTGATTGAGTGTTTATGTTTGTGTGTGTTTTCCACAGGGCTTGTTGTCGATCATCTGCAGCCATGTGCGACCAGACGTTCGTGGCCATCACTTTCGGCCCCTGCGACTGCTGCGGGAAAGCCAGTCCGCTTATGAATATCTACATTAAGTCCGAGGCCACAAACTACTGCTCCTTCTGTGTGGAAGTGGTACGTTTCTTTCCCTTCATGCTCCTCATCACAGAAGCCGCCACATAAATTCATTGCAAACTACAGCAAAGTTTGATTGATTGCGTCAGCTGTAAAAAGAGAGAGAATGAATGTCCACACTGAGTCGACCCACAGGGACGTGTTCTCTGTGCCGTCTATTCTCATCCCACATTTATGATGAGAGCAACCGGCCAGACATCTACATACTAACGCATCTCTAGTTTAATGTGCTGTTTATCTGACCACACGTCACGCAGAAGCACCTTTTGACCTGCATCTGTATAAGTGTCTATAACACACACACACACACACACACACACACAGGCGTCATGAGGACTCTCTTTGTCACTCTACGTATAATCTAAAAAATGAATAATAATCTGAATGGTGCAATTATGTGTGATTAAGGGAAATACAGGAACATTTTTTGGCAAGAAAAGTGAACGCAAGTGAAATCCTAAATTTAATTAAAACTCCTCGTCATGACAACGTAAATCTGCAATCACAAACTCTTTTAGAATGTATCCTCGATGAATTGCATTTTAGCTTTGGTTCAATGATCGATCCCTCACAATATTTTAGGGGAAATTGATATTTTTGGGGGGGGGTTTGTGTATGAGTGTCAACATTCATGGTTTCAATTGTAGACCCAATATTGCCATTGAAACCCTACAGAACAATGGAGGGAGGATGGAGGGGTAATAGAGGGAGGAAGGGGGAATAGAAGGAGGAAGGATGGAGGGAGGATGCATGGGGAATGGAGGGAGGGAGGAAGGAAGGAGGGGGGAATGGAGGGGCAATATATGGGACGAGGGAGAATGGAGGGAGGGAGGGAGGATGGAGGGTTAATGCAGGGGGACTGGAGAGGGGGGGAGGATGGAGGGTTAATGCAGGGGGAATGGAGCGGGGGGGGATGGAGGGTTAATGCAGGGGGAATGGAGAGGGGGGGGGGATGGAGGGTTAATGCAGGGGGAATGGAGGGGGATGGAGGATGGGGGGTTAATGCAGGGGGAATGGAGCGGGGGGGAGGATGGAGGGTTAATGCAGGGGGAATGGAGGAGGGGGGAGGATGGGGGGTTAATGCAGGGGGAATGGAGCGGGGGGGGGGGGGGAGGATGGAGGGTTAATGCAGGGGGAATGGAGGAGGGGGGTTGGAGGGGTATTAGAGGGAGTGAGTTCACACGCCGCAGCAGAGCTGTGAAAGTGACACTCGCGAGCGTCCCTCGCGAACCTCTAACCACCGAACGCCCCCCCCCCCCCCCCGAGTCGCCCGTCCCTCTTCCCCTGTCCGCTCCCTGCTGAGGGTCGCTCTTCTCTCCCCTCGGAAGATGGCGACTCAGGGCCTCCAGGCCGGGGAGAGCGCGGCGTCGCTGAAGAAGGAGAGCGACAGCCTGAAGAAGAAGCTGGAGGAGGAGCGCGCGAAGCTCAGCGACATCGAGCGTGAGTGTCGCGCGCCGAGGAGGAAACTTTAACGCGCGCAGCTGCGCTTCGTTGTGGCCTTTAAGACTTACTGAGCTCAGCAGTTTACCTTTTCTACACAGTAAAATGACATTTGCTGCGCTGCATTCCCAACTACTACAATTACATCAAGTATGAAGAATCAGTTCAAATCAGCTGTAACTGCTGCTTCTGTTTACCACCACGCAGGCTCTCTGCAGCCCACCTGTACAAGTACATCTGTGCATTGTTTTGTGTATTCCTACGTGTACTTGTGTGTGTGTGTGTGTGTGTGTGTGTGTGTGTGTGTGTGTGTGTGTGTGTGTGTGTCTCAGTGAGCCAAGTGGCTGAGAAGATTGAAGTCTTGGCGCCCCTCTCCATAAAGACCAGACGGGTCCTGAAGGGTCATGGGAACAAGGTGCTGTGCATGGACTGGTGTAAAGACAAGCGCCGTCTAGTCAGCTCTTCACAGGTAGACACACACACACACACACACACACACACACACAGATGTAATACACTTCTATATGACAACTGTCCTCTTTACAAAGAGATGGCCTTGTTTATTTTTGATGTAAAGAAGATTTTCTTCTCTTTTTTTTAGGATGGCAAAGTGATCGTCTGGGATGCATTTACTCTGAATAAGGTGAGTTCAAGTCTGTGTTGTAAGACAAGGCGGGACAACTTGAGACAAGACAAGATATGATACAAATCTATGCTTTTGGACCAAAGGGGGACATTTTCCATATAAAACAGCTGCAATCCCCCTAAAACATCACAGACATCACGGTGAAACTCAGAGAACAGGTGGACATGTTTTTCAATAGTGCTTCAAGAGAAACCAAATACATACAAATACATAATGTTACACGACTTTGTCCAAGTCCTAGACCGAATACAAGACACTAAAGTAGCTGCTACCTGTGAACTACGAACACGTGGGTTAAGCTTTTCTCTTAATGATAAGTGAAGTATCGCTTTTGTGCATTCGGCATGCATGAAGTCATTAGATTAACAATCACCGTGAATGGATTCCTCCCGCCGAGCAGGATGCCGAACGGACTGCGATCCCGCGATGCTCCTCAGAGACAGAGGACGTAACACCATCACATGCGTTTAACGATCATCCATCCATCTGTCACCTAGAATGACTGTGCTCACATGTGTGTGTGTGTGTGTGTGTGTTATTGTGCGTGCCTGAGTCCACTTAAATATCAGCCAGGAGGATTCCGCCTGATTTGCCCATAATGGATGGAATCGGACCAGACTCATTATATATACGGGTCTACTGAGCTGTATGTGTGGCTGTACGTGTGTAAGAGAGGATTTGGTTCATGCTTATTAAAGAATATGTATCTTCATACCAATAACAATTACCGAACCATGTGTTACAGGAACACGGGGTAACGCTGCCGTGTACTTGGGTTTTGGCGTGTGCTTATGCCCCCTCGGGCTGTGCTGTGGCATGCGGGTGAGTACAGAGAATTCCTTCTTTTCACTCCCTGAAATCCTCATTCTGGTCATCAAGGATCAACAAAAAACAGTAACGTGAATTTACATATTTAAAGTAGTTTTGATACAAAGTTTATTCATAATGTGAAAGAAAATGTTTATGTATTTTATATATATTATCTTATTGTGTTTAAGTGTTTGTGAAAACATAAATTATTAGAATGGAGTTGTATTTTATAAATAAATACCTTTTACAGATACTTAATTCGTCTGTAAATGTGTATTGTTAGTTACTGCTAATGTGTTTTATCCAATATTCTGGATATGACCACATCATTTGAGGAACGTTAATTTAATACTCGGGTCATCATTTTCTGGTCAGCGTGGATCGTCACGCGTCATCCAACCTGGTGTTTTTATCGTCTACTACTATTCTACTAAGACATCATCTAACTTCTCGTCTGCTGCCTCCTCCCAAAGCGGCTTGGATAACAAGTGCTCGGTGTTCCCGCTGTCCCTTGACAAAAATGAGAATTTAAATACAAAGAAGAAGTCCGTTGCCATGCACACCAACTATGTATCCGGGTGCACCTTCACCAGCTCCGACATGCAGGTGAGCTCCAGGTCAATGCCGTCTGAGGAACTGAAAGTACATTTTACATCCTCATTTATCAATAACCGCTTTAAACGATGCACGTTTACTTTGTAAACCGACTTGATCTTGACAGTTCGGGTAGAGAGGTGGGATTAAGTATGCTGTTATTCACAGTAACTAGTTATGGACCGGACCCGAAAGGAGAACATGAAGGAAACAGCAGGAGATATATGACCTTAATACTTCACTGCCCTCAATGCCGGAGCACAGGGAGACGGTCAGCAGGAGAACGGGACAGAAACCGGGGGTGTGGAGGGGGGGGGGGGTCCTCTGTCCTGAGTTTATTAATAGACACTGAGTGGTTATTATCAAGGAGAGAGGCTGTTATCTAGCAAAGAGTGGAGCACACTGACCTGAGGGCAGGACATTTAACGCACAGACACGCACATGCATGTGGAAGTTCTCCTCCATCTCAAGCACAAAGGTCGGTGCAGCCGAGGACACTGCGTCGCTCACCGGCTTCTACTTCACCGTCTGCACCGAAGGCTCACAAAGTGCGTCACTATTCAAAAGACTGGCTGCACACTTTCAAGCAGGCTGAAGTCTCAGAAGTCCCAGAAAGAGATGCGTTTTTCGAGGCGTCTCGTCTAGTCTGCGTCTTCTGTCCTTGATAACTGGGCAGGCCGGCTATGTTTCCTGTTATAAGGCCGACCTATGCCGCCGCGGGTCGGTGTCTTTTTATTGTTCTTTTATACGCAAACATATAGACTTATCGCGTGCATGCGTACGAGTTTTTATATGTGAGACTTTCTCATCAAAGACATTTACATGTGGGATCACTGGGTAATTTAAAGGAACCCTTGCTAGTATTTAACAAGTGGTAACATGCAGGCTCTCGGTTAGATCAATGAGGTTCCGGCTGTGACAGCCAGTAATTATGGCTTGCTGATAATTGCATTCACGTTGAAACTAGCGCGACATGTGAGTGCAGGGAGGAGGTGATGTGTTTTTGTGCCTGAGGTCATCCGGCAGGAGCTCTGTAATCCAGCCGCCAGCACACATCTCTCATGTCGGCATGCGTCTCTAAGTGCACATAACAGGTTTCAATCCGAGGGATCGCTGGCATTTTGTGTGGGGAGACATTGTGCATAAAGAGTACAACAGCTATCATCATGGCGCCGTTAGATGTGGCGTCACGGGGAGAAAGGAGCTCAACGGCGATTCTCTCTCTACGGACTTTATGAGACGCTCTGAGGACACTGTGTTGTTTGTAGTCCCAGCGAATGATTAGTCATGTACCTTCAAATATTGCTCTAATAAAAGCTACTTCATAGTTTGTTTGTAGAAAAAAAAAATGATGATTGTATTTTAAAAAATTCAATTGTGTATTAATTTAAAAAGATATTTCATAGTATGTCAAAACATTTATTGAAAAGTAATTGCATTGTACGCCAAATATTTAATGATAGTCATAATTTAATTTCATGGAATGGAAAGATGTGAACACGCATGTCTTCCCCCTGTTTGTTGTACGTGCGTTGCTCACGTGCTGTCCGTGTGCGTGCGTGTGCGTCTGTTAGATCCTGACCTCCAGCGGTGACGGCACATGTGCACTGTGGGATGTGGAGAGCGGGCAGCTGCTGCAGAGCTTCCATGGTCACACAGCTGATGTCTTGTCCCTGGACCTCGCCCCATCTGAGACCGGAAACACGTTTGTCTCTGGGGTGAGCGAGAGAGAGATAGTGTGTGTGTGTGTGTGTGTGTGTGTATTTATATCTGTCATGTGGTCGAAAAAACCCTGTATCCTGTTTGAATTTAGAGTTTCTGATTTAAAGCTGCTGGATTTTTTTTAAAGGACAGCACCAATATTTTCATTCTCTAACGTGTGTGTGTGTGTGTGTGTGTGTGTGTCTGTCATCAGGGCTGTGACAGAAAGGCCAACGTGTGGGACATGCGCTCTGGACAGAACATTCAGTCCTTCGAGTGCCACGAGTCTGACATCAACTGTGTGAAGTGAGTCCAGCAGTTATTTCTTATTGTGAATGAGAGACTTTAGTGACCTTATTGTGAATATTGTTGTCAATTTGGTACAAATTTATGAAATTAGATACCAGAAACCGATCTAGTCCAAAAATACATTTTAAATATTAAAAATATAACATATTTTAATTTTTTAATGTTTTTCCAGTTTTGTGCGTAAAGATATTGCGTTTGGTACCAATTTCTGAGTTAGTTTTGTCGAATGTGGCAAAACACACAACTTAACTCCTGGGTCGTGTGCGTTTCCAGGTACTACCCCAGTGGAGACGCTTTCGCCTCTGCTTCAGACGACGCCACGGTGAGTCACGTCCAACGCCGTGCCAGTCGCTCCGTCGTGTCGATATGTGCACGTGTAGGAAGTCAGTCGATTCATCTTTCATAATTTGGTGCTGGGGCGAATGTCGGCCAACTCAACATCGTTGCTACGAAGTACCTAACAGGGTACCGTTGTCTGTTCCCCCCCCTCGTGTGTGTGTGTGTGTGTGTGTGTGTCTCCTCAGTGCCGTTTCTATGACCTGCGAGCCGACCGAGAGGTGGCCGTCTACCAGAAGGACAGCATCATATTTGGTGCTTCCACGGTGGACTTCTCTCTGAGTGGTGAGGAGTTTGTGAAGCGCCCGACGAGGTCGCACTGAATCTACCGGGCGAATGCGCATGTTCGCTGAAGAACATTTGTTTCATTTGAATGGAGCGATTTCGAATAATATTCCCGAGAATGAAAGTTCCTACCCGTAGCCGATCATCCGTCTCTACTTCTTCTTTTTCCAAATCCCCCCACTTCCCCTTTCTCTCCCCCCCCGCTTCCCCTCAGGACGGCTGCTTTTCGCTGGTTACAACGACTACACCATCAACGCGTGGGACGTCTTGAAGGGAACTCGCGTCTCCGCCCTGTTTGGCCACGAGAACCGCGTCAGTAGAGTGCGAGTGTCACCCGACGGCACGGCGCTCTGCTCGGCCTCCTGGGACAACACCTTACGGGTGAGCCGGAGATTCCCCGCACAACGTCACTTCTCCCTGTTTATTTGTGACTTCCGCATTTTGGGGTGGTTTCATTCACAGAATCACATCAGCTTTGTTGGAATAATTCGTTTAGAGGACAATGATGAGATTTTGAATAATTGTTAACAGATGAATTGTGAGCTGATCTTTTTACATTTTGCTAAAGGTTTAGGATGACAGTCGAGCTAAACAGCCCGGCTCAGTATTTGGGTTTTGGTTGGGCTACTTATTCTACTGTGTCTAAAGGTTTCCGGTAAAACTGTTGACTATTTTAACGTCATACATCTTTTCTCGCAGCTATTTCTTTAGACTAAAACGTCGTAAAAGGGCTCTAGTAACTTGTGGGTTTGATATTTTAACCCGTATGATTCTCTTCACTCCTCCCCATGCAGATTTGGTCCTAGAGCCGATATATCGCAGCGGTGATCCAGTGAGGAAAGCATCCATCACTATACCAACCCGTTTCCTGTCGTGTACATACAAACCGTCCGTGTGATAAACACACACAGACACCTGAAGTAAAGTCTGTCCTGAATGAGAACGTATCATTGTATCATAGCTGTAGTTAATATATACACATTACAAAGGAAGACAACTTCAATGTAGTCATCATTTTGTTTAGTTTGAATATAAATAAACGTAGGGCGGCACGGTGGCGTGGTGGTTAGCACTGTTGCCTCACAGCAAGAAGGTCCTGGGTTCGATTCCGCCCAGTGGCCTTTCTGTGTGGAGTCTGCATGTTCTCCCCGTGTCTGCGTGGGTTCTCTCCGGGTTCTCTGGCTTCCTCCCACAGTCCAAAGACATGCTCTGGGGATCAGGTTGATTGGTGACTCTAAATCGCCCGTAGATGTGTGAATGTGAGTGTGAATGGTTGTTTGTCTCTGTGCAGCCCTGTGATTGGCTGGTGTACCCTGTCTATCGCCCCGAAGTTGGCTGGGATAGACTCCAGTCAATAAATAAAAGATATGAAGAATTTTGTTGTCTGTAGCTTTGATTTCTATGGTGCATTTAATTCACTCAGTCCTGACAACCTCACTGGAAGCCTCAGTAAAAACCTATTGAGGCGAGCCAACATATATTTATACATCAACAAAATACAAATAGATGATCGGCGTGTTTGCTGATTTTCCCTGATTGTGTCACACACGCAGCATTAAACTTTTGTTCCTACTGTTTCAATCCCAATGACTAACCTTTGCACTTCTGGAGGGGAGAAATGAAACTATCATGAGGCCTTATCAAATTGTTGTTATCCTCACAGCACATTCTGTATGTGATTTCTGAAAACGACATTTTCAAATTGATATGCCAAGAAAAACAAGTACCCTTATTTTTCAATAAAAAACAAAAGAATACAACTACATGGGCTCAAGGGAAACTAGGGCAACCAACACGTTGATCCAGCCACAAGGGGGCGCAACACTTTATCATAGTTCCAACAGGAATGCCTGGCTGCCCTCCCAGTAAAAAGTAATATTGTAACATCTCCATCATGTGGAAATGTTCACACGAATAGAGTTTGAGGATTCAAATACAAACAGTTGTAGCGGTTTTGCACGTGAATACTTACCGCATATCAATCATATATTACAATATTACATCATGCAGAAAATTTTTGTAAACCATTCATAATAATCAGACGTTGTCTCCAGTTTGCACAGTGATGTTTTATTTTAAAACAATGCTCAAAGGTTACTCTTCCTTCTCCACGTCAACACTCTACTCGTCACATGACAACACAACATCTCACACATACACATCTCCAGAGTGTTGAACGTACATTGTTTTTTATTAAAACCAGTCAATATCTGCACAGATATTGCTTTTCTGTGCTTTTCATTTCACAAATTGTGTCATCTGGAAGTTTGAAGGATAAAGTATATTGATGTATACTTTCGATATTTCGATTTAAGCCTGTATGAGAGTTCATGGAGGGAAACACCCAGAGGGAAACACCAACGTGAGGGGAGAAGTCAGTGGGAGAGACAGAAGGGACTAATGGATGTGAGGACAGGAGGGTTTTACCGCAGAGAGAAAGTACCCAGACGTATCAGCAGCTGCACCACACTACCTGGACATTGCCATTCATTTGAATACAACTCGATGCCTCTTTCACTTCCTCTTAAAGATCACTGAGCTTGTCCATGTGAGTAGTTTACAAACATCACACAGTGAGAGCGAGAGGAGTGAGACTGAGTGAAACCAAAAAAAAAAAAATTCCCCAAATTACGCTTCTTTCAGAAAGGTCAAAGCAGGATTCACCGAAACGCGCTGTGTGCCAGGGCTGAGTTCTGCAAAAATGAAAAGTCGGATAATATTGTAATTATTGACCATCTCAGGCTGGAACTGTGTCTCTTTTACTACAGAACATATTTTTTCAAATAAATCAGCTTTAAAAACTGTGATGGCAATCCACTTGTGAGGGATTATGATAAATGTAGGATATCCTCAACTAACAACCATTCTCATCATTGTTCACTTTGCTGATTATATTGAGGAGCAACCATTGAATTGGTCAATGCAATTCTATAAATACAGACGAATTGAAAATTGCACAAAACATACAAACACTCAACTTGATCACCTCGATCAACAACTCGATCATCTTCAAACTCTGACGCGTCACCGATCGGATTGATCGGTTTTCTACGTGGGAGTATTTTCCGCTCCGCGCCGTTGCGGAGGGGCTTTGTCGGGGTTTTTTCTGCGCGTAAACGGCGCGGAGGCGGAGCCAGAGGATAAATGTGCAGCTGAAGGGAAGCGGTGAAAGCTCCGAGGTTCTCCTTCCGCCCTCCGTGTGTGCACGCAGCAGTCTGATATCGCTGGGAGGGTAAGCTTTTCTTTCTTTTTCGTTTTTCTTTTTCGCACGGAATATGCTATTTCACACGCTTGCACGCGCGGCCGTTTGGGAATAAAACACTTTTAATCGCACCGAGGTGTCGGGGGCTTGTGACGCTTGGGAGAGGGGTGGGGGGAGAAAATAAAAACCCGGCCGTTTAAACGGCGCTGATGTGGCGGCGCTAGCTCCTCGTCGCCCGGGTGAAGATGGTCCTTTGTGTCCTCCATTGCTCTGGTGACAGATCGACGGGCTAAGTTAGCGGGGAAGGGGAAGCCGGCAAGGAGTTCCCCTCCCCCCCCCCAATTCAGAGCCGGGGACGAACGGATACCGACCGTTACGTCGCTGTCGCATCACGGTGGTATTTACGTCGTTTGGATGAGTCTCGTTTACGGAACTTAGCGTTAGCATCATCCGGGCTAACAGGCGGACTGGCTCGCGGCGTCCCCGCCGTTCGCGGCTTGTTAGCTGCCGGACGTTAGCTCACTTAACGCTTTGCTAGTGTTCACGTATCGTTCTGTTAATTGGTTTTTTTTAAACGAATGGTTCATGTAACGTTATATTGCGATGGAAGATTCCTTTTTTTTAAAGGGACGCGGTTATAATGGTGGTAATTTAAAAGTAACGTCACTGTTCTGCTGCTGAACTGAAGCAAGCGGGGCTTATGGGAAATGTAGTCTTAACTGCTAGAATTATCATCTTTTTGTCAATAAAACATGCAGTGTACAGCAGCTGTTTAATCAAATACAAATTGAACATCTGTTTCTGAACTGTTGGATTTGAAGATGTTCGAATTCATAACGAGCATTTTGTTATTTTAGACAACCAATAATTAAGCAGCTGGGAGATAAAACGACAATGTAAATGTAAAAAAACTCCTACCAATTTTCACCCTCGCATCACGTAAAGACTTCTACCTGACCTCAACCTGCTCCTTTTTTAAAAAAAACATTTTTAATTCTTTTGAAATGAAGGGAACTATGTTTTGTCCTCCCCTCAGAAAATGTCCTGCGGGCTGTGGAAAGAGACCTTGGCTCTGGCAGAGGACTACCTGTACCTGTGCTGCAGCAGCCCACGGCCGGCCCCTCCACCTCCCAGCGGGTCAGCCGCTGCCATGAGGCTCCTGGCCTGGGACATGGAGACCCAGCACCAGGCCCGCTTCCACGCCCTCGCCCAGACCTTCCTCAGGCAGTGCGGGCCGGACCCCTGCTCCAGCCTCCGGCAGGTGATGGAGGAGCTGGTGGGGGACGGACACTTGAACTGGGGGAGGGTTGTTTCCCTTTTCGCTTTTACCGGGGTGCTGGCCAGGCAGCTCCTGGAGCAGAAGGCCACGAAGCTGGGGCTGGACCCTGGGCAGGAACTAGGACAGGAGCCCGGAAGCTGCAGGGGACTGGCGGAGACCATAGCCGACTACCTGGGAGAGGAGAAGAAGGACTGGCTGCTGGAGAATGACGGATGGGTAGGTCGAACCCACGCGCATGCTGGCGAGCCGCCGCGACACAATCGTAGTAGATAAGAGAAGTAGTGGATTTCTGTCTGTAGGGTAGTACGCCACTTTACAGCGGAGGACGCGTCTTTGAAGTGAAAGTGATGATTTGAAACTCTCTGCCGTGGGAAATCACCCCGTCTGGTAGAGTGTGGGTTTATATTCAAATTGTGTGTAAATGCGGCCCAAAAAGAAGAAAAAAACCCTTCGGCTTCGTTTAAATGCCATGACTCACGTGGCTGCTATGATTGTGGCGTCGCAACGGGCCAGATTGTGAGGAATGTAGTGTTCCAGAAAACAACCCGCAGAAATACAAACCCGGAGCCGTGACCAAACACGCCCGGGCCTTTAGATTAACGGCTACAAAACTCTGAACAAAAGCTGTGTCGTCAGGACAAATTTGACTATATACTTCAAAAGGACGAAGGCCATTTTAACTGGCTTATGGTGCCTTTATGGAGGGATGGCTGTGATGTTCCATACGTAGACTAAAGGCCCCCGAAGCCTCAACAAACCACACACAACCAAAGTTTGATTGTCTTTTGTCAATGGGTTGGCCCCCAAACACACACACACACACACACACACACACACACAGACCGCTCCTTTCTTCTGCTGGCAGCTGGTTTCAACAGACGCGTAACCTGCTCAGCCAGATGGACTTTGTAGTAACAGTCAGAGCTTCTGTGTGTTGACGCTGGCTAAGTTGCAAGTTAGCGCCGTACGACTAGAAAAACAAGCAGCTGCACAGCAGAAAAACACCTGGAGCCGAGAGCAGGTGCACTCGAGTCTGTGGCAGCAGTTTGAAAACATGGAGGAGAAGCGCACACACACACACACACACACACACACACACACACACACAGCTGGGGATCGGGCTCATTGTCTTGTTAATTGGGGCAAGAATCCATTCATTAATGGTACCGTACAAAATTCATGTCTGTACAAACAGCTGGCACATTTGACTTCTTTTGACGGTTGTGCGCTGTCGGGGTATTTGAGAATACCACTAGTAAACTTCTCGCCGTAGCGCTGGGCAATATGGCCTAACGTACAATTTAGTGTCACAAACTGGTGTGTTACCCTGTTGAAGAGCTCTAGTTATTGTTATAACTATGACTCAATCTCCACACGCGGAAGACCGGCCGAACTACGAGCTTTACTGCGACCGTTTACATACCGTATGAGAAATTCATACCGTAATTTGGTTTGAAACGGTATACTGGGCTTACTGGTTGAACTGGTCGCCCCGATCTCACCAGTTCTGTTTCTCCCTCTCGCAGGAGGGGTTCTGCAAGTTCTCCCGCAGCGCCAGAGAAGTCGGCCACGACTCGTCCATGAAGAAAGCGCTGTTTGCTGCTGCTGGCGTGGGCCTCGCCGGCCTCACCTTCCTCCTGGTGCGCTAGCCTCTCTCCTCCTCCTCCTCCTCCTCCTCCCCCATCCCAAACAAACGCTCGTCCATGTTCTCATTCCATTTGGCACAGTAGACATTTTGAAATTTTAACGTTGGTGCTGCAACAAAAAAAACGGGCTTTATCTGTAGTGAATTCAGGGTTGTATCTCACGTCATCAACTGAATGTTTGCGCGCACACACACACACACACATTGATACTGACATCTTGTCAACCATTCCTTACGATTGTAAAATTATCTCAATGCCTTCAAACATTAGAGTAAGTGATGTCCGCTTGCATATCAGACCGGCAGATAAAAAAAAGCACACGTTTCTGGATCTTCTCCTTGCGCTTTTTGTATTTTCAGCTGAGCAGCTAAAAGACTTTTTTTCAATTTCCCCACAGTTTTTGATTCAAAAATTATCAGCTGCCTTTTTGTTCATGTGTTTGTTACAAAGCCATTCTAGTGTACAATGTATAAATTAATATATTATATTTATATGAAACTGTAAGCAGTGGCCCCCTTTTTCTAACCGATCCACAGCTGATTCATTTATTTTTTTTATTTTATTTTTTAAATCGGCCGCCCTGCGCTCGTGTGAAATGTCTCGATTTAACTGATCAGCAGCTGAATCAGCGCTCAACACGACACGGTGCTGTTTCTCACATCAACCTCAACAAACGAGGGACTAATCTGACTTTAAACCGACTGCTAATAGAACAAACAAACTATGGCACTGGCACCACCACCGACCCCACCCCCAAAAAATCCTGTAAACATTATATTTTTACATTGTTTTGGTTTATTTATTTGTCTTTTTTATAATAAAAGAAGCAACTATTGGTTCTTTGTGATTGGAGTCTTTCGGTTTCAGTATGATGTCAAGTTCTTAACTGTTCTTGTAAATGTCTACGCAGCAGGTCGGTGCGTAGAGGAATATAAATAGTACATGATCTGCCCTCCTTTCATACGCAGACATTGTCATAAATAAGATATGTTCTGCCTTTGTGCTCCTCAGACATCCAGTTACACGCAAACCACATGAGCAGAACATTCAAAAGCAAATATTTATACCAAACTGTTGGTACCGAGCTCCTGAGAACGGAATAAAAATATCTATTGGTTTCATTAATCAAGCAGCTAAACTTATTTTACTTTTGACCAGCTACAATGCATTAATACAAGTATTTGCTGGCTTGTTAAACAAATGTTACCCATCTCCTAAATGTGAGCCGAGCATTCACCTGTCTTGAAATGGACCAGGGATCACACAACTAGAACATTGGAAGTAGCGACAATATATGTGAATCATAGATGAGTGTTTCTATCAGAATGATGGTAGTTGAAGTTTCAGCCTGCTGAAACTGACAAACTGTCTGTAGGCTTCAACAAACGGAAATAAAAAAAAAAAATCGGAAATACAAGCCGCTCAATTGACAGGAAATAAAGTCACACACTTGTCACACATTACAAATGAGGCCTTTGTTCTGTGTGTGTGTGCGCGCGGCATGACACAGCAGTGAGGTAATTGTTCCTGCATTTCTTACTCCTCATTCACAAAGGGCCCATGTGTTGGTCTTTATATTAATTTGGAGCACTGAAACTGAGCGTTTACCGAACACACACACACTATTGTCTCCATTACGGTCACAACACAGTCACATTGTTTGCGAGAAATAGAACCACATCGACCTCTGATGTGGGGATGGATGTTTCCTGTTGATACGTCTTACTCTACCAGTGAAAACCCGAGTGGAGCCTTGTTATCGTCATGTGATGACACGGGTCATGTGGTGCAGAGGTTACATGGACATCTGTAGGCGATTTAAAACGCGACCCGGAGGGTTTAGAGCCGCGGTACGTGTCCTCTCGATCCATAAGCTGATTGATGCATTTATTCATCAAATCCCGTGAGAAAACTAAAAGGAGGATCCGCCCCAATCATTTAAAGTATCGTCTTGTTTATTCCTGAGCCGCCGCACCTCGAAAGGGTGACGAGGAACTCCGTGACCTCCACGGACCAACAACACAACAACAGACAGCTGGTCCAGATGTTCTCACACGGGGCCGAGGAGATAAAGGGAAGGCCGGTCGTCACAATCAATGAAAACAACAACATTGAGTTCACTGTCAAGTGTCCACAGATAATGAGGACACTTGTTTGCTCATCCACACGCTGGACTAAAGGAAAATACATTTGAAATGAATAAAATGTATTACATTTCAGAGGCAAAAAAAAAGGAATGTTCCCGTCGGCTCCGATCGCAAAAGAAAATGAAACATCTTTTGAATCAATGATTCCACACAGCTTTTCGTTTTCTTTTCAAAGATAATTTATTACACTTCAGGAAATTATTTGGTTGGAATTGATTACAAATGAGTAACAGTATTGTAACAATGCTGTAAATTGTCTTTAAAAAGGTTCAACTATATGCTCAGAGTCAAATTCAATATCACATATTTAACATTTGTAGTTGATTTCATGTCTATCTAAGCTGGTAAAGTGTCAGTGCTCTTTATTACAAAACACCCAGGTGATAATCCATGTATATACATTTTAAAAAGAGCATATATGGGAAGTATAAATACAAAATATATCTGATGTCTTTGATGATTTATTGGTGAGTAAATAGCAGACGGACGTGGCGAGAGCAGTTCCTCGGGCTCCAGTCAGCTGATTGGCTCCTAGACTTCCATCGTGTTCACACTGCATTACTTTTAGTGTGAACATTCATAAACTAGAGTGCAGATCGGCGTCCGGCTCCTCACAGCTGCTCTCATCACCTTCTCGTCTTTGTATTCACAGCGAAGACAAACAGTCCGATCTCCTCGTGGCGGATGCTGAGACTTTTTGGTCCAAAATTAAGTTGTTTTCTGTTAACAACTTCAATTTTAATTTACCTTTTGTATTCATATTAGCATCTGTGAGCGAATGAGCTCCGAACCGTGAAAAGACACAAACCCTTGTTCTTGCAGTGTGAATACAGCTTTTAAAGAAGAGGACTCATAAATGTCGCCCCCCCCCCCGTTTCCTCCTTATTGGCCAATCATCTTCTTCACGATCTCCACCAACTGTAAAACCACACAAAAGTCCTATTTTCAGCCGTGCTGGAAATGTAACTATGGATTAAAGTGTATGTGTGTGTGTGTGTGTGTGTCGCGCCTAACTTATTAAATTATTAAGAGCACCAAAATATTAAAGTCAGTCTAAAAAAAAAGTGTTTTCCTCAGCAAACTATTAGTTCGTCCTTAAAATGAGCTTTACTCGGTTTTCATACTTTACTTTCAAAAGAAAAAGCTTGATCTCCGTCTCAGGAGCAAACTGACCTGAGACGGATCAGGAAACGATCCCGTCTGCAGCTTGGAGTAGATCAGCTTACCGTCCACAGACACCTCAAAGCTGTCTGTTGGGGGGGGACATCACACAGGCATCAATTCATTAAAAATCAAAACCTCGACCCATCGACCCCATTCAGCACAAAGACACCTACAACAATGTGCTCAGGAGGATTTTACATATAAACAACATATTATTTTGGCATTTAACGACATATAACTGAACTGGAAAAACCGTCACTGTGACTTTTCATTTAACCGTCCTCGAGGTTCATTTGTTCATCACATTTGATCTTCCCCGGCGCCTTTTGTGAGAGAAAGAAAGAAGCAGTCGAGTGTTATCTCTCCAGCCCGTTTTTCCGGTCACCTTCTTCACACCAGGAATCTGTTTGAGGTCCTTCTCCAGGCGGCGGTAGCGGGAGGCGTAACCTCATCCTCCGCTGGGACACAAAATAAAACATTAACTCTTCCTCACAGGTCGGAGTTCAAACCTGCAGAAATTTAGGCATTCAAAGTAAATAAAAGTGGGTTATTTCTAGCAGAGATATCCCAACTTTAACTTGAGAATTGCAGTCATTCCTATTTTAAAATAATGACATAATGTAAATTAAAAAACGTACCAATATTCAACAGCGATTGTTGCCATTGTTGCTGCTGCTGCGTATCGCCGGAGCTTGGAGTTGACGGAGAGCTGTACAAAGCTTAAGTACAAAGGTGCGCTGAATGAAACGCTGGCAGGATAGTTGGGGGCTGTTATACGAGCACCCGCACCAGTGGGAAGGTTCATCAGTCTGCAAAGATTATGAGTCACACCTGGCGACCAGTATTTAAAATGACATTTCCTTCCTCCTCGCACAGTGTGAAGTTACTCGTCTGATGCTCGCACGAAGAAATCTTTGCTAAAGCCACTAACAATAGAGGAGGAGGTCAAAATCCAGCAAAGAAGGAGTGTACGAGTTCCTAAAGATGCTTTAGAAGAACGTGAATCGGTTCTTATAAAAAAAAGGTATAAACTGTACAAATGCAAAACTGGAGCCATCAGATAACAAGGCGCCGTGTCCTCAGCTGAACCGACACCAGCTCGCAGGTGAGCTGTCAATCAGCCGAACACAAAGCGGCTGTGTGAGGGTTCAAATACCAGCAGCTGCCGTCCGGCTGAAGGATCCGGAGGCCTCGGCTGCTACACGGGACTCATTGTCTCCTGCTGCAGGCAGACAGTCAAGATTCACCCCCCCCCCCTACTCAGCAACAGGCCGTGCTACTCCAGTGATGACGGCTCAATGACACAGCAATATTTTCTCTAATGAATTGTACGGTTATCGAATAGATTTAAAAAAATAAGGGACAGACACGAGCATCTGGTCCTAAATGACGTTTGTTATCGGGGCTTAAATAAATGATTTTAACTGAACATTAAAAACTTATTATTTCAATTATTCAAGTGTGTCTTCACAGCCCACTACTACAAATCCTTGATTGAGAACATTAAGACCAGAGCAATGTTGCTAAAGTATTTTTACATTTTTATTTGTTTAAAATGATGTCGGTACAAAATGTATACAGTAATACCCTTAAGTCTGTCAGTTCCCCTGAATAAAATATTTCAATCTGTTCAGCTCATGCCAGATAAACAGTATCTATAAGATACACTGGATTGTAATTTGCTCATACGATAGTTGATGACAACGATATAGCAATAGTACCTTTGTAACAATAAAAACTATCTGCAATATTTTTTAGTGGACACTTTCAATACAATAAAATGACATACATCATATCTGTAAAAGTTGCATTGCAATCGGCCCATATTTTACAAGATTTTCAAATGTATGTAGGTCTGCCCATTAACTAGGATAAAAGGTTGTGATACAAGTCTTTACACATTTATAAAAATTATGTGGTGACAAACTGCGTTGCTGCAGTGACTGAAGCTGCTGGAACACGAGTACAATGCACTTAAATTTTCTCTTTTTTTAAACAAGGCAACTTCTCAAATTTTGTAATAAATAATAAACCCTCTGCAATGATATTGTACCCGTCGATAAATCCCGTTCATATATATATATATTTATATATTTTTAATAATGTTGTACAAAAAGATGTTTAAAACTTCCTCATTCATGTACTAGAAAACAAAACAAAAAAAGGTTAACAGGGTTGGATTGTGTTCGACAGCATTTCGGCGGAATCAACAAAAAAAATATGACTTCTGCATGCACTGGATTCTTCCAGTTGATTGGGAGAGCCTCTCTGCTCCTCGGCTTTGACTAAAATCGTTCAGTGTCGCCTTGCGATCGATCGATCGATCTCTTCAAACCGATCACAGCATCTGCCTCATTGATTGACGGGGCTCTTTTACGGCGCCCCCCGTGCTGGAGGGGTCGTCGTGTGGGAAGGTCACCTTATCCGGCGTGTAATCATTCCGCTTTAGATCTGGAAGAGGAAGGTACAAAGTTTACGTGTTACGACCGATTATAGCTCATAAAATTCTTAAGATTAAACGGTCGTGTGCTGAACTCTAGACGCGTCGGAGCACGAAGCCAAAGGAAATCCAGCACGCAGAGAACACAAAAGGGCACGTGGGAGCCTCCAGTGAGAATCACCCGGAAACTTTTGAAACAAAGATTTCATTTTATAAACGGCCCAAACAGTCAAAACGTATCGAGACATAATCAGTTAAAGTGGGGTGCGTTTGTCTCTAAAAGCAGACGGTTCTTTGCGTGTTTGTGTTGTAATTTAGTGGTTGGGTCCCTGAACAGCAGCCGGTCACCTGGAAGCTTGAGTTTCCGACAGCAGGAGTTGCAGTGGTGCTTTGCTCTGAAGTTCCTAATGGCGTCGTCCCCCAGGTTGGCAGGTCCAAATATCATGTCGTAGGATCTGCTGGAGTCACACAGGACATTTTAGGGGAAAATGAACAAAAGAAGCTGCTGGAAATGTTATTTGCCATTTGTGAGGCTGCTGTCAACACATTGTTAACTAACCTTGAGGTCACTTCCTGTTTAAATAGATAAGTTGAGAGTATAAAACGTATTTCACAAAACCTCTTGCTGCCTTTGTTTAAAGGATTGTTTTGTTTGACCAACAGTCCCCTAAGGTTTATGCGCACATTAAAAAAAAGCTGCAAATATTGTGAAGTTTGAATTCTAGAATGTAATTATCAACAATAAATTCATTGTTTTGACCTATATAATATATTTAAGTGAAATAAGACCAAAGCATGAGTGTGTGAGTGAGAACATTGGCTCTTACCCCTTCTCACCGCTCTTAATAACAGATGGATCCGTCAGAATCTCCCCCACGCCTACGGAGACATCCAAACACACACTACTTCATCATGCTATTTACTCTGATAACAGCACACGTAATCAGTGGAGAACGGCAAACCCATCCGTCACATGACCACAAGCAGGAAAGAGAGGAACTACATCTCCATGACGCATTCGCGATTGATCCATGTGACAAAGTGCCACTGGAAAAAAAAGAAAAAAAAAGGAACAACAGGAAGTTGTGTTGAACGGATTGCGTGTGAGATGGGCATCGGGTGTTGGGAGTCGTTACCCTGCAGGTCGAGCACCAGCAGCTCTCCGCGGGTGTACTCGTAGGTCCAGTGGCTGAAGGCCAGCATGGTTTCCTCCAGGAGGTTTGTGGGCACGATCTCATCTCCGTTGTTGTTGTTGAACTTCCTGAACTCCCCGGTGATGCATTCCTCTATAGCAAACCACTGGCCAGCAGAGTGACAGTAGAGCAGAAACACCTCCAGGAACCTGAACACAAGGAAGACTCTGGTTTTACTTCCCCCAACCCGACCAAAAGGCTTTGTTGTGGATTTCCTTTGGGGTGTTAAAAGAGGATTTTCCCTCTACAACACTGCACGCCATCTGGGGTGACTTTACCTCGCAAGCATTTAGAACTGTGAAAAAGGAAGTAGGAAAAATGTATTTTAAAAAACACAAACCACGTTTAGATAACGTCATGGCTGCACAAATGTCTTGTCCTCAATACAAACTTGTGTTCATAGGCAGTTTGCTAGCTGGTAGTTGGCTTTGCATGAAGATTGGAAACATTGGGAATCCGAGGACAACTGTAATGCAGAGGTGTGCTCAAGATGGGTGGAACAAAAACTTGTGTTGACGCATAAATCACCCGTTGGCCAGTCTACTATAAATAAATGAGCAAACCCCAAGCTGGCCGTGCCAAACCACAATGAGCGAAGCAACATTTGTGACTTTGCTGTGCACAACATCCGTAAACAGTTTAAAAAAAACAAAAACGAAATTGATTAAAAGGCGGTTGTAAGATACGGGGGGATTTTATGGGTCTCAAGCGGCTGCTCACCTCGGTGAATACGGAATCGTCTTCGGCCTGATTTGATTGAAGGCAAACGTCAGCTTCTGAGCAGCTCGCTGCTGTTGTATTTCCTGGAGTGACGCAGAGGAACAGAAACCCGATTGTTTGACACACACCTTTTAACTGTTTTTTGTTTGTTTTTTACACTTCGGACCAGGTCTGTGAAGCCCAGGCCAACATGTGGGGGGTCTGTGCCTCCTACCCTGAGACAAAGGTGCAGCACAGTGTCCTCCTTGTAGATGCTCTGCCAGGTTTGGACCACCTCAGGAAGGAAGGATTTGACTATGTACAGATGTCCTGGTTTCAGGAGGTCGTACTCCGACCAAGTGCAGAGCACCTTGAGGGCCCGCCGGAGTCCTCCGCCCATCTCCTCCTTGCTGAGGAACTCTATTTTAGCACAGAGGCCCCGCTGGGCCCAGGAAGACATGCTGTTGTTGATGGTGTTTGGGGAGCTCTCCTCCAGGCGGTACACAGTCACCGGCTCCCCTGAGGAGACACAGAGCAGCAGGTGAGCAACGACCTCGGTTAAACTTTCCACGCGGACGATCGCTACGAGAACGCCTTTGGAACGTTTATATTCCCCTCTCAAACTTCTCCATTTCCCCCCTGACCGGTAAGAACACGTCGGCTGAGCAGACGATGGCGAAAGCCTGCCGCACCGATGGCGCCATGAAGCTTCACACACACCCTGAAATATAATCACTTGTTTCATGTTTCTTGAATCTTATCTGCTGACCTCGGTCTCCGTTCAAGAAACACACGCATCAGATGCTACAGCAAACAGACAGAAACCTTCTGTTCAGAACCGGTTTCTGGCTGCAATGTCAGCAAACATTTCTCTACTTAAATGTCCAGCACACAAATGGCCTAGAGGACGAGATTTTAAATATGCTGTAGCTCATCTACTTAATTACAAAACAGCTGTACAACTACTGTTGAATGAAGGTTTATATCTGCTAAACAAAACCCAAATACAACACACACACACACACACGACTTTGGGCCCGACTGCGCAGCTGCAGGGCGGAGAGGGCGTACAAACTGCAGGAAACACTTCTCCCACCAAACTTCCTCCTTCTCCAACTGCCTGCGGTGTGTTCAGCTGATCCGAGCCGCCTGCGTGTGCAGACCGTGGCGCAGACTTACCTCTAGGGGGCACGGGGGTGAAGGGGATACTCTGCGACAGCCTCATCAAGTTGTTGCGCTCCACAGCTGTAGAAGGAAAAGTGTGTGAGCACACGTCAGTATAAAGCTACAGGAGGAGGAAGAAGTGCAGAGGAGGAATCGGCACAGAGGAAGCTACTCTGTAGAATTAGTCCTGGTCTAGAGTAAATCGTGGCGCAGGGGTTAGAGAAGGTGTGCTGGGAAGCACAAGGTTGGTGGTTCGATTCCAGGCTGCCCCATGTTCCATGTCGAAGTGTCCCTGAGCAAGACACCTAACCCCTAAATGCTCCCTGGGCAAAAATGTGTAAAAGCCATGGGTTTAAAGTGTAATGTAAGTCGCTTTGGATAAAAGCGTCTGCTAAATGACCTATAATGTAATGTAATGTAAATGCATTATTTTAATATGACAAAAAAAAAAAGGGAAAAAAACCCCTACAATCATACATTTGGGAAATTAAAATAATTGATATTGTAGCATTCACACCTGAGTACTGGAAGCTTTCCATGGGCTTGAAAGGTGAGCCAATAGCTATGGAGAAAGACAAAACAACTGTTATACCAATGAAATGACAAAACAAAACAAAGGAAAAGACTCACCCCAACCGGCTGCATCCGCCAGCAGATGGCCGTACAACTTCACAAACAAAGGAACGAGCTCCAGTTTTAGTTAGTTTAGTTCCGGCATATTATTTCTTTTGCTGGGTAAGAAACTACATTAATAGTTGTAGCTACACTTGTTTTAAACTTCTTGAATATGTCCTTTTAAATGATAAAAGACAAAAGTGGATCATAGTCATCACGTGGGAGAGGCAGAAACCAGCTAACGTTTGGCACTTTGACTATCAAAACAGTCAACGCTGAATCATCTCTTGATCAGCTAATCAATGAATGGACTAAAGGCTGCGGCTGCGGCTCACTCACAGTCGTTTCTGGCACTGATGTGGGGGTGTCGAGGCGTGTAGAGAGAAACTGCTGCTGTAGATACAGAGAGGAGAAACGCACGGTGAAGCACTCGTTCAGAAACATGAGGTATTGTACAGCAGAGTTTGCTCTCTTTGGGATTTTTCATAAACAATGTTTCCAATTATTTTAAATATACAGTTTAAATATCGTTCCCACTACGCCGGATAATTCCTTAAATTCTATCAACAATAAATCTCCTGATAATACGACAATGTCCTGTAAAATAACACATTCTCCTTTCTGTTGCTAAATCCAGATTACAATCAAACCACATACTGTTCTCCAGTAAAACATTAAAACAAATGTATTGTACTTTTTCATGATGATGGATTTATGACTAACTCAAAGTGACATTTGACCTCCCGCTCCCGTGTAAATGCTGCTGGACCAGCTGATCCAGACAGAACGAGTCGGACCAAACTAAACAATGAAAAAAAAAAATGGAACAAGAGTGAAACTACACCTCTTACCAATGGGTGCATCTTCCCCTGGGGCTCGCCTGATCGAGTGGGGGAGAATACAGAAAGAGTGGTTAACGAGATTACATGACTGTCAGTAGTTCATGAATATACGCAAGAGCTTGTGTAATGCGTTTCCATGCAGTGGTGTGAATTAGGCGGATATCAGAGGCCTGTTTGAGGGTTTAGACTTGGCTAGAAGTAGATCTAGATAAAAAGAGAGGCAGTCTACGAGTTCAGCTCGTGGAACACAGTCAAAGGTAAAAAATACCTCTAATATTCCTCATCCTCGCGGTTATAGCAGTACATGTGTGTGCGTGTTGTGTGTGTACATTGTATGGCTTTTAGGAGAACACTCACAGGCTGCTGGCTTGGGCTGATTTGACCTGAATTCTTTCCTGTTGGAGAAACGAGTCGTTTAACATTAATTAAAAAGGTGAAGTTTAAACTTTGCAGGGATGTGTTGTTTTTAAGTAGATAAATAGACATTTCCTACCAGTACTGCAGCCCGGGGGTCCTCGTGGATGAGGATGTCTTCAGCGGACACTCTGCTCTTGTCCTTCTTCTTTAGAGCTACAAATACACAATCAACAACTATAGCGACACTGACAAATAAGCTCCATCAGATCGCTGGACTGTAGAAAATGATCACGTATATATTCAAAATCGAATCCCTTAGATTTCCTTGATATAGTTTGTGTTATTTATGCGAGCTTACTGGAGTCAGGATGGAGGAAAGTTGGGTGTTTATCAAACTCTGTGAAGCCAGCGAAAGAGTTCACGGCTCTGATGTTACTTTGACCTTCGTCCTGAGCCTGTGGAGGGCATTCATACAGACAGAGAGATCAGGTAACTACATTAGAAACAAATTGGATTATATAATCTCTCCAGTCCATGCACCAAATAACCAGTCACACACCTGTAATCTGGTCTGTGGGACCGGGCTCGGCTGTCTGCTGGAGGTCTCTTTGGGTGTGGAGTGCTGGAGGTCCAAACTGTCTTTATGCCCTAAAGCCACAAAAATAAGGTCAGTTTAAATCCACCCGTTAGTCCAAAAACATTGTCAAATAAAATACTTTACACAGTTAATTAAATGTTTGGCTCATCACGTCAAGTATTTCAAAATAACTATTTGATAAAGGTTGGTTAACTACTCCCATTGTTAAATCCGAGTCAACCATTGTGCGGCATTCAGAACGAGGCAAACCAACAACAATAACGTGGCGACATGATCCCAGTTCAAATATTTGATTCTTATGACAAACCCCCCCCTCACCTTCAAACATATCCTCAAATCATGGAGAGCTCTGAAAACCTCACGTGAAGACCTCAGAACCACCAAGGAAGAGAACGTAAACGAGACAAACAAAACGTCGATCCAGAGCAGAGAAAGGAGAAGAAACGCCACCACGTTAAAAGGTCAACCGGGGGTCCCGATCTGGAGACGGAAAGGCCCGAGCACCCGGCAGATACACCCCTCAACCTAAGCTCAGACTGAAAGGCAAACCTCTCGTTGTGTTCGGCCCGCTCGCCGCGTTCCTCCCATCAAGCGGGATTTCTGACCCGCTTAGATCGTCCCAGCGGACCGCTGGTGGGGCAGCTGGTCCCGGCACGTTTCCTTCTCCCCCTTGCTTTCGTCCGCGGGACTTCCGGATCGCCGCGGGAGGGGCACACGCAGGCGGGCTGGCATTTGCGTGGGCGCGACCCGGGGGGGACGCCGCTTCGGGAGCCGGCGGCACCTTCGTGTCCGCGCTCTCCGAACGGCCCTCGTCGTCGCAGAACGCCTCGTTCACGTAACCCCTACCCGCCTCCCTCTCCCGCCCCCCGCCTCCCAACGGCTTTTTGATGTCAGGCTTCGCAGTGCAAGCAGGCAAGCAGGCAGGCGGAGCGGAAGTCTTAGACACAATGACCACAGTAGGATACACGCACACACAGCTCTCCACCTCCTCCTCATCAACAGCGGTTTCAACCTGGGCCTCGTACTTACCCACAAACGCCCCGAACTCGACGGCGGTGTTGTCGGGATGGAGGGGCTGCTGGTAAAGCCTAGCTAGAGCGATTTCTGGGTGGCTGGAGCCACTGGCCTGGGAAGACGTGCTGCCGATGTGGAACTGAACCCCGGGGGAGGGCGCGTTGGGCAGGCTGGAGGGGGAGTCGAAAAGAGCCGGCTCCTGTGGACGGGTCGGCTTGCTCTGGCAGAGAGAGTGGCCTCGGAGACGCAGCTGCGGAGGGGTAGCGGGCACAGCACTTTGGACAAAGGCACTGGACGATGGGTTGAGGTTGGGGTCCAGCCCCAGTCCTGCTCCATGGATGGGCCCGACTCGCCGGCTACTTTCCGCCCCGCTCCCTACGCCAATCCCAAAGAGAGAATCCGCAATGTTGGCTGCTGCTTGGGGGAAAGAGGAGCTGAAGTACGCCGCCTTGCTGCGCTTCCCGATGACGGACGATTTGGAGTGGGGGCCGGTGTCCGGTGCCCCGGGGCCGATGCTGGGGACCAAGTTCTTAGAGAGGCTGAGCTCGCGCTTGATCTGATTGTGCACCTTGCTGGCCTCGGACGCCCTCTGAGCAGTGAGGGTCTTCAGGGTGTCCACAGTGAGTGCTGAGAGGTCCTGCAGGTGGCCAATCTGGGAATCCAGCGTGTGCAAAGAGCGTTTTATAAAGTTGACCTTGTTTCCGACCTCCCTCAGCTGCAAACACATGGTCTCAACCCTGGAGATGACAAACAGACTCAGTTACCGACAGCGCAGCTTGTGCATTCAATTAAATGTTCTCAAACTCTTTTTGTCGAGTCACTGACTTCCAATCATTTGAGGAAAATGTTTCATTTCATAACTACGGTATTTTCAGAAGGCTACAGGTACATTCATTTTATTGAGTTATTGACCTCTAGTAGCTCTGGAGAAGTTTGTTATGAACCGAGTCCCTGTTTAGTTTGTCTTAGACAGGAGTATTAGACCTTGAGGGCCGACATAAATCATGCATGTTGGTGAGCAACGCTGACTTTCAAACAAAGCTTTGGTTTATTTACAAGAACACTACACAGAGCCTTTAAGAAGGACAGAAACAGTCCCACCTTTCTGAGGTAAGACGTATGCGCTCGTCACTCCCAGAGTGAAACTGATCATCCTTTTCATGAAAGTATGTCTCCACACATTGCTCCTCAAAATCATGAAGCTTCTTTTGGTCTTCCTCAGTGAGAAACAGCTCTGAATGAGAGAAAGCAGACATATAGTAATGTTGTTGGAGATTCAACCTAGTTAAGCAACAACGGTGGTGGTTTTGTTAACAATGCATTTCAATCCCAGTTGTTTGTATCTTGAAATAAAAAATAAATAATGGAAAGTTTTTAATAATCAATATTAAGGAGAAATGAAAAGGATAGTTGTGTGGTCGTACTTGGCCCGTAGGTATGCTCCTTCTTTCTCTTCCTACACGTACAGAAGAGGGAGTAGATATGGCAGAAGAGGATGAAGGGCGGTGGCAGGACAGGCTTCTCGTGGTAGGCCATAATAAAGTGGTAGCGTTGGTACTTCCACACCAGATTCGAAATGGACTTCACTTGCATATACACATTGCTGGCAAACAAAGAGTAAAGAAACTAAACTTTAGGTGATGATGAGGAGAATGCCAGCAATACATGAAGATCCAACTCAAAAGTAGTACACACGTCTTGTCTGGATTTAGAGGTGACATGTTTGTGCACTTACTTGAAGAAGGCGATGAGGAGGTTGACCATTAGTATATACTGTACAAAGAGGTAGACTGCTTGGAGGAAAGGAGTCAGCCACACTCCTGCCCTACACAGGGACTTCACTGTCTCTTCGGTGTTATTGGCACACACTGTGAAGAGGAGAAAATTGTTAGCACATGCAGACTCGCAAGTATGCACGCACATGCCAATCCCCCAAATATGCTATAGAGATCACCTGTCTATACAAGTCTGGCTTGTATAACCGATCTGTAACTTACTTTCCTGTGTGGTTTCAAATCAAACTACACCACGCAGTTCTCTGATCTTCAAAACGTAGTATGTTAACGGTATGTTAGCCGCAACCATGTAAATTCCAAAAAGGAGGCCACACACCTATGTTGGTTACCCTTCACTTCAACACTAACACTTTAAATACACTGCTTGCATTAGTTGTTTTTTTTAAATGTTTATTCAAACGTTGAGCACTTGTTTTTCAAAAAGAAATGTGTTCCTTTTCACTACAAAACTTTACAAGAGACTTTGATCTCCATCAGATTATTCAGCACTTCTAGGTCACAATAACAGTTGTGAACCATGTGATCAATTCTAAACGCAGCGTGAAACCTCGGGATTCAACTCGTGTTTGGCGCACGGCCAAGGTGTTTTCTTCCCCTGGAGCGGCAAGGGCGCACGAGTCAAGTGAGGATTGTCTTGAGGGCAATATGCACTAATTTCCGCCACGAGGATCACTCAATCTTTGCCCGTGAGCAAGACCTTTTTAGCGGAGTCGAGGCGGTTGATGTCGGTGGAAGAAAAAGCCCTGCCCCTCCCTAAAGATGCCTGCGTCATGTTGTGGGAGGCGAAGAGTAGAGCAACGTGATCTCCAAAACCTGTTCGTAAAAATGTATACGAAAATCTTGAACATACAAATTCGTAACAATACACACGAACTGGCGGTGGTTAACCACGCCCCTTGAGTGAACAACATGGCGGACCATGTTGGATTCTTGAGTGAACGTCTCTCCGCCATGTTGGATTTTTTGAGGGGGTTAGGGTTAGTATTCTATTCTTACAAGTTAACATTGATTTCTCGTTAAAAATGCAATCATAAAACGTTTATTTTACATCGTTATACTTCACGAAGTGTGTTTACGGGGCGCAGGTCCCCATTCACTTTGAATAGGGTGACATCATCAGTTGCAGTCCGCATTTATTTAGTTTGTATCACTACGAATTTGTATCTTCAAGATTTTCGTATACATTTTTACGAACAGGTTTTTTTTTTTTTTTTAAGCGACAATCGGCCTTCATGCCGCGTTGAGAGGCTTTGAAATAAAACTGACCTTATCGGCGTAATCTCCCCAACCATCATCATCGTCCTTACCATCGATTTCATAGGCATACACTTCCCCGTACATCATCCAGTACGGCTGGAAGACCACATCTTTGGCCAGCGTCCAGCTGGGCTCTTCGTTTGGGTACAGAATGGCTTTCCTGGGTACGCCGTAGCTGAGCAGCACTATAGTCATAATGACTACAATATAGAACATGTTGGCTACCTGAAAGAGACGTCACGCATACAAAATGAGACACAGGAATGATGGCATCAACACTACTAAAGACAATATTTGACTTACAAAGGACATCATGAGTTATTTTATTGCGATGGGTCTACTTCGGGGATTCAATATCAGTGCTAATTTGTTGCTTTTAAAACCAGAAAATCTTAGTGTTTTATTTGGTTTAGAGTTGCCCGTTTCCTATCAATTAAACATTGTAGCTTCTGTGTCAAGCGACTTTTAAGCATCGGGGTTGAAATCCCCAGAGCAGACAGTGATGTTGAAGGGCTCTGACTACTCAACAGCTATGAAGGTGTGCATGAAGGAAACGTGACGGTGTTCCGATTAAATAAAGATTCACTTACAGCAGGAGTTTGATATTTTAGGAAAAACACCTTCACATCTCTGCAGAAAATATAAAGCTACAGCAAGCAGCTAAGACTAATGATGTGAATTAGCTGTCCAAAAGGTAAAAAACACACTCCGATTACTATTAGACTTCTAAGTTGATGGTTCAAAAAAAGTCAGTGTCCTACATGTATCTATCGTTTGTGTGTGAAACAACAGATAAAGAAAAACAGATGAGATTTGTTACTTCCTGCTGGTAAGCAGATTTAATAAGCTTTGGACGGACACTAGCCCCGTTTTCCTCCTGCTTCCCGTCTCTACACAAAACTAAGCCCATCATCTGCTTTTTATAGCTTCAAATTTAGTGTAACAGCAAGAAAGCAGGTATAAAATATTGTCAAAAAACAAAATAAGACCACTATTTTTTTACATTCTAAAATATACATTTTATCCAGTATCTTCATCTCAAAGGTTATCTAAATACTTTGGGGGAAAACTACAACGTGGAGCACAACAGATGGATAAAATAATGTCAGGGCAGTAAAGGTCTGTTCTATAACCAATGGGGCTACGATACCTTATAAGTTGATTATTACTGCTGTTTAAATATGAATGTTTGAACCGATTAAAACATATTTAATATAGGCATCTTGTGAATTCACTAAAACATAGCAATCACTCGCACAATATGTTCATACTGCAGTATAACTACAAAATGAACTCTTTTATACCATTATGGCCCGATGTTCCATTCAATACCGATCACTATTGAAACATTATAACATACGTTCTTGCCACATGTCAAGTGTTCTCCGCTTATTAGGGTCACTTCACAATATCGTGTAAAAAATTAAATATTATTGTCTCTTGGCTGCCTGCTTTTCGTTATCTAGCAGTGGAATCCCTCTCCCGAAAACTCACCATTTTAGCAATCATCATGACGTACGGTCCGGCTTGCTGGTTGACAGCCAGAATATCCAAGAGTCGCACGTACCAGAAGATGATATTGAGACAATACACAGTCCTCCCGGGTATGAAGGCTTCACCTCCGGCCAATCTCAAGCCAAAGCCAATGAAGAAGGTGAAAATGGCCAGAAAGTCAGAGACATTGAAATAGTCACTGAACCACACCTTCACCTTCTGGCTTATTTTGCCTGCTTCAGACATAAACATCTGGAAGGAAAAAGAAAATCAGAATCTTCACATGCCTTGATTTTTTAAAACATGATCTAGCCGAACAACGCATGCTGACATTTTTATCTTGCACATACCTCTCGAATTTTCTCAATAGCAGAGGTGAATATGTAGAGGATGACCACCCACTCTTGAGGAGAAGGCATTTGAGGCATTTTCACCAGGACCACATACGAGTAGAGCATCAAGAAGCCCAGGTAGAAGAGCTGACAATGAGAGACACACAACAAAAACATCACCAAAAACATGAAATCCAATGCAGTAAAGACTGAATTCTTCCCAAGTTGGAAATGGACTCGTTATTATTTAACTTTTTAAAATCCTCGTACGTCATTAATGTGGTTACACTGTATACAAGAGGATGGACGCACATCGCTGGCCTGTGTTGATAAAGAGCCTCTAAATTCAGGAAGCTCCCGAGAGGGGCTTCCTCTCCGAGACGAGGTCATTTGAGGCCTCATCACGGCCCTCTGAGCCATTTTGACTGAGGCCTGTGAGCACAGCTGGCGGTTTGCTGAGTTAAAAAAAAAATCAGTTACAAACATTCTGCTCTCAGACGGGGCGGGGGTTTGTATTAGAAATGAAGGCATTTCTACTGATTTAAAAGCTGTAATTTTGGGCATTTTTGTCATGATACCAAATAAAGCCACTAGAAGTAGTTGGACCTCCCCTAATTAAAACCCCTGTTGACATAAAATGCTAATTACACTTACAAGTGAGGCAACAGCTTTGAACTAAATAAATCTGAACAGAACAGTTGACGTTTGTAGAAACTGTTTCAAGCCATACGATGGTAAATTCATTCCCCTCTAAAGTTTGACCTGCGCGCTTGAACAACTATGCTGCAGACTGTGGGAAAGTTTGTCCATGCAGCCGGGTAAAGTTGCACATGCGTGCGTGCGTGCGTACGTACACACGCGCACGCACACACACACACACACACACATATACATACACACACACACACACATACACACACACATATACACACACACACACACACACACACACACACACACACACACACACACACACACACACACACACACACACTTTCTGGCACAACTTGAATTACCAAAAAAACCCATTGCTGAATCTTGACATGCGAGGTGTGAAACTGCTGGAAAATCTGCCATTAACACTCCGATCTGATCGGTGAGCTATTGTTGCGTGCCGCATCGATGTGTTGAAAGGGGAATAGAAGCAGGTACAGCAGATGTAGATAAGCTCGGGCACAGGCTATATTACGTAGGATAACAGTTTCAGTGATGTTATCAGCACCGCTCGGTCTTGAACAGCCTGAAAAAACGACCTTGTTCCTGGAAATAAAACCCTCAATGACATCTCCCTCCTGAGAACCGGCCTCAGGCTTGTAAATAAACATAAGAACTGGCGAGAAAAAAAAACAAAAGCGCAATAAACCTCTGCAGGGGTCTTATTGCTCGGCAGTGGCAAGAGCGTATTGAAAAAACTGCATTTACAAAGCTAAAGCTTTCACCGCTGCCACTGCCACCGCTGACTCGACAAGTCTGTGAGCCATAAATTAAATGAAAATGTGTGCCATCGATCGCAGATTCATCCTCACTCCACTACCAGTAGGAATGCTGGCGCACGGTGATGGAAATGGTTCCTCGGTCGCCTCCCAGTTGTGAATACGTTCAATAAGGTTTCATAGAGCGCAAACAAAGTAGGGGCCTTCACCGCATTGAAAAAAAATTGGAATTAAAAAAAAAAAAGGGGGGGGAAGGGTGTTTTAGCTTGCCAGAATGTCACATTGCTGTGGCACTCTGGGAAAGAGATTAGCGGACTGCTGAGGAAGTACTTGGCCTCACTACTTGTATGCTGTGGATTGTGAACCGTATAACCGCGTTCCCTTAGGGTTGGGATGTGGGAACATCCGTCTGCTCGTTCGATGCTAAAGTACATGGCGTAAGAGAGCTTTGTATCCATTCTTAGTGTCCCGCCACTTTGTGTGTGGGCGGATGAGACCAGGAGACTTTGTCCCCTTCTCCTATCTGTGATGTTCGTGGACTGACCATCGATCACAGCTGGAGGCTTTGCGTCAGACCATAAACATTCTTGTAGATTCACAACATAACCAGTCAACAAATCTTTAACAACCCCTTTTAAACTGTTCCAGACGCTAAGAAACAGGATGGCAATGAAGTCCCTCGTGGCTCATTTATGTTTGCAATTCCATCACATCTCAACCATGAAGATCAGGCAGGTTATCTCGTTTTCAAAGCGAAAACAATCGGTTAAGCGACTGCTCCCGGGTAGCAACATCCTCTTACCCAGAGCCCCTACATTCCTCAACAGCCATGAGGAGGTTGACTGGGTGGATGTGTAAATATGCATGTGTGTTTGTGTTATTCTACATACCGTGTTAGACCAGAACTTTACAATGGGAGCGTGGTAGAAGGCATATATTTTCCTGGTTAGCGGCAGCTTTCTGGAGCGAAATTGGGTCTCTATTTCACTCTTTGCCTCCACATTGTCGTGGGATCTGGCCTCCTTGAACACATCCTGCAGGGAGGTTGAAAAAAAAGCCCAAGTTAGACAACAGCAGGCCACAATTTGGAGAGAAAGAACGAAAGCAAATGAATGACAGAGTAAAAATAATCAGCAATCTTATTTTGCGAATATCCGTCTTGCTTCTCTTGTTATTACACAACAGGACCCGTTCACGGCTCACTGACCCTTTAACACCACCTAAGCCATGGACTACTTTTAATGTTTAAGACTGCTTTGATGCTTGGGAGAAACAGTATTTCCAAAGGGAAAAAAAATGCTTAATGAGGGACAGTGCAAAGCGAACCATTTGGATTTCTTCAGTCATGTTCTGGAAGTTGTTTTCGCTGTCCTCCATGGTCATCTGGTGGTCGTCCTGGCTCTGAGGGATGTGAGCCATCTCGGCTTTGGATTTGTACTCCAACAGGAGTATGGCAGGAGGGACCAAGATACTGAGAATCACCTGGAGACAAATACACACTAATGTGGGTGGATGCGTCTATATTTGTCATCAAGGTCCTTTGAATTACACACACACACACACACACACACACACACACACACGTTTGATTTGCCAAGTTCACATATAGTATCACACACGCTAAGCTCTGCTGTCTCCACACTGAGGCAAAGACTTAAACAAAGAAACGCCAGCATGAGCTATCAAAATCAGTTTTTTTAGGGAACAAACTTCTTCCAGTAATTGCATGAATGTGTGTTACCTCACATATCCGGAAGCGCTAGCATGTGTTCCTCTGCGAGGAACAAGTTGAAATAGCGTTTACATTTTTTTCCCTTTTCCTCACAAAATAACATGGTGGAACTTTAACACCTCAACAAAAAGTAGTTGAAACTCGGGATTAGATTTGAAAGCAGACCCAGGAACACTGCATCCGTTAACAAAACTTTACAACTGTATCATGGTTTAATATTTGTGTTAAGCCCCAGATAGAAGATAATTAACAATGCCACACACACACACACACATTCGATACCAAAAATAAAAATCCAAATGGAACATGAACCTTGTACCAGGAGTTCTTGCGCATGTTCAGCCGTCCCATCCACATGTCTGACAGCAGGAACTGGGTGCAGGTGTGAGCCACAAAGGGCCGCAGGTGGGACGAGACAGCCAACTTCAAACAGGTGGAGTTGCTCCAGTTTTTCAGCTCGTAGGTGAGCAGTTTCATGGCCATGGTCTCATCCTGCCTGAACGACTCCTCCAGCAGGTCCACTGCCAGCGTCCCGAACTCACTGAAATACGTCGGTAGTTTGTTCAGTTTACTTGCGCCTTTTACGAACAAGCGTGAGCGCTTCATAGCTACCTGACGTGAATCAAAGCCACGGAGGAACTTACTTGGAGTACTCCTTGAGCTCCTCCGAGGTGTCGTCCACCACGTCGCTCTTCTTGGCCTCGTAGCCCATGGAACGGCAAAGCTTACAGGCCACCAGAGCCTTGGCCATGTTCTCCTCGCCGTGCTGCCAGAAGAAGAGGGACATTTTCTGCCTCTTCATCAGCACGGCCCACACCAGCAGCTCATTGAACGGGTAGGGAAACCGCCGCGTCTCTGGGTCGTCTATGTCCACAATCTCTTCTTTGCTTCTCTTTTTGTTCTGCTCGATGGAGGATTCGAGCTGGGAGGAGGAGAGGGAAGCGGCGGTGAGCGGAGTAGAGGGAGACGGATGTAACCTTTTCCCCATTGAACTGAGATGCAGATCTTTATCACTAGACATTTTCCTTATCAGGGACGTGGGATGCTGCTGTCTGAAGGGAAGCCCCGTTCCTTTTATTGAAATATTTACCTTAGGTTTGTATGGCTGAGCAGTTTTGATGAAGTGGTTGTGCCTCGTCTTCTCCTTTTTGTCAGCCTGCATGCTAAAAGACTCGTGACTTTTCCTCAAATGAGAACCAGGACCCATGGTGTGGCGCCCAGACTGCTGTGTAGAGCACAAAACACATTTCCAGATCAATTGATTTTACTCTGCCGGCTTCCGCAATAGTCCAGTGGTCACTAATAGGCGGACAGGATCCCGGAGCCCAATATGATGTGTCTGACATGTTATGAGAGAAATAGATATCAAATAAGTGGTTTAACAACTACAGATGAAGACACTGCACACACATTTATATTATTTAGCTATTTTTGGTGACATCACTTCATACTTGAATAAACTAAACATACTTGACTAAATAAAAAATATTTTTTTCTCAAATGAATTACTTCATTTTAAGATAATTAAAAAAAACAAAAAACATTCCGTTGTATATTGTTATTTTATATCTAGTCCTTATTTTGATTGAAATGAGAAACTATCATGTTTCTACAATTATTTATTTGTAATTCTTTCAGTTCAATTTTAAAACTGACAATATTGTTACGATATTATTTGTTTGAACTTCCTTTATTTTAACAACTTCATATTATGAGAACTGTTATTACTGTTCATAGTTTTTTTACTACATGCACACGACATGCCAGGTTTTTACTGCAGTGCATTTTCCCCCACTGAATAAAGTTAAAACACAGACAATAGTTTCAAATAACCATAAAAAGAAAGTTTGGACGTTGATAAAAGACACTTGAGGAGTTGCTAAGGTGAAAACTCACCCGATTGTTGCCATGGAGATTGTTGTAAATGATTCGAAAGCGTTTCCTGGTGTAGTTGCACCTGTAAGTCCCGCCCATCAGGTACTCAATTACCAGGCCCACATCAATCAAAGTGATCTTGTAGTTTGGATGCAGATGACTCTGCAAGAAGGCACATTGGTGGCGAATGAACGGACTCTGGTTCAACATTAATGGAGGGAAAATGACCATACAAACCGTACCTGTTTAACATCTCTGACCAGGTGGAGGAGGGTCGGGTTGTTGGGATGTTGTTTCTGAAAGTTGATGTTATAAAAACGTTGAGGTATGTATGTTTAGCACATGTGTCTGTTGCTCAGCCGATGGTATGCGCTTCACAGTGTTACCGTGTTGTAGAGCTCTTCTAACCGACTGATGGTCAGGAACCGATGCATGCTGACGCCGTTTTCTATCAGCAACTTGACAAAATCCACCCTGTCCATCACGAGTGCATCCAGCATTGCTTGCTCCAGGGAGCTCACCTACGAACGCACGCACGCACGCACGCACGCACACGCACACGCACAAAGATGGATGTGTTGCTATGAACCATAGCAAATGATTGTTTATAGAACAAACACAGTGAGGGGAAGAGACCACAAATATGTCCATTACAAAAAAAACACAACATAATTGAATATCATCTATCCTCTCATTCACGCAAAAGCCAGGATTCCCTCTAAGTTTCAAAATAAACATGAGCACTGAGGGCAGCTTATGAAGACATTTGTAATAGGGTTCACGTTACAGTCAAGACATGCAGCTCATGGCGGCGTGCCCGAGTCCAGTCCCCCGGCTCCTCCGACTGGACATTGAGCTGAGCGGAGGTTCTGGGGGTCGTTTTCAGCGAGTCCAGCGATTTGGAGCTGAAGCTGAGCTAAATAAACATCCATGAACAAAAACATACACACACACACACAACGAAAAATAAGCACGCATACGTACCAGGAGCTGCTGTCCATACACAAACACGTGATTCTTGGCGATGTCCACCCGGTCCCAGGCCAGAGTCAGGACCAGCTGATCGAAGGCTGATGCGTTTGTGCCTAAAAGAAGTTCACAGGTAGAGCCGAGTGTAAACAACACATACACAGAAAAGAATTCCCAGGAGGGAATAGCCTAAATAATTGTGTATTTCATGTTAGCCAGCTAGCAGGATTATAGGGGGTTAGTAGTCAGGGCAGTAATACAGTCAATTACACACCAATACAGCAGATTAGAGTACAAAGTAAATCCTAGTTCAGTCTACGGCTCAATTCCACACTAATCTGCTTTATTGTCCTCTAGGAACCATCCGAATCAAATCATCATAATCGCTGTACACAGAACTCTGTGGCTGTCAAAAATGAAACCGATAGAGCCGGATTTTGATTGGACTAAAATTACAAGAGTAAACATCAGAAAACCCGAGCTCTCAGGTAGTCTGTCGGCTTAAAAAAATCCACTCAAAGAAAAAGAGATGTGTTCAGTTTACAACGGCAGCGACAGCATTTCCCACGACCGCTTCAATCTTTCCATTAAATATCCAGCCTGGTAAATGAAAGTGTTCACAATTGGAGAGAAAGATATCAAAAGGATGCAGGCCTGCAAGCTTTTGTACCCCAGGGTCCTTTTGAGGATGAATTACTGTTTCACCATGAAGGCTGGGCCTTCAGGAGACAAATATTTGCCTGAGAGGGAATTCTCCGTCAGCCGGTTTGTCAGAACCGGTTTCAGCAGACTATCCATCAGCTGCTGTCACTCACAACGCCTTTGTCTAAGTAAGCTTGAATTACAAGAATCCCTGCACCGCCTACATTCAGTACTAAACACCTTTATTTACTTCCACAAATACTTCATGTTCTTCAGCAGCTAGCAAGACATTTTAGGAACGTGGTGGTTCTTCTTTTAATTCCTAGAAAATAAAAGAAGGTACAGCTCCCAGTCTCCAGCATGATGACAAAAGGCGAATATACAACTGTTCCTCTTTGTCTAAAAGAGCAGAGAAGAGGAATTTGACTCTGTGTTCCTGAGATCATGTTGCTCACATTCACAGGGCCTCCTTATTCCACACAAAGAGAAGGGCACACAGGGGGGAACGCTCTTCTCAAAGCAAATCTTTTTCAGAATGAAAACATTACCAAGTTTTGAAATGTGTATCTCCCAATGCCAACAACCTCTGCATACGAATAGACTGAGTCAACTTCATGCGGTTAAGAGAAACGTCCCGTACTCACCTTGGAGCAAAGCCCTGAGAATGGCTACGTCAATGTCCTGGTGCTCGTCGGAGCTGATGTGATACACAGTGATCTGTTTTCCAAGAAACAAGATAGCACTTATCGACATGTTCCCACAGGCAAAGATCCAGATGTTTCTGATAGATCACTTTTTGAAAACCAACAGATGTTTATTTGGCAGTGCTTCAGTCTGTTTTTCTTGCTGCTCCAAACGGTAGTCAATAACAAAAAAATGTAAATGATAAGAAGTGTGTGAATGTACCAATTCTTTGCTTTTCATGCACTCCATCAGAGTCTGAAAGAGGTGGATGGCATCACTCTGGCTGAAGTTGAAGGTTTTCTTAATGGTTGCAATGATGTCAGTCTCCACTCCAACAGGGAGACTACTGTGGAAGAATTACGGCACAACATGGTTACGGTCACACGGCTCAAACCCACGCGGCTTTAAATCACTTAAAAACACAGGTTTGATTCCACCACGAAGTACTCGATTCTCTCGGAAACACTTTACGAGAATTTTTCATCCAGATTCAATGAAGAGTAATAGACTGGACCTCTGTCTGTCTGTGTGTATATATATATACATATATATATATATATCCGCCCATTAGCAGAATACTTTAACTGCATTCGGTCTTAAGTTCAACTATTTTCAACTCTCTTATACACAGACCGGGTCCCTCGGTTGTTTTGGGATAGAAATGGATGAGAGCTTCCAACGAAGCTGCCAACAAGAGGAATGGCAAAAAAAAAAAAAAAAACAGCCTCTCCACTGCAAAATACTTGCTGAAAATGACCAATGTTTACTTTCTGGGTAACTCCTAAATGAATTACCAATCAATGGTACCATTTCTCTATTCATTCCAATTCAATGTATTTTCTATAGCCCAAAATCACAAATTTCCTCAAATTCCTTTCCTTTCAATAATCTGCCAATTTATATATATATATTTTTTTACTAAAACCAATTTTTGCATAGATTTAGCACGCCAAGCACAGCTTCCCCCGCCCATCCCTCTTCAGTGTGCGTGTTTGTGTGTGTGTGTGTGTCTTACCCTCCCTCCTCGGTCTGTTTGTGGACGTAGGCCAAAATGTCAGCAGCACGGCCGGTCCCCTCACACACCACCACTGGGACAGGAGGGCTCTCCTGAAGGTAGTCCCGCACGGTCAGGATCACATTGGGACCCCCCTCGAAGATCAGGGCCACAACGGGGACACCCTGACCGATTCCTGCAAGAAGGAGGATGGAGAACGAGCTTTACATTTCGGTCCATACTTTCAGCTGCAGTTTTAGTCCTCCATTACAGCTCCACCCAAGTGACAGTTTATGAGGGGTCTAGATAATAGTCAGCTCACTTTTATCATCTATTTTCCACCAGGCGAAGTCAAACAGACTTCTGAAAGATTACACCTCGGCGTTTTGATCCATCAGAAGAGTTACTGACCCATGTTACAAGCTATGCAACTTATTTTGTTTTCTTTTGACCTACGACTTGTGATTCGTGACTTTCAGAAATGTTAGGATGTTTTGAGACTTCACCGCCCAAAACCAAACCACAGTGGTATTCCCAGTATACACCACATACATCTGCATTTATAGTATATTGTAAAGCACATATAACTGCTAATGAATAATATCAGGCCGGGGCAACAGTTAACTTGCTTTGCACATAAAGAAAGGCAACTAATATATTGTTAATAACACCAAAATTATGCCTGTCTTTCGACCAATCCTAATTTATGCAGTGACACTCGTACGGGGCGGAGTTTGGGGACAGGGGACGTTCTGTGGAAGATTAAACTTCAAAAAGGTTAATGCAAAGTTAAAGTGGTGCACTGAAAGCTGGGAAACTGAAGATCAAGTGTTACATTTATGGGAGAATAATTATCTTAGGATGGAGGAAATAGTTGAATTTGCCTGTGGATCATTAATTGACTGTAATTAATAATTAATTGACCTCGCCTGCTGGCAATGATGCATGTGAAAATTAAACAAATTACAGCAGTTATGTCAGTTTGTGGGAGGCACCTCTGAGCATAAGGGGCATTTTCCCCATTAGCAAGTAATGGAGAAAGTATAACGCAGAATTTAAGTTCTGGCAAACCTTTTAAATGACAGCGTGGAGCCGCTTTGTGTTGCACAACTTCAAAGAACATAAAACAAAAAGGATAATAAAAAGAAAATCCCCGGGGACGAAAATAAACTCATGTTGGCAAATGGGTTTGTTTTTTTTATAAGCTATTCTTGGGCTCTTCTTCTGAGATAATCCAGTGACAGTTTTTCTAGATCCAAAGTGATCCCCAACGGTCTCCTGCTGTATTGAAGTTACACTCTTGCTTACGTGCGTGTATTCTTTGGAGGTTGATGTGCTTCTCCAGGTCCCGCCGCAGCTGGACCTCAGCACCGTACTTGCCCACCGTCCCGTCATCCACCAGGAGGAAATGCGAATGCAGATTGTTGAGAACGTTTAGTTTGCTCAGGGGGTTCAGCAGCGTCTGATACGGAGCGATAATCTGCAGTGGGGAGAATGCAGTTCAAGGGGAGTGGACAGGAGAGTTTAGAGTAGAAAGAAAATAATAATTGAAAGAATTGTTTTGTTTTTAATAGAACAATCCAAACTATGAGAAAACCTGTGCTCTCTTGATAAAACCAGTTTAAGTAGATTATTATTAGTACGTTTCTTAGGACTGAGATAATAATTGAGGAGATTGAAAGGAGATGTTGTTTCTTACGTCTCTGCCAATGAGATCGTTCCGGTTTTCAATGACTCCCCAGGGTGCGATCCCGATAGTGCAAATTTTCTTTGACGATCTTGAACAGTGTTCTTTCAGAGCGTCTCCGACATGCTTTGCCACACCTTTAAGAATGATACAATAAACAATTTCATACCAGTCAACTTCGCATTAAGAAATATATTGGGTTCAAGTCTACGAGCAGTAAGATTCTGTCAAGTTTCCATCAAGTAAAAGTGTGCTAGGTAATGTGGATTCCATTAGCCGTGCATGCAAGTCCAAAGCAGGTACATTAGTCCCATTGGGTTGTTTGTGAACCACAGCCCTCGGCTAATGGATCTCATGGATTCAGCAGTAATTTGTGATCCAGGAGACCATGCTGCCAGAGGCATTAAGAGTAATCACTGGTCTGGGTAATTGACCCTGTGAGTAACGATTTAAACACTATGATCAGACCACAGCATCTTAACGCCGAGCTGTGGCTGCAGACACACCTCGGCCACGACAGAGAGCTAAATGACACGCTTAGAGCCCGGTATTACAACGTCTGCTACATCAGCGCATCACCCTCCGATTTTGGGGAGTGTGTGCAGGTTGGAGTACAATACAAGTGTGTTTGCGAGCGTTCCTTTTAGTTTGGTTTGAGTGAGCGGGGGCGGAAAGTAAGAGTCAATTAGCTGTTATGCCCAGTTTTTATTAGGCACTTTAACATTGAGTGGATTCTTTTTCACTTGATCCAAGCGCTTATTCCTTCATCCAGTTTCAGTCAGGCCTAAAACAGTCCCTCTCTGAATACAAACCTGTGTTGACCCCTCCGGTGAGGATCCAGGCTCCGGTGGTGACCGCGGCTTTGATGAGACCTTTGCCCACCACCTGCTTGAGGCGCGGGTGAAGCTCGAAGTTCTGAACTCCGCCGTGGACAGAGATGAGGATCTTTGGAAGCTCCATATGCCACTCCTTCAGCATCAGCCGCAGGATGCTCTCCGGCCGGGAGTCGTGGGACAAACGCACATACTGCCCACAGACGGGAGGAAAGCATGTTCACACAAACACACAACGCAGAGACGGCCAGCAGAACGCCGTTTGGTTGAAAAATGACTAACGCGAGTGCGTCAGCGCAGCACGTTGATGATTATCAAGGTGATATACGTAAAGCCATAGTACCACACAAGGTAAAATGTTTGGGAATAGTGTTCACAATAACACAATACAGAGTGTACTTTATAACCACTTTTTCACGGCCAGCGTGCCCTCCAAATTGTTTTGGGGAATTTGCCATCCTACCTTGGCTCTGTACGAGTGAGACCCTCCCTGGAAATTAATGACGCCATAAGCGTCACTGGGGCTGGCCTCTGTGTGTTGTTCCACCGACCACTCCTCCAGCTCGGGCATGGACAGGTTGGAGTTGTCCCCCGACGTCACGTCCGAGTACTTTGTGGCCAAGCTGGCTGTGAAGCCGACATGCTGCCGCACCAGACGTCCACAGCAGCATCTTCAAAAAGAGGAACACGTGTCGTTTTTTATTGATATAATAATAATAATAATAATACACTCATTCATCTTAGCTGCAATGTTGCAGACTCAAAATGTTGCAGGTGAAGCGCCACGTTAAATGGTAGCACATTGAGTTTTGCTTAATTTATGACTTATAGAAATCACTAAAGAAGACCATTTTACAAGATTCCCACATCTGATACAAAATGCTGGAGTTTTTTCACTGGGTTGAGATGGGAAGCCCGTTTTTGTTTGAAATATAGGACGATTTAAAAAGGCCCTCTCTCACCGAGCTAAAAACCTCTGGCTGAATCAATTTGATTTTAGACATTAGTTTTGTGCTTTTCTGACATGAACTGTCATCATTTTCGTTTCCTCACCTACTTTAATTACCTGAAGGGATAAGCATTCTAAAATGAAGCCAGAATGTCAATTGTTTGCATGGAATCGCATAGTAAAAGAATTTGCCTGCAGGGCCTTTTCGGTTTGAAGTAACTGGTTTGCCTCTATTCTCTGAGGCTAATCCTGCCAGGTAACAAAGAAAGAAGGGAACAAAGACCAAACACATTCTTACCGGACCAGCTGTTGGCAAATCTGGCATCCTGGAAGGCATCTGTAAAAATAATTCACAGCATTTAAAAACATACAAACCACCAAAATGTGGAGTACAAAGACCGTTATAATGGTCTGATATTCTTAGTAGGAAGAAAACTGAGTAGCGAGTTTGAGGGACAGTGTGTGAGGTCAGATCAGTCAGCTGGGTAGGCAGCTCAGTAGGATTGGCCTTTAACCGAGAGAAGGTTGTGAAACCTCCTGTCGCACTTTCATCAGTCCCACGTGGGCCTTTGTCCCAATGTCAAATGTGACTTTGTTCACCAACGCCATTGAATCATCTTCGAGCAGCAGCACGTATTGTAGTTAGCAAAGAAAAACCGGGGGCAAATAATTGATGTAAAAGAAAACAAGGGAGTAATTGAGAATTACTGCGAGCTTACAAAAAGAATGTTTGGAAACAGAAATGGTTTACACACAAAAGAGGTGGGTAAAATAAAGAGGCCTGCCGGAAACTCCTCAATATGAAACGGTTAGGATTTACAAACTGAATGTACATTTTGACTTTTGGTGCTCGTGTGTGCTACTCATGAACATGTGCTACATTGTGCACGTATGACTGGCCTGCATGAGAAGTCAATAAGAAGCCTTCTCCAGTTTAACACAGAATTGCAACATTCCAGAAAGTTTGTGGGCAAGTCCTGCTTCACACGATTACACACACACACACACACACCACATTGTTATTATGAAACGTAAACATGAACAAATAGCTGAAGGAGAAATAGAAAAATTATTCCACGACTAAGACTATATGACACACGGGTTCATCACTGTCCTTCCCCTCAGTCAACGCTGTAATTACAGCGATTTTCATCTAAATCATGTGGAAAACAGACTTCTTTTGAGAGCAGTGGTTAGGGTTTGGGCCTATTTTAACACACGCGCACACACACACACACACACCATGCAATTAGATCGTTTCTATGGTTACACACGGCAGCACCTCTAAGCACATACCTGTGGGGGTCCTTTGACACTGGAAGTATGTACACGCATTCCCGCTTGGTGAAGGTGCTTTCTATCCAGGGTTTCTGGGACTGCGAACAAAAAGAAACAGTTCCATAGTGTGAGTGGTCTTCACAGCTTTTTATGTTTTGCATTTAAAGAATTGACTCCGCTTTGAAAACCGCCTCATGGGGAAGTTAAAAACATTGCTCATCTGTGTGGCTACCGAGTGCTCAGACGAAGCGTGCAGACGTTACGTCCATTGTAGTTTCACAAAATCAAGGAAGTGAAAAAACAAAAAAAACATGGGGTTAAATCTAAAGTGATAAACTGTCTGTCTGGTCTGAAAATAATGGAACATCCTCCTAAAAGGCAGCTTGTTACCCCTTGATCCAGGATTTAGTCTATAAAAATAAAAAGGGATTAGAAGTTTTAACAAATTAAAACAATTAAATATATCAAGTTAGGACGAGCAATACGGGGCCTGTCAATTTTATAAACCATTGAATTACACCATTCTGCACCAGTATTCCTTTAAAACAAGGATTTATGTCCAAGGAATTTCAATTAAATGCCTCCCTCCTTATTGTTCCTAGCAGTACGGCTCAGAGCGATTAGCACCATTAATCCCTCAGAGCACAAAAGGGGGAAACCTGCAAACAGTCACCTGCTTCCCACCAAAGCGGTCCAACTATTCAAATAACTCAAACAACAGTATTAAAACAACCAGGGATGGAAAAATTGTGAGCCGCCGAGCACCTTTCTGCTTCGGATCCTCACCACGCAACATTTCCATGCAGTTGAAAATGTCTACGTTTCAAATCATTTCAGCTTTGCCGCAGAGTCTCTAATTTCTGTGGTGTAGAGATTGCCGGGCCACAACACAAAGGCGGTTTGACAGGAACCGCGTTTAACCAACAGGTCGACCGGTGTCGCCGAGCCAGTGAGCCCGTACCTGGAAGTACTCCTCCTCATCTCTGTGTTTAAGGGCTTTGTAAAGAAACATGCCAAGGCTCCTTCGTGCATCTCCTGGACAAAACCGCAGTCGCCACAGCTTCCCCCCCCTGAGAACCGGATCATCGGCGACAAATCGCTGCACTCCTCTCGGCCTCCGTCGCTCAAAGGAACATTTCCGTACGAGTCTCAAAGTCTGCAGCAGTTGCCGTCACCACACAGGTCGACCCGAGGTTAAAAGCTGGGAGATCAGTAAAAAGGTGGCAGCCTCCAAACTCCGTCCACTGTTAATCTGTAAGAAGCCACTCGGGGGGGACGGATGAATGTGTCTGAGACAAGCTAGATATTATACTTAGACTGGGGGAGAAAGGGGCGAGGGAGGGCGGGGGTGTGGGAGAGGATTAGAGGACCGGCAGAGGCCTCAATGATGTATACCTAGTTGTCTACTGAGGACACACCACCCACTGTGAGTAATGCCGTGCACACAAAACCTCTCCAGACAACACAGGCCCAGCACTTCTTTTAAAAAAAAACACTCATTTACAAAAAGAAGTGCATTCAAAAAAAGAAAAAAAAAAACATAATCCAAATCAAACTGTGCAGCAAAGTCAAAGTTTAACCTGTGAACTAAAAGAAACATCTTCCCGATGTAACCGAGGGTGTGTCCTCCTCACAAAGCCAGCCCGACACTAGGACCCATTTCTGGTCGCACAGCAGTGCATTTGCTATAATAATAATAATAATAATAATAATAATAATAATAAATAGCCCACCTTAAGACGCCAATAGCGATTGGGTATTAAAAGATTTTGACATTGGAAATTCAATTCTTGTAGAAATTTCCAGCGATTTGATGGCGATCAGTCCTCAGGGAAACGCATCTAATCGATACACACTGCCGCCCAAAAGCTTCGACGTTTTTTTCTGCCTTCCTGGACCATGACTGACTACGTAATGACTATTTTGACAGATGTAATATTTACATTTAAAATAGCTTTGGCCCCAGAAGAAGCCAAGTTAAAAGGAGTCAGCCCTCTGTTTAGGTTGTGATTACGCGTTCTATTATTGAGGGGTCTCACTGTGGCTGACTATCATTGGCTCAACAAGCCTCTCTGCTTTCCAGCCGTACCCAGTTAATACAATTAAAGGATTGCTCTGGGACCCCAGTGTGCAGAGACCACTTAAAGAATAGGCAAAAAAACAAAAAGCATACTGTGGATTTGGCCTTGCCATATTGTACCTCACCTAAATGTTTCCCAAACTTCAGTGTATTAAGCTGCCCTTCCCAGCAAGCCACTTAAAAAGTCTCAGTGACGTAGTGAGTGTCGGCTCTGCGCTTTCAGCAAAAACTCTGGATTCGGTTTCGCGATCTAACAAAGTCTTAATGAGGCAGATGGGCCGGTGCTCTGCGGACCCGTAACCATGGTACCTGAGAATGTCAGACGAGAAAAAGAAGTGATTACTTCAGGAGACTCTGCCAAAAGAAATCCTGTACACTCTCCACTTCCTCACTCCCTCCCTCTTCCTCTCTGAGCTGAAGTTTTTACAATTACTTTGTTACTCTAGGAAATGTAACCGGGCACCATCCCCCTGGCTTCAAGTGAAGACCTCAGACACACAAATGTGATCTAAAACAGTCGCTTTATCTCTCTGCTATCATCTCCCCACACCAACACACACACACACACACACACACACACACACACCGACCGAGCTAAGGAACCTTGCCGACGAAGCCCTTCCTTGCGCTTCCTCTTTTTCCCCCAACAATGTAACGAGGCTGGCGGGTCGCCCAGTCTATGGCCCTGCCTGACATAATACGGGGTGGGATAACATCTGGCTTGACAATTCTTTTACCCATTAGAAAGAGTGAAGGGGGGGCAGAGGGATCAGCACTTAAACGTGGGCGGTAGCCAAAAAGAGATCATCACGGCTTCAAGGAGTTTCCTTAAGGAATGTACACAGATGGATTGAAGTTTAATAAAACATATGCATAAAGTCACCACCACTGCAATATTCTCACCAAGCACCATATCCGGAGTTGGGGGAACATCATTAAATTCCCCGATGTGGGTCGTTTTTTTGTTTTTTTTATTCTACATGGAATGGCCCCGCCTCCACTTAGTGATTTTATCAAACGAAGCAGCAAGACTTACTAGATGTGCTTCAGGAGGGGATTGTGTTATTTCACACAGGTCAAGCCCCTTTAGCAAATCTGCATTCTCTGTGGAGGCCGCTCGCTCGTGGAATGCTGTGCCGCAACACAGTCACGCAGAAAACGCACACAGAACCTTCGAATACAACCTTAAAGGATTGGCTTGTTGCCAATCAGGTTTGCAAGTATTGATGTGCTGTCTGTCCTGCCTGCTTGATTCACCTAGATGTGCATTTGTCTTGCTCAGTGCTATTTTTCTTTCTCTCGGTGTACGTTATGTGCTTCCACTGTAGGTGTGTTTGTTCTGCCTGACTTTATAATACCTATATGTAGATCAATGACAAATAAAAAGGTGTCTAACAAAGTAGCTGATAAAATAAAAGCCCTTCAAAATCTCTTGAGATATTCAAATCGCATTGACAGATATTTCTATTTAAATTAATATTTTGGCATTTAAAAAAACATGTTTTATTTGATTCAACAAATGAAAGTATGGCCAAATATTTTATTTTGAATGTATTTACATTTAATAGTTTCCTTAGTCTGCTCATTTACTCAGACGGTTGCCACCTGACATTTCTGTGGTTTGAGGGGTGAAAACAGAGGGATATATTATTTGAATATACTCAAAATGTATGGATAGGCTTTATTGAATGAAATGTCATAAATTGATACATGTCCACAAATATGCACGTAAAATAAAAAATAAAAAATTGGATTATAGATTTTCCTAAGAATTTCATTTGAGCAACTGATGTATGGCCTTGGTTATAAGCATGCATAGAGAACTAGGGCAACCGTCTCGGTACAGTGAACTCCTGTCGGGTTTTTCCCGAGCTGTAACCTTAATTCCTCACCGCTGTTTCTCCTTGCATTATGTCACATCACTGGGAACTGCACTTGTTCCGCAGATAGCCACAGACAGTGTACCTTTGGGATAAGTAGAAAATTCAATTAGATGATCTACAGAAAACATATGTGCAGCCATTTTATTTTTAAATTAATGATTTCTGTAATGAAGTCAGTGATGCCGATCTTTTCTTATGTTTTAAATGGTAATACACGCTGGTTTTCTGATCCAACTGGATCAGAAAAAAAAGAATTCTAGATTTTTCAGGTTCCTAGTAAATTGATGGATGGAAATGTTTTATTATTCGGTCCGGACCAAAAGTAGGTAATTGACAAATAGTTAACGGTTACAACCTACACACTCACAGTTGACTAAACAAACTCACAACAGGTCAATCGTGTTTCTGATTAATGACCACTCACATTAATAACATTGCGGCGACCGTAAATGTAGACCTTGGGTTAAAATTGCAATGCAAGTCGCTTTGGATAAAAGCTAAATGACCAGATTTGAACAATTTCCTTTCAAACCGGTTTCAATTGTGTTTTTTTGGCTGAGCCTGCTCTTCAATGGAACCTTTCTTTGACAAAATGGCTGTGCAACAACTTCATGCAACAAACAATGAATTCCTAATTTTGACCGCACTAAACCTCTAAAAAGGACATCACAACAGGCAAGTGCAAAGTTCTGATTTAGCGGACCTGGCTCAAATTGGTCTCTTTTTTTTAGTGGCAGCTCTCGCCTTTACAACCAGTACAAGTAGATGTTTTAGGTAGAGCCAAAGCCAGATCAAAATAGGCCTTTGTAATTGCTTTATTAGAAGAGAATATACAAACACACGCAGTGGGAGACATTTTTAACAGAAAGGCCTTACTGATCATTTCAACTTGCAATTATTGCCACATCTCAGTTGTTTGCAGATCCAGTCGTATAAAAGAATGTCAAATGGGGAGGGAAAAAGATCCTTAATAGCCTCCAGATAAGAAGTAAATTGGTTTCAAAGTGTAGTGGCTGCAATAGATACGGAGTGTCAGCTCATGCAGTCATGAGGCCAGAATGTGACCAGCTTTCACCATTGTGCCCCCGTGGGCACGGCGTTAAAAAGACTGCACAACGTGAGCCAACGCCATGCCGGCATGCCACCGTGAATCTTGGCTACGAGCAGCCGCAGGACCTAGTGGTTTAAGCATGTGACGGCTATTGCGCTCAACATCTGGAGTTTATAGTTACGCAAGCCTATGAAAACCCAGGTTATAGCAGTCTCAGTATAGGAGAGAGCAGCGGCGGCAGTGCCAACAACGGGGAAAGGGACAAGACAACAGACCAACCTCTCGGCGTACAATTAAAAACAATAACTGCAGCATAAGACACATTAAACTGGTATTCCATCTGGTGCTCTTTAGGTAGTACAAAGCGCATGCAAGTCAGCTGCATGCCTGACCAGGAGCTGCAGCGCTGTAGAGTGAGGGGAAGCAGTGTGTGTGTGTGTGTGTGTGTGTGTGTGTGTGTGTGTGTGTGTGTTGGGGGGAGGGCGGATCATCCGCTGGTTAAGATCTACAGGGGAGAAAACCATTCATGAAGCAAACTCAGTGTGACCATTTAAAAAAAAAGAAAGAAAATCCAGTTCAGGGCCTTTGGAAAAAGTCCAGTCATCTTGAATCGGTCCGGTGTGTGTTGTGCGAATGGGTTACAATGTGAGATAACAGAGACATGCCAGAGTCACACGACAGGTTGAAACACACAAGTTGTCAAACACGCTCTCGCATGCAAGACCATTCTCTACCAACTCACAGAGCACTGAAGCCCGAGCCGGTGACTAGTTTGACAGACGCCCTTCCCGCCGTTAGGAAGGGAGTGTGACCTGCACTAAAGTGCCATCAGCCATTGATCACATAGATTTGATCAAAGCCGGCTGCGCTGAGGAACCAGACCAGCATTGATGCATCAGCATGACGTTTATTAGACTGATCACAGAGCAGCAGTTCAGAGGTTTCAATCATGTAAGCTGGGGCATGTGAGCGGCTCGGAGCAGCTCTGTGGGAAACAAGACAGTTTTGCACCAATGCAAAAAGGCAATGGCTGCTCCGGTGTCTCGGGTAATAAAGGATGTAGGCTACACATCAATACTGCATTGCGAAATTATAAATATAGCCTCACGTTACATGCCACAGCACAGAGAGGATCAATGGCACCTTCTGCAGACTTCTCAGTTTGAGTTATATCAGCGTATGTATGTGTGTGTGCAGCCACTTGGCCATTTTACCTTTAAAAAAAACGGCATAAAAGTGCATACAAATTAAAGTTAGGTGATCTAATAGAGATTGAACTAGGATAACATTTAGCAAAAATGTCTCTCTGTCCCAATTTAAATTGACATCACATGGTTATCACACGCACTGGTATGTTATGATTCATGTCCACAGTGTCCAGAACAACAATAAATAACTCCTGTCACCTCCTCTTTCTACCCACCCGGAGCTCTCCAGAGATGACTGGAAGAGACTGGAAAACGTCAACGCCAAACTAAAACACACAAATGTTGGGCAAACGTCTCCGTGGGGCCTAGAGACATTCAACGAATCACCACACAGCGAACAGCCGTGAACGGGCGCTAAAAAGAGTCGAGCTCAAAGGGTTTTAAACGGGACTCTGCTCCGCTCGGCGCTAGCGGCATGGAACCATCCGGTCCAGCCAGGCTCGCCCGCCACTCAAGGTGCCATTGACTTGTTACTGGCAGTTACAGCGTGTCGGTGTGTCCGACGCCGGGAAAATGTGTCCCAAGTGCCAGCGGCTTCCTCCCTCTTTTCCTTTGGGCTAGTGAAGGAGACGCTCGGTCTCCCTTCGTTTTCTTGGCAGAGAGGCGGCTGCTAACATCAGCCAGCTAGCCAGAGCTGCGTTAGCTAGTTAGCTTGGCTTAAGTAGCTAGCGTTAAGCGCTAGCTATTTAGCCGTGCTAACGTCAACGTTACACGGCCGTATGTGATTTAGGGGGGGGGGGGTTCCGTTTTCCTAGCGTCGTTCGCTTCGCTCGCCGCTTGTCTGTCAGTGATTTTAACCGTACAGTCGGGCACTCGGAAAACACGGCTATTGCCACCGGGTCCTCGGCTGGGTGGCTGACAGGCGGCAAGCAGCATGTATGGAGGAGGAGGCGGAAGAAGAAGAAGAGGGGGGCGCGGGGCGGGCGGGGGGAGAAGAGAGACCTGCCACTCAAAAACCACCGATCAGTCGGGAACGTCGTCAGCGCCAGTTTGACAACACTATAAAACCCCGGGAGACGGCGGTCGACCGCTCACGTACCATTCTCTTCACGGTTGAAACTCAGGAAGAGCTGCGGCGTGGCTTTTATCCATCTATCGGCGGTGCTCTCGGTTAGCCTTGGAAGGAAAGCCCGGTTGACGTTGGAGAGATCCGCTTCGGCTGCAGCTCCAACGGAAGGTTGCTTTTTCATAATTGTGCGACTCCAGACTGACGCTGCATGAGGACCCGGCTGAGTCAGCCCGCACGCCGTCACGTGACCGGGGCGGAGTCAGCGGCCACATGTGCGCTTTGTTTTAGTTTCACGAGGAATGACCACTGGACGCGAATTAAAGACACGCGCTTCTCGCTTCCCTCGTCCCGTCTCACCTGTCCAGCCGGTCTTGACTGATAACGAGGAGACTCAACCTGCTGCGAGAGAACAATTGCAGCAATCCATCGTATTTTTAACGTAGTTAACTAAACCTCTAAATATCTAGTGGCATGTAAAAGCTTCATTAACCATCAATAAAATGTCTGTGACGCATGAATCATGCCAAATATATTGGTTAGTGTTTGGAACAAAGCAAATTCCAAGAGAACATAGAACATAATCATACTACCTAGTGCTTATAAAGTGCAGAAATATGTCGAACCTAAATGATTTGAACCATTGGACGGATGTAAAAAATGCAATTATAACTGCGTTATTTAGATTGTATGAAGTTTAGTGCTTAATTTAAATGATAACTCTTTCAGAGATTGCACTGTAACAACTGTTTTATCCTCTTCATACTGGAAACAGTCTTTGATATAGAATTAATTTAAAGAACATTGATTTACGCTTGGCTGTCTGCCCCATGGCTATACCTCATAGAACATAAAAGGCACATAAAAGGCAACATAAGTGGTTTAATATACTGCCTTTCCTATTTTTTCCCTTGATAATAGCTGCATGGAATTTTCAGCAAACAGCCATAAATCGTTTCCTGACCTGACTAGCATTTTAAACACAGGACGATTCCTTGTCCCCAAGCATCCCAGGGGAAGTTTCATCAAGAAACAAAATAAACATTATATGTTCACTTTAATATAAGGCGATGAAAGAAATCACATCATACAAACAGGTTACAATGAATCCACAAAACAGTTATCAAAAATTCATCATATTGTGGCTACAAGTAATTAAAATCCACCCCACCCCTGATGAAACAACTGTCAAGCTAAATATTTTAAAGTGCTTCCTCATTACATTGTGTGCAATCATCAACAAGGCAAAGTCATTACAGTTTACTGAATGTGGACCTAACAACCTTTCAGGCACTAAACAAGCAAACTGAATATTTATTAACTTCTTGCCCTTTGCAGCAGACAAGCGAACCCTTACTGCTCCAAGAATCTGTTGATCAATAACATGTATTCCCTTGCTTTGCGAATGTAATAAAAAAATTTAAAAGCGTCCAGCAGTAGGGTCCATTCTCAACACTGTAAATCAGCATATTTCTCCTTCTATGGGGCCATCAGATCTTCCCTCTAAAGTAAGAGGGAAAAAAAAGAATGAATGCTTCTTTCAGTATAACAAATACAATTGATAGAATACATTACAGGGATTGGAACTTGCAATGCGCACTTGCATTTACAAAAACAGACAGGCTGTACTTTCTACATATAGCAAGCCACAGAGAGAACACATCCTGATCACAGTAACTGCAAGCAACAACATACGGCAACATGGACTTGCAGGTAACTGTAAGAAGGATGGAGGGATGCAAGTATTAGTTCCTGCGGGTTGGAAAATACAGGGGAGGGGGAAAAAATAATGATGAAACAAACTAGGGGTAAAGAAAAAGAGATGCAGTCAATTGTATTCCAGGGCCAGGGCTTAAACTCTAGGTGTGCTGCTGAGAAGCTCTTCAGAGAATTTCCAATCAACTAGAGACACCTAGTGGTGAGTTAATGCAAAACCATTTTCACTCAAAGGCAGGTACTCCCAAGTTCTTTATATTTTATTTATTTATTTATTAATATTTTAGACTTTAGACTTTAGGTATCACATTGACCCTGGTTAGAATGTCCAAAGAAAAAAACAAGAATGGCCAAAAGACGGCCCTAAGAAAAGATTTGCATTAAAAGGCGGGAGAGATGCAAGAGTGAGGATTGGTGGGAAAGCAAACCTGGCAGCAAAGGTTCCCTTGACGAATCCAAAACCTGGTGAAGATGAAGCCAGTTCAGAATTGTATCTCTTTCCTGCTCTTTATTTGTGGCTTACACCAAAAGACGAGCATTTCCACACATCACGGCCATGCAATTGTCTCTCCTAATTTCTCAATGAATCTAGGACCTTGGGCTGAGGATCGTTCAGGCCTTTAAAGTGTTTTGCTTGATTCTTGTTAAACTACAAACGTACTATGCAAAGTACACTTTAGAATTTGCAAGCTGCCGTTGTTTCAGCTTGTGCTGCAGATGAAAACTGGCAGACTTGCGAAAAAGAAACGTGTTATTCGTTAAATTGAATATTGCTTTTGGTTCATCAAAGACAGCCCACTATCCTGGAATAGAATCGGTCAATAGACTACAAGTGGGTGACGCACAAACAATTCTGAAGTGCCGGCGTGAATTACGTTGAGTGCAATGACAGTGTAGTGATGCTGTTGGGTTTACCCAGCACCTCCAGCTGCAGAGAGCTGATTCAAAAGGTGCCATTAGGAATATAAAGAACACACACTTAATGTGAAAACAGCAGCTTCTATCATATGTTTTCTCGTAGGATTCATAATATCGGGTTCATGCTGTGGACCATGCGGGCAATAAAAAAAAAACAACGGCGTCTAGGATTTAAACGCCTATTAGATACAAACACTGGCAGTGGCACCTGCAAAAAAACAAACAAGGAATGCTGTCTGCAATCATTTCCCTTCCCGGTTTAATTAATGGACTAATCACAGTTCCCCTGCATAATAAAACAGCTGCTTGGCAAACTGGAAATACGTCTGGCTGTTTACTTAGTTTCATGAACTGGTGGTGAACAAAATATATACCAACCATAAAAGAGTGAATTTGTTCAGAAATACACTGAAACCTATGTGAACGCAGGAAGCACCGACAGGAAGCTCCACCGCTCTGCGAAAAACTGTACAGAATAACTTTTAACATCGCGCTCACCGGTCTTCTCACCATATAGGTGGTTCCCGCCCAGAACTGCCGCATCTCTCCCCTGCACGCGGCCACCACGGCGGAGGCCGTCAGGGTGAAGGGCACCAGGTAGAGCAGTGCGGGCTGGCCCATCCCGGACAGCAGCATCACGGCGAATGTCACAATCATTCCCAGCAGATAGGCTGAGAGACGGACAAATACAGACCAAGGAAAGAGACGGACAAAATTACCCTCAAACTGGCTAAACGGAAGTATTAGAAATAGTCTCAGAGAATATCTTCTGGAGATCTGTTTATGAACAGTGCATTATATTTGCACACAGATTAAATTAAATCAAATAAATTCTAAAATGTAAAAATGAGTTCAGCAGAAAAGAGTGTGCAGTAGAGCAGCAAAGCCAATATGGCTACACATAATTTACAAAAACAACTCTATTCTATAACATGACACAATGTACACAGATTCATACAGTATTAACAATGGACATACATTTGGTTTATAAATGTAGCTTCCGTATACAATGAATAAAATAATAATTGAGCTGTGTACCTATGCAGCAGGAGATAAAGTAGATCTTCTTGCTGCTGTTGACCCAAACATCAAATCTGCTGCAGTAGGCCACCATGAGACCTGTGGGACCAATGAAGATGCCAGAAGTTGAGAGACATCGCCTCCATTTCACCACAGAAGCAATACACGCATTTGTGTTTCAGCCCACCACCATACATCAGGTTTTCCTTATTTCTGCTCTTGGGGTTTATATAATGCAGTTAAACTGACCTCTGGCAGTTCAAAAACACTTCAACCTCACCTGGAATAATGATGTCTCCATAACCCAAAATGGAGAACTGCATTCCACACAGGTTCTGAGCCCAAGCTGAGAACCGTGGCACACGCATGACCACTGGCAGCTGAGAAAAAAACAAACATATTTTATGCATTTATAGTAGAACTAGCAGGAATATTGTGTCGTATGCAACCAAATACATTGCACTGTAAACCTTGTCATGCTGACCTAATACTACATTGTCATTTCTCAAAGCAGTGATTTAATATATATTACTTTAGAACATGCGCTATGCTTCAGAGAAAATCCAGCAAGAAACACTGCTTTGGTCATCCAGCAATGGCCTTTCTAAACATTTCTAAACCAAATGCCTGGGAAGTCTAACTGAGCAGCAAATATACTAACAACTCATCAAACATGCTTTCAAATTGAATATAAATACAGAAACATTTCTTAAAAAAAAGCCGCCCCCCAATTCCAACATGTGGACATTGCTCAAAAACTGATTCAGCTTGAGCAGAACTGCTGTGTTCAAAATATGGTGACTTTTCAGCACACAGCACCTAACAAACATGGGCGTCGGACAGGTGTGTTTCTTCCATTTGCTTCACATTTGATCTTTTTGAAGAGGTCAAGTAAAAGCATTATCTATGTCACAATAACATTGTTTTTAATGTCTTGTTTTTAACTAAGTTATCAACAATAAGATGCGCCGTCTTTCTCAATTCAGTTGAATGCTCCAAAAGTAGAGACCGACCTTTGGTGACACGTTAATGCGTACTCCAACTGTCATTTCAATACTGCATTATAAAATGGTATATACTTATTTATTGGAAATCATACCATTTGGATTTCTCAAATAACCTGCAGTAAAGGCTTCATACAAACACCAATGAGTACACACGATTCCTCCAGAATTGGATTACATATTATCCTTTGACATTTTTAGTTTCTTCTGTTAATGTAATTTCAGTTTTGATTTATTTGGCGCAGTCCATGTGTGTACAAATAATAGAAAACAACAACAACAAAAAAAGGCCCAACTTTCCTCATATTTTAATCACATAGCCTTCGTAAAGAGTTCTGCTCATGAGAATCCATCTTGAGACCAAATGTTGACAACCCTAATCCCTTCCCACCAACCTCCACCCATCAGAAAAAGGACTGGGAGTTCAACAAGTCAAGCCTTACTTTCTCAGAGGGAGCTTGGGGTTCAGCCGGGACCTCCACCATGTTACCGTGCGTCTACGACAGAGCCCACCCAACCCCAACGCACAGTTAGTCACTCAGTCTACCGGGCGTCAACAACCGGCAGTGTAGCAGCAGCC